AATGACATAACCCATGGACACAGATGATAGAGCAGTGAAGGCCTGGGTAGGATGTGGGAGCAGAGCAGAGTGGAAGGGGTCAATGGGGGGTGGGGATGGGGGGAAGGAGGGACATCTATAATACTTTTAACAATAAATATAAGTTTTAAAAAATATTGAGCTTTAAAAAACATATTTTTTAAAAAGAAAAAAAGAGTCCCAGAATTTGGAGTCTTAAAGGGCTGATGAAAACCAACTATTTCGCCCTGGCCGGTTTGGCTCAGTGGATAGAGCGTCGGCCTGCGGACTAAAGGGTCCCGGGTTCGATTCCAGCCAAGGGCACATGCCTGGGTTGTGGACTCGATCCCCAGTAGGGGGCGTGCAGGAGGCAGCTGATCGATGATTCTCTCTCATCATTGATGTTTCTATCTCTCACTATCCCTCTCCCTTCCTCTCTAAAATCAATAAAAATATGTTAAAAAAAAAAACCCCAGCATTATTATATAAAAAAAAAAACAACCAACTATTTCTCCACCTCCAAATCAAAGAAACAGTGCCTGTGAACTGTGAAAAGCCTTGGAAAGAAATATGCCTGCCACTCAGCCATAGAGTTGACAATATGGGCTAGCAATGCTGTCAATCTGTTAAAGCCCATTGTTTCAGGTGCCCCCAAGTTAGCTCTCATTAAGAGTGAGGTAGCTGCTCAGCACGCAGAAGCCAGAAAAGATCAGAGTGTTAGGGACTTTCAACAATAAGATTAAATAAATAAGTAAATAGTCTTTGGGCTTAAAAATGGTATCTAGGCAAGAACTGCAGCTGTAATTTCTCCCACACAGAACTGACGGAAAGCAAAAGGATTAGAAACCCTTTAAATTTTTGGTGAATTATAGTGCCAGAGATACACCAAGCTGGATCTGCATCCATGGGCTTCCGCTGTTGTGGTAAGCAAGTTTGGTATTTCTGAAGGGACATTAGCAAAGTCTAGGCATCCAGCCACTAGTTCTGTGGGCCCTGACGGGCAGGCTTTAGGACGTACATTACTTGTGCTGGTGTAGATCACAGTGGGCACAGCACTGGCAACACAAGCAGCTTTCTGATGGTGGTGGTTTCCAAGGCAATTGCAGGAGCAACACAAATCAGAAATCATCATTCCCTGATCATAGGAAAGTCATTGTTCTCTTGATGGCCTGGCTTTGTGAGACTTTGGGACTCAGTTCTGAACACAGAAACTTAGAGTTTATTTAATCAACACTCCCAAGTATTCAATGCCCTTTATACTTAGGCCAGGTGGAATGGATTCTATTCTCTCTGTGAACCCTGATGGGAAGAATAGTGGCTATAAGACAACAGGATCTCAATGGTGATAGAAAAACTAGAATTGGGAAAATTAGAATAGGAAATCAGAATTGGTTATCCATCCTAGTAGAGTTTGAAAGTAGCAATGATTTTGCTAGTATGAGAGAAAGAGACACATCAGGCCATGGTACACAATGTCAAACTAAAGACTGACCTATTACAGTAGCTCAGATCTGGAAACAGCCCGAGTGCCCATCAGTAGATGAGTGGATAAAAAAGCTGTGGTACATTTACACCATGGGATACTATGCAGCAATAAAAAAAGAAGGATCTCTTACCCTTTGAGATAGCATGAAGGGACATGGAGAGTATTATTCTAAGTGAAATAAGCCAGTCAGAAAAAGACAAGAATCACATGATTTCACTCATATGTGGAATCTAATGAACAAAATAAACTGATGAACAAAATAGGTCCAGAGACATAGAAGCATAGAACAGACTGTGGTACCTCAGAGGAAAGGTGCGGGGTGGGGGGATGGGGGGTGGGAAGAGATCAACATCTTTGTATGCATGTATAACCCATGGACACAGACAATAGGGTGGTGAAGGCGGGGGTGGTAGTGGTGGGTGGGACAGGCTAGAAGGGGACAAGGGGGGGGAGACATATGCAATACTTTCAACAATATTTTTTTTGAAAAGACTGACATTGTTATATTTTCTAATTCTGTCCTTATCTATTTTGGGCATCACCATTATACTGGCCTCAAAATGAGTTGGGTTGCTTCTTCTCTCAAATCCCTTGAAAGTATAGTAAAACACTAGGTTTGAGCCCATTTTACCACATGATAGCAGAATTAACTTCTCTTTAGAAAGTTTAGAGATCACAGTGGTTTTTTAAAAAAATATAAATTCAATGATTCAAAGCTTTTTAAGTTTCATTTTAAAATTTTTTTGGGGGATGGCTAAGATAGGCAAATTAAGGGGACGTTATATAGATTCAGGACTCCTGGCTTGGCAAGGATAATCAACCCCCTGCAGATTTTTTAGAATGAATATTATAATTCTAAGTGATTTCTCGTAGACTCAAGGTTTAAAATACCATTTGGTCCTCCCAAATTTATATCCCCTAATCTAATTGATCCATTGAGCTCCAAAATTGGTATCAGCTGGTTCAACATCTCTATTTGCATGTAAAATAGGCATCTCAATCTTAAAGTCTAAGAAGAATGGCCCCTCCCATCAAACCCCCTAGATCTCCAATGATCTTCATTTTAGCAATAACCAACCATGGTCCAGTTGCTTTGGTTCAAAAAAAAAAAAAATATTGTAATCCTCCCCCCCCCCCATCCCCCCGCTTTTTTTAAACAATTCATCAGCAGATCCTGGTGGCTCTACTTCAAAATGTATTCTGAATCCAACCATTCTTACAGTCTCTCTGCTACCAGCTTTTTCCAAGCCACCATGCTTTAGTCCCTGAACTACTGAAATAGCCTCCTAGCTGACCTTCCTGCTTGCACTTTTTAAGCTCAATTGTCTATCCACCACTTTACAAATCATTCCACCCTCCATCGAAAAACCATCCAATGGCTTCCATCTCTACCCGGCTTAATCAGAGCCCCGCCATGTCACAAATAATCCTATTTCCCACTGAAGTATGGTAGCAATCATCTCAGGTAGAAACTGTAGTTTAACCCTGCTGTTTGGCTTATGTACCTATTTGCTTTAAGAATGGGCAGGTTATTTTGATTTTCTGAATTATATAAATCATCCCATTCGATTAAATGCCTTATTGACTGTAATGTGACTATCCCATGGGTTGTGGTCATAGTGGTCTTAGAAAGCACATTTTCCTTTACCTGGGAAGGACAGCACAGTTATCCCAAGGTCAGAGGGCTCTAGACCCAAAACTGTAATTTAGATAACATGCTGTTTCTGCTTCTGTAAACTGCTTTTTTGCGAACCAGGTTCCTCATTCCAAACCCTGGGATGTAATCAATACCTTTGTGACTTTTTTGCCTATATAACCTTGGAGCTGTGACCATCTTGTTACTATGAGATTTGGGGAATGGCCCCTCATAGTCCCGGATTGCAATAAATGTGACTCTTTAATTTGACTTCTTGAGGCGTCCTTCTGTGATTCGCAGGGTACATTACAACACCACAACCTCCTCACCCAGGCTGCCTGTGCTCTAAACGTCCTGGCCTCCGCTTCTTTCCCAGGCGCCACGCACTTGCTGTTCTGCGGGACCATCCTCCCCTTGGGTTCCTCCAAGGCTCCCTCCATCTTCATTCTCTGCTCAAATATCAACGCAAAGAGGTCTTTCCAGACTATCCTGTCTAAGACGACACTTTCCTCTCCTTCCCCTGTCATTCACATAGTATCATTTCAGCCTAACTCAGGCCCCCGCCCACAATGTCAGGCTCCTTCAGCGCAGGGAATGCATGTACACCGCATGCCTAGCGCCGTGAAAAATGCCTGGCGCAGCCGTAGCCACGTTGGCTCAGTGGACAGAGCATCCGCCTGCGGACCAAAGGGTCCCGGGTTCAATCCTGGTCAAGGGCAGCGTCTTGGCTGCAGGTGCCTCCCCTGGGGGCTCTGGTCAGGGCTCCTGCTGTAGACAACCCATCTGTGTTTCTCTCACGTGGATGTTTCTCTTAGTCTTTCCCTCTTTCTTCCACTCTCCCTAAAAAGCAATGGAAAATATCCTTGGGTGAGGATTTTTAAAAATGATCTCTACATATAAGCCTGGCACACAGTAAGCGCCAAGCCCTGCTTGATTAAGCGACCTGAGTCTGAACTCATCCCGCTTAATTGCAGCTCACAAAGCAGCAAACACAGAAGCAAGCAAAACCCAGGTGAGGCCGGCCTCGCCGTGTCTGCGCCCTTTCGCAGGGGCTCGCGCAGGCATCCTTCGCAGCTCCCGCCGCCAGAGCCTAGCCATAAAATGCTATTTTGTTTCCTTGCCCCGCAGGGAAGGGGTAAACAGGCGGAAAAGAGTGGGGGAACTGAGGAAGGAGCGCTACAGTGTCCTACTGAGGATGCACGGTTCATCCACGTCAGCCCTTGTTGTTACTGGACCGGCCTGGGCCGGGGCTGCGACGGCAAGGAGAACCTGCCCCTGACGCCCCGCGAAGAGGGAGCGGGGCAGCCATTTTCTGAAACCAGTTTCCCTGGAAACCCCGCCCGAGCGTGCACGCGAGGAAGGGGGAGGGGCCTGCGGCGAGGGCCCTGCGCCGGAAGCCGCACCCTCGGCGGCCGGGAGGACCCACAAAGCGCCCCGCACAATCCTAACAGTCGGCAGCGAAGCGCGCCCTCGAGCGCCAATGAGAGCGGTTGGAGGCGAGCAGCTCCTGAAAAACTCTGTATGTCCGGCAGTGATTGGCTGGAGCCCTCCTTTTTTTTTTTAAGTTTTATTTTTATTGAATGTATTGGGGTGACATTGGTTAATCCTTTCTTCTTGGTATTGGCTGGACTTCCTTCCCCCGCCCACCCAGGGGGCTCTTTGTCTGGGTACTTCTGATTGGCTCCTTTCGACCGGCGGCTGGCGGAGGGAGCCAGGTCGGGGCGTGTTCACGGATTGGTGGATTTGAGCACCTGGCGGCTCCATCTCCGCGAAGGAGCCCGTCCCACCTCCTCTCTGTCCCGTCTCCCGACCCGTACGCCTTTCAGGGGCCACTCGCGCGCACCAATGGTTAAAGCAGGGCGGGGGCGGGGGGGCAGGGAGGTGTGAGGCTCGAGCGCGCCAGCCCGGCCTCCGGCGCCTCGCGCGCGCCCTCCGCGAGGACCCGCGTGAGCTGCCCGCGCCGGTGCCTGCGCTGTTTGAAACTGCAGAGCCCGTTACGGTCTTGGGGGAACTACCGTTCCCGCTGATTCCTGCGCACGTGCGTACCAGGGGGCTAGTGGCGGTCGCGAGGCGGCTCCTGCCTTTCTCGTCTCTGCCTCGAGGGGACTACAGCCGGCATTTTCGAAGGGCACCACCCTCCAATCGCAGCGCTGGCGCGGGCGGAGGCTAAAGCACGGGGGTCCTGAGACGGAGGAAAACGCGCCAAGTTCCCCTCGGTGGTGGAGTGGGGACGACCCTAGCGGTTGAGGCACTTCGCCAGCGGGACTGCTTCTCTGCGCTCCTTCCCGTCCCGGGGCAGGCGCGGCGGGCGCCGCTCCGGGGATGTAGTTGGTGCCGGCGCGAGGCAGGACCAAGCGGCGGCCCGGGCTCCCGCTCCTGAAAGCGAATGGTCACTCCCCCGCGGGGAGGGCGATCTGTCCAGCTTTTTCTTGGGTCGGGGGACTCCGCGGGCTCGGGACCAGGTCTCCACGGTCGCACCCACACTCGTCCCGGTTGGACCGGCCGGCGTCACCGCCGCGGACCTCGCTGGGGGCCATGACCAGGTAAGGAGGGCCTGGCGGGGAGAGGCCGTTGCCGGGCGCGACGCAAGTGGGGCCGGCTCCGGAGCGGGGCTGCCCTGGGACGCCGGCGTCGGTGCGCGGGCGAGACCCCAGGGCCGTGGTGGTGCTGCGCCCGGGGCGGAGCTGCCCCGTGGGCGCCGGGCGGGGCGCCCCCTCCTGCCGCGGCAGTACTCGGGAGAGCAGGTGCGGGCTGGGCGCACATTGGCCGTCCCCGCGGGCGTGGGGGCCGGGAGCGGTGGTTCCGCCGCGGGCCGGCCCCCGCCGTGCCCGGTGCTGGGACGGGCACCGGCCGCCACACCGTCTCGACGTCCTTCCCCGGGTGCCCGCTCGTGGAGCGGAGCGGCGTAGGGGAGCCCCTTGCTGGTCCTGGGGTAACTAGGGGTTACGCGCAGCGAGCGTGTCTTCCTTTTCCTTAGAAGTAAGTGTTTAGGACGCCCCGTGCCTTAAACCTCGGTCGGAGGTGTTATGGTTTTGCATTTTTCTTGAAAAATTGGAATTGAGTCGCGTCATTTGATAGAGGAAAGAACTTTTAAAACTAATGGGACCGAGTGGTCAACGCTGTCATTTGTTGAGGAACATTTAATGCTCGATTCATTGTGTTTTCTATGAAATTTGATTGAGACTTACGAGAGAGACTTATTTTTTTACGTAACAACCCCCAGTTTTAAGGAAAGCCAAGAGCAAGAGATGTTATATTCTCATTAGTGTTAGGTGTTTAGTAGGACTTGGAGGGAGCCAGGACTGATTGGTAATCCGTTATTTCAGCGGCGTGATGAGCTTTTCTGTGAAGCCCGGTTCCTCCGTTTCTCAGAGCCCAGTGTCTGCGGCTCTTTTCAACCTCGGGTGCTGGAGGGCCGACACCCGCGGGCGGGCTGTCACTCCGGCGCGGTTCATCGGGAGCCTCCGGTGGAGGAGGGGGTGGGGAAGCGGGGCAGCTTTCCACATTCCTGAGCTCAGTCTCAGAAATGCGGTTTCACTGCCGATTTCAGTGCGTGAATTCCCACATCAGAAGCATCCAGTGAAATGCTCGGGAAAGATGGAATTCGAGTGAGTTTTGTTAGTTCGTGGTATTACTCTGTATCTATATTGGAAAGTTGCTGGTTTCTAAATAATTTCTCTTAGGTAATCTCCCCCACCTCCAGATATCCTAATGACAAATAGGATTAACATATAAAGTAACTACCACAAATAGTGCTTTTATTTATTTTTTAAAAATCTTTATTGTTGAAAGTATTACAGTTGTCCTCTTTTCCAAACCCCATTGACTTCCTCCTCCCCCCTCCCGTCCCCACCCACCCTACCCTCAGGCTTTCACCGCAGTAGTGCCATTTTTTAACCTAGAAGTTTTACTTTAAAACTGGGAAGAAAAATAGCAAAAGGCAAAACAAATCACCCTTTTTTTTCCCCTACATAAAGCATTATTTTTTTAAAACATGTATACTTTAACAAATGTTTGGAAAATTAGTACTATATTGCGTCTAGTCATAGTGCATAAGAATGTTATATACACGAAGTTGCTCACTTATCCCAACTTTGATTTGTTCTGTTACTTTTCACTCTAGTTTTTAGGTATAACAACACCAGGTCTTTGCCTTTTCTTGTATTCAAATTGCATTTTAAAGGTACTTTTTAGAGACTTTATTTCATGTGTCCATATTAGTAAGTAGAAAAGACCTTGGAAGGAAAACTTATTCCAGCATCCTTTGATTTTCCATTCATCCCTGTTTCCCACTCTCTACTTTGTAAATTAGAGATGGTAGTTGCTCAGTCAATATTTTCTGAGTGAATTAATAATAAAGATTAAGGTTTTACTTATTAATCTACTGTAGGTCTACTAAAATGAGGTCTTTTGTGAGGTGACCCTTACTCTAATAGCAGGCTAAAAAAATATTATTTCTCCGCTTCTTAAAAAAAATGTTTTTATTGATTTTCGAGAGAGGAAGGGAGAGGGAGAGAGAGATAGAAACATAAATGGTGAGAGAGAATCAATGATTGGCTGCCTCCTGCACGCCCCCTACTGGGGACTGAACCCACAATCTGGGCATGTGCCTGACCAGGACCGGAACCAGGACTCCTGGTGCGTGGGTCCATGCTCAGTCACTGAGCCACACCGGTGGAGCTATCGGATAGTTTTGTTGGGTAAGAAAGCTAGGACAAATGGCAAGCAATAGAACATTGAGCACTTATTATTGCCAGGCATTAGGTTTTCAAATATGACGTTCTAATTAGTAATTATTCCTTAGTAAATTTTTCAAATTTTATTTTATTGACTGCAGCAGAGTGCAGTTTATTGACTGAAAACTTTTTGTGATTCACAGATATGATTGGTGATTATAACGTCCGTATATAAATCAGTATTTGTCAACTCTTTGGTATTTGAAGAAAAAATGCCTGGTGTCATACCTAATGAAAGTAATGGGCTTTCAAGAGGTAGTCCATCAAAGAAAAACAGACTTTCCTTGAAGTTTTTTCAGAAAAAGGAAACTAAGAGAGCCTTGGATTTCACAGATTCTCAAGAAAATGAAGAAAAGGTTTCTTCTGATTATAGAGGATCTGAAATGTAGGTATCGTAAGTATATTTCTGTACTTTTAAAATTCTACATCAACAAAAAACTGGGGAAATTAAGTCAGTATCTTCAGACATTCCTACCTGATAGTCCATAGAGGCAAAAACAAACAAAAAAAACAACCACCACCACCCACACATATTTGTGAGACAAGTCTAACAGTATATGGTGGAAATAGCAAAACTAGTGGTGGTTCCCTTCAGGGATCACTTCCATGTTAACTCAATATACATTGTGTTCAGCCAATTTGACTAACTGGCAGAAATATTTATCCACTAACACTGCTTTTAATGTAAACGTGTTTGTTTTGTAGTATAACACGGTTAGTGTAAGGGTAAATAAATGGGTGATTTTTTTAAGAATACTGTACTTGACAGTTACCTGAGATATTTAAACTTTACTTATAGTCATACCTGATATGTGAATTAGCAAACCTGTTGGAGATGTACAATGGCAAATTTATTTTAAATAAAATTAAAAACAAATGCTTTTGATAAAAATCCTTTGGTGACTAAAAGGAGATCAGAACAAAATGAAATACTTTATTCCATCAATAGTTGCTCCAGTTGGAGTCTACACCAGCTCTCCATTCAACAGATAGGCACTCTGCTGTATGACTAAAGTAGATTTGGTTTTATGTGTAATTTCGTAATATTAACCAATAATCAGTTTAGGAGGTTGTGTGTGAAGCTTTTGTTTACCAGCATTCATGCCTATAAATACTTTGGGGTGCCAGAGTAATAGCAGCTATAAAATAAAAATGCTATAATGACCTAATGCTTGTTAAAGTTATAAACTTAATTCATTTTAAGTGAGGGACAGATGTGTAATTCTCTTCATAGACTCTTTTTCCTCTTTTATTTTTTTTTTGGGGGGGGGGCGTTGTTAATCCTCACCTGAGGATATTTTTCCATTGATTTTTAGAGACAGTGGAAGGGAGGGAGACAAAGAAACATTGATGTGAGAGAGATACATTAATTGGTTGCCTCCCACACATGCTGGAGATGGGGAATCGAGCCTGCAACCCAGTTATGTGCCCTTGACTGGAATTGAACCCAGGACCCTTCAGTCCACAGGCCAACCTGGCTAGGGCTCCTCTTTTATTAATAGAATCTGACTTCTTAGTGAAGCCTCTCCCAAATATTGTCATAGTCAAGCTATTCCCAGGTTTCTATTCAGAGTTAAACTGCAATTGATCCTTGAACATGGGTTTAAATTATGTGGGTCCATGTGTACCGGGCTGTTTTTCAATAAATACCGTAAATGTATTTTCTCAACATTTTTCTTTTCTCTAGTTTATTACAGTGGTTCTCAACCTTCCTAATGCCGTGACCCTTTAATACAGTTCCTCATGTTGTGGTGACCCCCAATTTCATTGTTACAAATTGAACATAATTAAAGCATAGTGGTAAATCACAAAAACAATATGTAATTATATATGTGTTTTCCGATGGTCTTAGGCGACCCCTGTGAAAGGGTCGTTCGACCCCCAAAGGGGTCACGACCCACAGGTTGAGAACCGCTGCTTTATTATAAGACTACAGTTTATAATACATGTAACGTACAAAATATGTTGATTGACTGTTTTTGTTTTCAGTAAGGCTTCTGGTAGGCTATGAATAGTTAAGTTTTGGGGGAGTCAAAGCTATAGGGAAATTTCCAACCATGCATGGGGAGAGGTCAGTACTTCTACCCACCTCTCACACCCCTAAACACACACCCTGCATTGTTCAAGAGTCAGCAGTACTTGATAAAAGTGTCATGATGGCTTAACAAATCACTACGAATTACTATTTTCTGATCTGTAAAATAGGATTAATAGCCTCTTGATGGAATTAACTTTGAGGTATCTTAATTGTAATAATTTTAAAGTGCTTGTAAAATTTGTATTCTGGTGTACAGCAAATTTTTCACTTCTGCATATTTTCTTAAAATGTCATTTGAGTAAAATCCATATGGTTTCAGATCATATAACTTTTGGGAAAAGACTAAATCTAGGGAAGTAATATTTCTGCTTTGTTTCTTTAAGATACTATTTCATTATATCTTTCTTCTCCCCTCTATACTTAATAGTGATCAAGTTGTTCCTGCGGCACAGTCCTCACCTATGAATTGTGAGAAGAGAGAAAACTTGTTACCATTTGTGGGGCTAAATAATCTCGGCAATACTTGTTATCTTAATAGTATACTTCAGGTAAGTTGACAATTTTGATATATAATAAAACCTTAGTAGGCAAAGAATGATAGAACATTTAATGCTTCTGAGAATTTCAGATTATTAGAGTATTTTAATTGTCCATACTACCTTTGCCTTTGATTGTAAATAAACTGGAATGGGCTACAATAAGAATAATGATTCTAAGTTGTATGTTATAACCTTCCTTGGGGTAAGAGAAAGTGATGCATTAAAATTGGGAGAGCATAGTTGAGTAGACCTTAAGTGGAAAGATGCCAGATGTTTAGTTTTTCTCTCAATTCCTGGTGCTATGGTGATATGTATTTAACCCTTGGAACCATGTCTGTTTTATGTTGTATTCTTAAAACCATAAGTCTTAGCACTATCTGCTCAGGCTCAATGCTTTATTGCCAGTGAAGGAAGAGAGTGGGCTACAATGATGAAATAGAGAACAAATTTGTTGTTGTTAATTCTCACCTGAAGATGTTTTTCCATTGGTTTTTAGAGAGAGAGGAAGGGGAAGGTAGGGACAGAGACGTAGAAACACTGATGTGAGAGAGACACATGGATTGGCTGCCTCCTGCAGGGCCCCAGTCGGCCAGGGATCGAGCCCACAACCGAGATATGTGCCCTTGACCAGAATCAAATCCGGGACCCTTCAGTCTGCAGGCCCGACACTCTTCCACTGAGCCAAACTGGCTAGGGCAAGAACAATTTTTTTGACACAAATCATAATCTCAGAATTTTCAGTAATGCACATTTTAAAGTGCGCTACTTAAAAAAGCATAATTTTTGAATAATGTTAAACACTATACTATTGTTGTTTGTTCAGTAAACACTCAGACAATTTCACTTTTTATAGGTATTATATTTTTGTCCTGGGTTTAAATCTGGAGTGAAGCACTTATTTAATATTATTTCAAGGAAGAAGGAAGCTCTTAAAGATGAAGCCAATCAAAAAGAGAAGGTAAAACATCAAAATAACTAAATATAAAAAGTGAATTAATGGAAACTCACTTGCTTCATAATAAAGTAATTAGATGCACAGAGGATTTGGGAGGGGGATACAAAGATTATTTCTCAGTTAAACTATAACTTAGAATTAAATTTCTTAGTAGTTTACAGTCAGAAAGGGAATTATTTGTCATTCTTGTAGGGTAGCTAGCTAGATTATTCCCATTTACTAAGTCTTCTCCAGGCCTTTAATTTATTGTTTACCAATAAACATTGTCATTTGTATACCCACCATCACAATTTATCATACCTTTGTATCACCTGTCACTCATTGTTTTTCCAATTGACTCACTTTTAAAATTTAATTAAAGGAACTGTTGACTTACATAATTAGAAAACCATTATCCACATAATAAATAAAAAAAAAAATTTTAAAAGTTTATTTGTATACCTCCATAAAATTACTGCTATGATGAAATTAAATTTAGAAAAACTAGTTTTGTCTAGTGAGACAAAGACAAGGGGGAAGGTACTTAATTTGTTCATAAATAATACTAATTTGTTTATTTCTTTGTTGACAGGGAAATTGTAAAGAAGATTCTTTGGCAAGTTATGAACTAATATGCAGTTTACAGTCCTTAATCATTTCAGTTGAACAGCTTCAGGCTAGTTTTCTTTTAAATCCAGAAAAATACACTGATGAACTTGCTACTCAGCCAAGACGATTACTTAACACACTCAGGTATAGCCTATAATATAATTTTAGGATTCTAATTTAGTTACTGCTTTCCTTGGAGGAGAGTGATACATGAACAAATGGGGGTGTAATAAAGGGCAAAGAAAACAGAAACTACATTTTTATAGTCCTTATTATCCCAGAGACTCCAAAAACTGGAACACTTTTAATAAGTTTGGTATTAAACTCATTAAACCCAAATGTATATGAGTTTATAGTCTTTATTCATATTTACCTGTAATAAGATCCATACATATTTTAAAATAGAAATAGTAATGTGTTTGCTTATAGTGTCCCTTATGTTGGTGATATATATTTTACTTATGTGTCATACTGTCTTTTTTAATCTGAAAAGATCCGAATACCGAAACATATTTTGTCTTAAAGATTTCAGATTATGAATTGTAGGTTTGTATTCAGAATATGCATACGAAATATAAATTACAAATATTTTTTGTTGTTGTGTGTACTTAGAAGAGAGCTGTTAACTGGATTAGATCTCTTTGTAGTATTGTCTTTAAAAATAAAACTTTATCCCATATATAAAAGAGCTTTATTTAAAATGTTATAGGTTAAGCCTTTTAAAAAATGATCTACTCATTTGGTTTAGGAATAGACCTAGATGTAATACATTGCTATATGTTTAACAGGCAGTGTAGCATAATGAATAAGAGCAATTTTTTAAAAAGTATATTTATTATTTAAAAAAAATGTATTTGTATTGACTTTAGAGAGGAAGGGAGATAGAAACATCAATGATGAGAGAGAATCACTGATTGGCTGCCTCCTGCACACCACCCTACAGGGGATAGAGCCCACAATCCAAGTATGTGCCCTTGACCAGAATCGAACCCGGGACCCTTCAGTCCATAGGCCGACGCTCTATCAACTGAGCCAAACCAGCTAGGGCTAAGAATTAGTTTGAAAGTTTCACATTTGTAGCTGAATGAATGCTTTTAGATTTAAAAAATAAAGTTATGGCCCTGGCTGGGTGGATCATTTGATTAGAGAGTCATTCCATACATCAAAAGGTTACAGGTTTGATTCCCAGTTGGGGTGCATATGAGAGGCAACTGATTCATGTTTTTCTCTCACATGGACGTTTCTCTTACTCTCTCCCCCTTCCTTGCTCTAAAACTCAGTGAAAGCATATTCTTGGGTGAGGAATTTTTAAAAAATATTAAAATTAAAAAAATAAAGCTATGATATCCCTATAAATATTAAATCATCCTATATAATAAAAGGCTAATATGCAAATCAACCAAATGGCAGAATGACCGGTCGTTATGATGCACACTGACCACCAGGGGGCAGACGCTCAATGCAGGAGCTGCCCCATGGTGGTCATTGTGCTCCCACAGGGGGAGCATCGCTCAGCCAGAAGCCGGGCTCACAGCTGGCGAGCAGGAGCCTCTCCAACCTCCGTGGCAGCGCTAAGGAGCAGCGAGCAAGAGGGCAATAAGGAGCAAGGGCTCCCAGACTATGAGAGGGCGCAGGCTCGGCTGAGGGACACCCCCCCTCCCCCCGAACCCACCCTGAGTCCAGGAATTCCGTGCATCGGGCCTCTAGTTTCTATATAGGAAAGTTTTCTTACTTGTATTCTTGATAAGCATAATATATGAAATGGGAAATATATATATTTTTTTAATAGGGAACTCAACCCTATGTATGAAGGATATCTACAGCATGATGCACAGGAAGTATTACAGTGTATTTTGGGAAACATTCAAGAAACATGCCAACTCCTAAAAAAAGAAGAAGTAAAAAATGTGGCAGAATTAACCAACAAGGTAGAAGAAAAACCTAATCAGAGAGAGGCAATTAATGGGGTTAATAGCACAGAGATGGACAATATGGGGCATGCTGAAGACTATAAAGAAAAACTCCCAAAAGGAAATGGGAAGAGAAAAAGTGACACTGAATTTGGTAACATGAAGAAAAAAGTTAAGGTATCCAAGGAACACCAGTCATTGGAAGAGAACCAGAGACAAACCAGATCAAAAAGAAAAGCTACAGGTGATATATTAGAGATTCCTCCTAAAATAGTCACTAAGCACATTCCTGAAAATGAGAGTGCAAGACCCTCACAGAAGAAATCAAAAGTTAAAATAAGTTGGTTAAAGTCTGCAACTAAGCAACCCAGCATCCTTTCTAAATTCTGTAGTTTGGGGAAAATAAACCAAGGATCCAAAGGACAATCTAAAGAAAATGAATATGATCTTGAAGAGGACCCTGGGAAGTGTGAAAACGATAACACAATTAATGGCTGTGGACTTGAATCTCCAGGAAATAATGTTAAGTCCATTAATGATAATGAAGTTAAGCCCATAAACAAAGGTCAGTATAATTTATTCTTTGACATTGATAGGCAGGTTAATAGTTGCAGAATTGGAATTATTCTCTTAGATATATGTACAATATAAATCTGGCTGACGTTTTGTTTAAATTAAAGAAAAATTTAATACTTTGTACTGTGGTGTTTTAAGCACTGCTATGTTTCGTGTGTATAAATCTCAATCTTAAGGTAATGTTAGTTTATGGATTATAAAATAAGGGAGTTCAATAAATTTTAACAGGAAGAGTATACTTTACCCCTTTATATAAGCAATATTTGACAAACACACGAAAGGTATTGTATTTAGTGTAATTCAGTTTTAAAGTAGAGAACTAAGTAGATGCATCATGCTTGGACTGGATTTCTGCCTACCTTCTTCCAGATCTACAGCTCTCAGGGAAACCAGTATTGATGTGGTTATGGCTTTACCAAGTGTCATCTTTATTTTAGAGTTACTCTCTAGGGGGTGGGAATTATGAAGACACAGTTGTGACTTCCTTTATTTAGAGAACAGTAATTCATATTCTAAACTACCTTTATAGAATTTACATTTCATGAATAAGGCACCTTTTAATGCTAATAAGCAGGTTGAGATTTGAAAATCAGCCTTTTTATTCACATATGCTTTAAATGAATATTGGTTACTTGGGCTATGCTGAAAAATTAATATATATAGACTTATATTTTCCTGTTTTTGTTTTAGGCACAGAGCAAATTGGTTTTGAGCTTGTAGAGAAGTTATTTCAAGGTCAGCTGGTATTAAGAACTCGTTGTTTAGAATGTGAAAGTTTAACAGAAAGAAGAGAAGATTTTCAAGACATCAGTGTGCCAGTACAAGAAGATGAGCTTTCTAAAGTAGAGGAGAGTTCTGAAAGTAAGCAAAAACTGGAGTATTTGTAAGGACCATGAAATAATTACAGTCTTCTTCAATAAGCAGTATAGTAAATAGCTTGCATAATTATTGAGCAGTTATTTTTTTCGTGTCTTTTGTATAATATCTTTCTGCTTATATAGCTTCACTTGTCAATAGTTAGCATTTGGAAAATTGTGGAACCTTTATTTTGATGTGTAGAGTATAATGAGAAAATGAAATGCTTTTGTAAGTTAACATTTGGGTACCTGAATTTCTCAGAGCTACCGAGGATATTTTTAACACAATATTTGAGCCATTGTTTTGTCTAGTATAAACCACAAAAAGCATGGAAATGTAACAAGAAATGATCATGAGACTGATTTACTTGCTCAGATATTGGAAATTGGCTACCTTCTATAATATTAAAAGCATAATATGCTAATTAGACCAGACAGCCGGACATCCTTCCGGACGACCTTCTGGAGGAAGCTGGGGCTGCAACTGTGAGGGCTGAGCCCCTTGTATGAATTTCGTGCATCAGGCCTCTAGTTAACACATAGTTTGCGGGTAGTTTTTATCGCACGCTAACAGGTGGCATGGGCCATTTTTGCTAATTTTTTGCGCAAATGGCAACGTTCAGTAAAATTACGATAACTTTAGTTTATGTATTTATACGTTACCCGCATTCTACCGCTAGTCTATAAGAAACGTATTAATACGTGTCCCGCGCTCTACTACCAGTCAACGTAAAACGTGTAAGTAAAACGTATAAATATCTTTCCCGCATACAATGTGTTAAATATAAACTAAAGTCTGTCTTATAATGAGTCAGAGACTAGGTTTTTCTGTCATATTCTTTCTGTCTCTAGCAAATGCTGATCAAATACAAGTATTTAAAGGACGTGCACAGTTGAGGGAGAACTTTATGATAGAGTTTCTGAAACTAGTTATTGTCTTTATTATTGGAAGGATTAGTAAGTTGAAATTGCATGCTAATTTTGAACATAGAACTTAGTGGTTTAACTTTTAAATGTTGGACAGATTTTTCATTTGTGAGTGAAAGGATTCTCTTATGTAGTTTCTCCAGAGCCAAAAACAGAAATGAAGACCCTGAGGTGGGCAATTTCACAATTTGCTTCAGTGGAGAGGATTGTAGGAGAAGATAAATATTTCTGTGAAAATTGCCATCATTATACTGAAGCTGAACGAAGTCTTTTGTTTGACAAAATGCCTGAAGTTATAACCATTCATTTGAAGTGTTTTGCTGCTAGTGGCTTGGAGTGAGTATTATAAATAAAAGCTATATGAAGAAAATGAGCTGATATATAAGAGAAGTTCTGTTCAAAATAGTATAATATAAACTACTGAAATGAAGTAATTTATAAAGATTGCCTTAAAAAGTTTGTTCTCTTAAGTTTCCCTGTAAAAATGCATCAGTATGAATACATATTCTGATTTCTTCACACCTTTTCATTCCTTATCAAATATAGTTGAATTGATGAAAGCAGAGAACAAATTTTATATACAGTAAGGTTTTTATAAGGGGAGAAAAAAGGCAAAATTATTTAGTTTTAAGGTAAGCCAGGAAATCAAATGAATCTGAACAATTTGATTCTTATATAGTTGAAAATTTAAATATCTAAAAGCAATTAAAGTATAAAAATATTAGTTGCATTTTGAATAGTCTGACTTTTCTGACATGTATACATGTCGTAGATTTTATTCCTTTTTATATCAATGAATTTTTCAAATTAGTATGAGAGCTTCCCAGTAACTCTCCATATACTTTATTTTGTGCCAGAAGAACGACATGATCCTTTCATTTACTTAACTGGGGGGGTGGGAGGGATGCCTTGAGCCTTCACAGAAACACTTAAATATTAATTAGCATTTTCAATATTTTTCTTTGTGGAAATATTTTAAGTACATAAGTTGGGGTCTTTTTTATTATTTTGTGTTTACTCATAGGAACACTAAATTTTAAGGGTTCATTCAGACTCTTAGTTGGTTTCACATTGGGTATATAAAAAATATAAAGTGGAATAGCAGAAAACCTTATTTTATTTTTCTTCCAAAGGTTTGATTGTTACGGTGGTGGACTTTCCAAGATCAACACTCCTTTACTGACACCTCTCAAACTGTCACTAGAAGAATGGAGTACAAAGCCAACCAATGACAGCTATGGATTATTTGCAGTTGTGATGCATAGTGGCATTACAATTAGTAGTGGGCACTACACTGCTTCTGTTAAAGTCACAGACCTTAACAGTTTAGAACTAGATAAGGGAAATTTTGTGCTTGACCAGTTGTGTGAAATGAGTAAGCCAGAACCACTGAATGAGGAGGAAGCAAGGGGTATGGCTGAAAATTACGATGATGAAGTGTCAATTAGAGTCAATGGAAACACACAGCCAAGTAAAGTTTTGAACAAAAAAAATGTAGAAGCTATTGGACTTCTTGGAGGACAAAAGAGCAAAGCAGATTATGAGCTATACAACAAAGTAGCTAATCCTGACAAAGGTACCAGTACAGCATTTGCTGAAAATAGAAATTCTGAGACTAACATTACTAATGGGACGCATGAATCTGATAGGAACAAGGAATCCAGTGACCAAACAGGCATTAACATTGGTGGATTCGAGAACAAAATTTCATATGTAGTGCAAAGCTTAAAGGAGTATGAGGGGAAGTGGTTGCTTTTTGATGATTCTGAAGTAAAAGTTACTGAAGAGAAGGACTTTTTAAATTCTCTTTCCCCTTCTACATCTCCTACATCTACTCCTTATTTGCTATTTTATAAGAAACTATAGAGTGTACGTTTTCCTTATGTGTATATATATATATAAAAACAGACCCAGACAAACATTGATAACGTTGATTACATCAAAAAGAATAGCTTATCTTTTGAAGCTATTGGATACTATTGGTCTCTAGGTTTTTGTATAGTGAAATTTGAATTACTGAAAACCATGTTAATTTTTAGAATTCATTTTCTGTAGTAGAGACTAGTGATGTATTAGCTCTGGGAAAAAACTTGTATAGGTTCTTAATTGAATTATCCAAAATGGAAGCATTTAAACACTTTTCAATTTACACCTTTTTTGTGTTCGCTTTTTAAAATAAAGTGCTTGTATTTGTATCTCCATATTTTGGAGTAATTACATGTTTATAGGTCCTGTGGTTTTTCAGCTAAGAAGCAGAATATCATTTCAGTACATTTAGTTTTATAAGTCATGAAGCCAAATCTTTGATGGGCTGTATTAGAGGCACAAAGTCTGGAATATGTATGTATTCACAATGGTGTGTACATTTTGTGCCTTGGGTTGCTTTGAAAGTGTCTCAGAAAACCTGGACAGTCTTATCTTCACAAGAATTTTATATGTATTTATGAAGATGATTCTTTAGTAAATCTTTTTGGGCATGGACTAATTTGTATCTCTTCATAGTCATATTCTGCACGATCTGTATATAGTATATCAAACTTAGAGGTGTGACCTTAAGTTTAACTTTTTTAAAAAATAAGGTCAATAAAATTTTAAATGCTTAAAAACTATGTATACAAATGCTTGTGTGTTTTTTTTTTTAACTTGCTTATTTTTACTATAAATATAGCTGGATTCTCTTAAAGAACAGAATGTATGTATACTAGTATATATACATATATATATGTGTGTGTGTGTGTATGTATATATACACATATATATACATTACACACATTCAGAGAAGAGAGTAAACAGGCAATTATCTTTAATACTTAATATTTTTGACTGTTGGAATGAAGAAACTTGGAAGTAGGATAATTCAAATTGTGCTTACTTATTAGTCCATCTAAGTTGTCATACTTAAAAATTGTAGGTAGTCCTTTAAAGTAGACATACAACTTTATGGAATCCAGAACTGGAGAACTTAAGATGATGCTTTGGGCACACACAAAAACCTGGTTAAATTTTCATTTTAAATATAGTATATTAAGTTGGTAAGTGGTCAATTATCTTATGACTTGTTAAAAGACACGTTTGGTATTTAAAAATAATTCTAAAGAATATACACTATTGGAATAACACTTTTACCCCATTTCAACAAATAAGAGTACCTGTCAACTAATAAATTAGTTACATAGATAAATAATGTCTTAAATTCTTCCATAAGATGGTGTTATATAAAAAGTCATGGCTCTCACCTCGATCTACATTCAGAATCACTAATGGAACTGTTTAAGAAACAGCTATGAACATTATCTGATGAAATAGGAACCACTAATAGAACTCTTAAAAAGAAACAGCCCTGAACACTACCCATAAGCTTCTGATGGAGTAGTTCTAGGCCTCCAATACTTAAGGAGCAGCCAAGGTTAAGAACCACTAGCAGAGGTTCCTGATATGAGAAAGTTTAAAAGAAAATTGGGAGTTCATGGTAAGTTACCAAGTGTTGATATCTTAAGGGTAAGAGAAAGCCTCTTCTGAATTAAGTCAGAAAATAATCAGTAATGCGTGCTAATTAAATCATAGATTTTAAAGCTCTTGATGTCACAGATTTCTTTGAAACTATTCAAACTTTTACATAAATGCAACCTAATGAGAAATGACCTAGGGGTTTAATATCCTCTCCCTTTTTATCTACCTCCTTTCCGCACCCATAGTAAAGTATATGTTACCTTTTTTGTTTTAAAGAATTTACATTCCTGCCTTGCCTTATTGTCCATCTGGATCCTTTGTCCCCAAATATATTTTTGAAGTTATACCTTGCTGACTCCTTGGATAACCCCTTGTGGTCCAACATTGTAGACTCATCTGAAAATCCTTTGCATAATTCAGTGTTTGAATTGATGTAGGTAAGAATTTGAGATGATACAGTTATAAAGGAAAGCTGCACTCAGGAGAATCATGTTTTGGAGATCTTATTTTCCTAAGTGATTCATGTAACTGGTCAGATCAGAGGAATCTATATGTATAAAAAGCCGGTGACCGGAATGCTGGAATGACCGGAACAAGCAGTTGCTATGCTGCCTACTGCTACTGGCCAACTGCCCGCGGCCCCTCCCCCTGGCCGGCCCAGCCCCAATCGGGGAGGGCCAGCCGGACCCGACCCATGCATGAATTCGTGCACCAGGCCTCTAGTAGATTATAAATGATGACTTTCTATAAGCTATAATACTACACAAAGAAAACATTGTCAAAACACTTCCAGAAATCAATGCATTTTCTTGGAAAAATTTGCCAAGTAATTGAAATATATTTCCCCCAAAATTGTTGCATTAATTTCTTATAAAGTTAAAATTTTAAGTTAATAGGTTCGTCTTAACTTCAGTTAAAAGAACTAATTTTACATATATTTTGTAAAATCTATACAAGTATCAAATGTAACTTCTCAGCTGGTAAATTAAAGTCAAACAGCAGTTCTTCATGTTCTTTTTATGGTGTAATAGCTTTATGATGTAATGGTTTTTGTCACGAAAAAACTGATGACTGGCTTGTTTAATTTGAAATAGGAATCATTCATTTTAGTTGCTGAGAGTCATTAAGCTGATACCATTATCATTAGTATAACAAAGTTGAGAGTAAAAGATCAAGCTACTGTCACTGGTATTGGCTATCCCAGTACTTAAAAGTTATTTGTACAATTTACTCTAACCCCCCTCCCCGCCTTTTTGGTGTCTAAATGCAAAATAGCTTAGAAACCAGTTTTAAGACTTCACAAACCAGTTATCAATGTCTTTACCCATTAATTCATTCAATTTGGAACTTTGGGGCCATAAAGTGACTTTCAACTTTTGTTTTCATTATGCTGGTTCTTGAATCAACTCTAACTTATTCTCTGCCTTTGTCAATAAAGAAAATTTGTAAAGTCCCACTCAATAAAATTAGTGTAAACGTTCACATATTTAATAGTACCTTTAAAATAAGCATTACTACATTTAAAATGGTTCCAAAATGAATCTATAAATGTTCATATAAATTAAAAAATACAAACTTAAAGTAAATAAAATTAACATTAGCTATGGTATAAATAATGGTAAATGTATAGTGTACCCTTGAGTCATTAAAATGTCTTTAAAAAGATAACAGCATATTACCAGAATATTAGAAGCCATAGCCATGATTCTCAAACTTCAACAATCTACATTTGATTTGGCCACTGCATTCTTCATTGAGTAAATTAATGCTACAATTTTCAGATTTAAGTCCCAAGTCTTATTTTTCAATAGATCTTAACTTCTTTTCACACTCAATGTTGAATATGTGGCTCTTTTCAAATTAATAAAACAAGTGTTTATTTTAGAGATCCATTTTGCGCAGGCTCATTCGACTGAAGGAATCTCTGGGAAGAAAAAGGATATAATTATAAGCAAACAAACTTTGCAAACTTCTGTAGATTAGGTTTACTTTTTTGTTCTGCCAAAGTTATCTCAAAGTTTTGCCACCAAAAAGTTAATAACTTAAAACTTTTTGTACCAAAGTTGTTACTAACTTTCAAGTTACTCTGCCTTATGTATATTCTGGTTTATAGACCTCTATAAATTAAAACTATATTGCAGTAAACACTTTATCAAATGCATTGATCTTTTAGTCACTTGTGCAACAGAAGCATTAGCTATGACAAAATAAGGAACGAAGGGATAATGGGAGAGATTTTAGGAAAATATTTTTTTTGCGATTATTAAAAGGCAAAAGGCAGCCCTAACCGGTTTGGCTCAGTGGATAGAGCATCGGCATGCGGACTGAAGGGCCCCAGGTTTGATTCCGGTCGAGGGCATGTACCTTGGTTGCGGGCACATCCCCAGTAGGGTATATGCAGGAGGCAGCTGATCGATGTTTCTCTCTCATTGATGTTTCTAATTCTCTATCCCTCTCCCTTCCTCTCCGTAAAAAAAATCAGTAAAATATATATATAAAGGCAAAAGGCAGGTGTTTATTTAAAACACTAAATTTCAAGTCTCAAGTCAGTGATTCTTAAACTTGAATTTTAGGACATGTTTACACTTAAAAATTGAGGACTCAGGAAGCTTTTGTTTATGTGGATTATATTTACCATATTAGAAATTAAAACTAAGAAAAAGTCAACTTATTTTTACAAAATAACCCATTACATAAATAGTTTATTAAAAATAACTTGCAAGAAACTTTAGGATAGTGGCATGCTTACATATTTAATGTCTGGCTTAATAAAAGGCCTATGTTCTCATGTCTTTTACAGTATCACGTTGCATGTAGTCTGGAAAACCACTGTACTTTCTCAAGAGAATGACAGTGAGAAAGGCAAATCATATTTGGTGTTAATATAAAATTAGTTTTGACTCAGGAACTTCCTGAAAAGGTCTCAGGGGCACCCTCACAGAAGTCCCAGACCACACTTTGAGGACAACTATCTTAATACTTTACAAGTAAGTAATATTCTAGATTTTTTAAATCAGTAAAATAAACATTTTAAATTGTAAGGAAGCTTTATTTTCTAAGTTTTGAAGATTTAGTTAATAGTGAGGAGACTAATATTCTTCAATACCTCATAATGTATTTTCCTTTATCCTTAAGTTAATTTCTTTCACTTATCCTTCCTAGTATTAAGGTTAATCTTTGAGGTTTATAACAATCTCCAGGAAAGGAAAGGGCAGGCATAAAAAAAAAGTCATGTTCAGCTTTGAATTTCTTAGTGTGGTTTTTTTGGTTCCAGGGAAAGTAGAAGTATTAAAAGCTAGATAATGTTCATAAGAGCTTTTCTAAATTCCAAAGAACTTCTTGCAAACATTAAGAATTGAATCTTGGGGGAGTGACCATAATCAGATAGTTGAGAAGGCAAAAGCTCAGGATAACAGTGTAAGGGAGTTCCCTTCAGATAGGAAGAATACAGTCTTTCCATCAAAAAGAGTGGGAGAGATTTGAAGGAAGTGAGACAAGCATTAGGAAACTGCCTGATGACCTCAGGGACCCAGCACCCTCATTCTAGGTCGTTTGTAAACAGAGTGTAAAACTGGTGGAAGGGGGTTAGAGGCAGCAAGAAGAAAAACTCCAAAGTGATTAAAGGAGAAACCAAAAGTGGAGGGGACTAGTATTGCTTCCCATTGGCAATTTTAAGAGGAAGCCACCTTGGGTATTCACATCTGTATGGGATGGTGGAAGCAAAATAATATTTGCCAGAGGAAGGATCTAAAACAGGCCCTCTGATCTCCCTCTGCTCCTGTAGATTGTGGAACAGATGCAAATAATCTACATGCTTTCTTAGGGGACATGACATATAGCAGGCAGGTAGGCATTTTTTGAGTGAACACAATTGTTTTCAGAGGCCTAGAAGTACAGAAATAGATTACTGAAGAATAAGAACTAATTCCCAGATGATCAAATAATTTTCTTTTGTAGTATAGCATGCATTTACATTCTGTTTTCTTACAAGCAACTTCAAAGGCCTTCTAAATATTAATTAGGTAAGTATAATTTAATGCCTTTACTGTTATTAATTCAGAAGGTGGTAACATACTGGTGCCACAATAATTCAATTTGTATATATATTTAGATTTCAAAATGCAAAAGCGGTTTACCTTATCATGCCCTGTCCAGAATTGAGGCACTAAAAAGTACAATGTTAAGTGCCATCCTTGGAAATGTACATGCCATTTAATGTCCACAACAACCTTTTCAAGGTAAGAAATTTTAGAGGAGAAATCTAAAAACTGCTCAAGTAAACTAGGATCAGTTGTAGAAAATTCCAAGTTATTTCTATTTCTAACTTTTTGTGTCACACTTGGAACGTAGAGAAAAACACTGAAGCCTTCTTGATACTCAATGTGGTTATGTGTTTTAATACAAATGAAAAAGAACACTGCATACTATTTACTGCCAGGGCTGAGGGAAACAAAACCCGGTTCCTGATCTATTCCAGTGAATTCTCCCACAAAAATACTAGGAAGTGTGACAGGACTTTAATAAAAGGAATAGTTTTAAGAGGCCAGACTTATATGTGGTCCTGGTTAGTATGAGTATTTAACACAACTTTGTGACTCCTGAATTACATACATATCTTGGAGGCTGATTCATGTAGAGATATAAAAGGCTTATATTAGTTGAACTTGTCAGGAGACACAATATCTAAAACCATGTAATAAAAGTACACTAATTCATTATTAAAAAAATTAATTCAAGCAGATTTTATTTTTCTGAACATAAACCAAATAACAGAAAAATAAGCATACCTGTGGCAGGTGACGGGTAATACTACCTTGTATAACTGAGGGATCTTTCTGTTTATCAGAGGTTGTAGGGCCTCTTTAAGGCGATGATAGTTTCTCTCCAGTTCTCTTTGATACTCCTTTTGATCTGGCCCAATTAAGCTCTTATTTTTTCTTAAGGCATCTTCACATCTAGAAAAAACAGTGATGTCAAAAACTCTTCTGGCATAGTTTGAGGGGTTAGTGAGATATATACATACACATTCCCCATGATGAGGACATTCAGTTTCTTGGTTGATTGTTAAATATCCTGCCTTGTATTAGGTTTAAGAAAGGGAACAGATGATCAGCTGTTAAAAATCTAACATTCACTTCCAGTTTTCATTTAATTGAAAATTACTTTTATTCAATAAAAATTTAACAAGGAAAAAATTGTGTATTTTTAAATATTAATTCTGAAGCCATTTTTCCTCCCTCCTATTACCACTAAACTTGAAGCTCTACACTGAAAGAAATGTAATAGCCATACTCATTTATGAGGCACCAATGGCATCTGGCACAGTGGTTTGCCTGTGTCCTAATAAATGTTTCTAAAGGAATAGCTCTTGATAACAGTTTATTCAGATGCTTGAGAAAAAATATCTGGACTCTGATAGGTAAATGAAAGGGTATTAAAAGACAATATATACAGATCGCCACTTGATGCTCAGAGGAAAATATATAGCCCCAAATGCTTACATTAGAAAAGAAGGCTAAAACTGAAGAGCTAAGCAATCTAAAAAGAACAGAACAAACTTGAAGTAAAAGAAGGAAATAAATTTAAAAGTATGACAGCTCTATATCAATACAAAAGTTGGTTCTTTCAAAGAAAAAAAAGACTAAGCACTGGCAAGATTAAATGAGAGAAGGCTAAATAATACCTATTAGAAATTAAAAATGAGATATAAGGTCAAATACAGCAGAAGTTTATAAAGGCACAGATGATATTATGTACAATTTAATGTAATAAATCTGAAATGATACTTTTCTAGATTAATATAATTTACCAAAACAGACTTAATAAGAAAAACCATGAATAATCCTAAAACCATCAAATACATAGAATCAGCCAAGTCACAAATCTATCCCCAAAGAAAACACCAACATGTAAATTCTAGCAAACACTGTGACGATGAATAATCCCAATGTAACAATTCCAGAGTATTAAAAAAAAAAATCCAAAGTATATGGCGGGGGGGGGAGGGGAGAGAAGAACTATTCTTGAGAAGATTTCCAACTCATTTTTCAAGGCTGGGATACCAAAACCTAATGGGAACTACAAGAAAAAATTGTATTTCAATCATCCTTAGAAACAATTGCAAAACTCCCAAGTAAAATAATAGGAAACTGTTAACAAATATTATACACACACACACACACACACACACACACACACACACACCATTTAATAAAAGTTTTAAATTTGTAATTATAAAATACTCTTAGCATAGCCTGGCCGGTGTGGCTCAGTGGTTGAGCACCGATCTATGAACCAGGAGGTCAGTGTTTGATTCTTGACAGGCCCAGTTGCAGGCTCAATCCCCTGCAGGAGGCAGCCGACCAATGATTCCCTCTCATTATTGATGTTTCTATCTTTCCTCCCTTCCCCTCTGAAATCAATAAAAATATATTTAAAACAAAACAAAAAAACTCTTAGCATAAGTACAAATAGTGGGAGCCTCTTTAGTTAAAACATCTACAAAAAACCTGAAGTAAACATTACACTCAATAGTGAAAACATTTCCTTTTAGATCAGGATCAAGAAAAGGATGCCTCTATTACTATTACCATTCAACATAGTGCCAAAGATCCTAAACATCACTGTAAAAATATTCTACAGATTAATTATTAGAATTAACAAGTAAGTTTGGCAACATTCTTATGTAAAATATATCACATTCAAATGCATTTCTGTATACCAGTAAACAAAACACAATTTTAAAAGATACCATTAACAAAAACATAAAAGTATTAAATACCAAGGAATAAATCAAAAGATATATAAGGCCTCTACAGAAAATTAAAATAATATTAAGAAAACATTTAAAAGATGTCAGTAAATGGAGAAATACACAACTATTTTTCATTGTGAATCACTTTCCTATATTTTCTCTTTTCAATTGTCCCTTAAGACATTATTTTACAGTGTGGTTTTAGACGTTCTCAATTTGAAGATCTTTATGTAGGAAGCCTGGAATACCTTTTAGTAAAATCTTTGAAGCAGAGTCGCAGTTTATTGTGATGTCTGAAGAGTTTTGGGTCATTGGGTATTTCAGATAGGAAAACCTGGGCAACTTCCAAAGGCCCCTGTAAAATAAGAAAAACAAGAGGAGTGTTTTGTCTTCTCTAAAATTAGAGAGATAGAAGTTACCTGAATGATTTTTCTTAGCATTAAAATGGCTGCATTTAAGCTTAATGCATATGTGTATGTGACAGGTTCTGGCCATATGTTTTTAGTTTTTCCTAATGTCAAGTCTATATTCTTGTCTACTACATTTAAATTAAATTCTTGGGCTACTGGCAATCAATTGTTAATTCAGATTATTAGACTTGGTTTCCTGAAACATTTCCTCAGTATACGAAATCTGTTCCCAGCACTGTAAATTAAAGAAGATAATCTTTTGCAAGTTATATTATTTGTGTGTTTTAGGGGGTTAAAGGTCTTAAAGTGTTTGCTCCTTTTTTGGCTTTATTCCTTTAACCTAAAAAATAGGGTAAGACAGCTGGCTGGTGTGGCTCAGTGGTTGAGCATCAACTTATGAACCAGGAGGCCATGGTTCGATTCCCGGTCAGGGCACATGCCCAGATTGTGGGCTCGATCCCTAGTAGGAGTGTGTAGGAGGCAGCTGATCAATGATTCTTTCTCATTATTGATGTTTCTATTTCTCTTTCCCTCTCCTTTCCTTTCTGAAATCAATAAAAATATAAAGAAAAAAAATAGTGTAAGACATATTATGTGAAATCTTACTTGAAGCCTGTCTGGATTTCCTCTTACCTTGGATATTCCCTAATCATCATCAGAGAGACAATGGGATGCCTTCTAATCTAAATATGACAAGTCTACAGTACTCTTTTGTGTACATATATTATTAACAATTTCAAAATGATCCTACATTACTTATTTATTCCTCACAGTTCAGTGTGGCAATCTGGAGAAAATAACATCAGGAAATATGTAAGACAGTAGGCGTTCACATGTGTGTACATAGCTCTGAAAATGAACCTTGCTTTTTTGAACACATTCTTTCAGTACAAAAAGGAAAGGCTATTTTAAGTGAACCAATTCCTTCTTTTTTTTAAATTCTCACCTGAGGATATTTTTCCATTGATCTTTTAAAGAGAATGGAAGAGAGAGGGAAAGAAAGAGAGAAATATTGATGTGAGATATACACATCGATTGGTTGCTTCCTGCACACACCCTTCCCAGGGCCCGGGCTGGGGAGAAGTCTACAACTGAGGTAGGTGCCCTTGACCAGAATTGAACCCAGGACCCTTCAGTCCGCAGGCTGGCAATCTATCCACTGAGCCAAATCAGCTGGGGCCCAATTCCTTCTTAATGGAATGTTTAAGAACAGACAGTGTAGGCAGTGTAGAAGGCAGGAATGAAAATCTTTACCATTGAGATGATGATAAAAACTTTTTTCAGTTTACCGTTATATTTATATGTTCAGTGTCTTTTGCAACCAGTTCTAACATCTTTTTCACTTGATTTGGCACTTATTTATGATCTTTGTAAAATCTAATCTAATAATAGACAAACATGGTAATTGAACGCACCTTTGCTATGCCTCCCATTGGCTAATCAGTGCAATATGCAAAGTAACTGCCAACAAATTATGGCAGCTAATTTGCATACTGCAGGCAGGGCGGGCCAGCGCAAGCCGCCATCTGGGCCCACATGTGCTGCCTAAGCCCTGCCCCCAGCCGGGACCCCCGTCTGCGGCCCTGGGCGGAGGGGCTTGGCGGTGCAAACGGGGCACCTAAGCCCTGCCCCCCAGCCGGGACCCCTGTGTGCAGCCCTGGGCGGGCGGGACCCCCGTTTGCGGCCCTGGGCGAAGGGGCTTGGTGGCGTGATCGGCCCGAGGAAGCCCTATTCTTGCAGGAATCCTCCTGCAACGGGCTTCTAGTCTATGTACAGTGGGGCCTTGACTTACGAGTTTAATTTGTTCCGAGACCGAGCTCGTTAAGGAGCCCGTTAACTCAAATTACTCTATCAACTCAATGCAAAAAATTGGCCGAGAGACAGCTGGTATCTCAAAAAACTCGTTAGTCGGGACACTCGTAAGTCAAGGCCCCACTGTATATAAAAGCCAAGTGACTGGAAAGACCAGTCGCTATGACGCACACTGCCGCTAGCCAACCTCCCACAGCCCCTCTCCTCAGGCAGCCCAGCCTCTGATTGCTCCCCCCCAACCCTGATCAAAGGTGGGACCGGCCAACTTCCCACATCCCCTTCTCCCCCCGCCCACCCCCCGCCCACAGCCCCAATCGGCTCTGATTGAGGTGGGCCGGCTGGACCCCACCTGTGCACAAATTTGTGCACTGAGCCTCTAGTATAATAATAAAATCACTCCAAATTCCATTCATAACTTAAACTAAACAGTGCCAGCAGAAAGCACCAACCTGATTCACAGTTGTGCCCACAGACCCCTGGAGCACCATCTGGAGCATTTTGGGATCTGCCGGATCCTGATGTGTTGCAAATGCCAACTCCTGTGTCTTTTTCTGCATGTCTTCAATAGCAACTTCAATTGGTGTTAAGATGATCTGGGTGAAATAACATCTATTAGGTCAGGGTACTGATAGAAAACTATTTAAAGAGTTTTATATATAATCAGGAAGAACCAAGATGGCGGCATAGGTTAATGCCGGAGTTTGCTGCTTTGAACAACTACTTCAAAAGTGAAACTAAAAGACGGAACAAACATCACCCAGAACCACAGGAACGCTGGCTGAGTGGAAGTCCTACAACTAGGAGGAAAGAGAAACACATACGGACACTCAGAGGAGGCGCAGTGCTGAAGTCAAATTCTGAGGTGCGGAGTGCGCGGAGCGGGCTGGCGGCGGAGGGCGCGGTTGGCGTTTTCAATCGGGAGGGAGTCGCAGACTCTGAGCTCCAGATACAGGCGAGTCTTTAGGGACCCAGACTCAAACGGGAGAAGCGGGACTGTCTGGCTTCGGTCAGAGCGAGTGCAGCTTTCTCTCTGAGGTTTGCAGCAGTTGCTGGGACTCAGAGGCAGAGCCCCTGGGGACAGGACTGAGAGCCGCCATAACTGCTCTCTCCGGCCCACCCTGTTGATCCTGTGCGACCCGCCCCGCCCAAGCCCTGCACAGAGGCATTTGCCGGATAGCCTCAGGCAAAGGCTAGATTAGCACCTCCCTAGAGGACAGAAGTTCTCTCACTGCTGACACAGCTGATTCTCATAGCCGCTTGGCCTGGAGGTCAAACCCTCCCTGGTAGTAGCTACAACAATCAAGGTTTAACTATAAGCTGCACACAAAGACCACTAGGGGGTGCACCAAGGAAGCATAACAAAATTCGGAGACAAAGAAACAGGACAAAATTGTCAAAGGAAGATATAGAGTTCAGAACCACACTTTTAAGGTCTCTCAAGAACTGTTTAGAAGCCGCCGATAAACTAAATGAGATCTACAAGAAAACTAATAAGACCCTCGATGTTATATTGGGGAACCAACTAGAAATTAAGCATATATGGACTGAAATAACGAATATTATACAGACTCCCGACAGCAGACCAGAGGAGCGCAAGAATCAAGTCAATGATTTGAAATGCGAGGAAGCAAAAAACACCCAACCGGAAAAGCAAAATGAAAAAAGAATCCAAAAATGCGAGGATAGTGTAAGGAGCCTCTGGGACAGCTTCAAGCGTACCAACATCAGAATTATAGGGGTGCCAGAAGATGAGAGAGAGCAAGATATTGAAAACCTATTTGAAGAAATAGTGACAGAAAACTTCCCCCACCTGGTGAAAGAAATGGACTTACAGGTCCAAGAAGCGCGGAGAACCCCAAACAAAAGGAATCCAAAGAGGACCTCACCAAGACACATCATAATTAAAATGCCAAGAGCAAAAGATAAAGAGAGAATCTTAAAAACAGCAAGAGAAAGAAACTCAGTTACCTACAAGGGAATACCCATACGACTGTCAGCTGATTTCTCAACAGAAACTTTGCAGGCCAGAAGGGAGTGGCAAGAAATATTCAAAGTGATGAATACCAAGAACCTACAACCAAGATTACTTTATCCAGCAAAGCTATCATTCAGAATTGAAGGTCAGATAAAGAGCTTCACAGACAAGGAAAAGCTAAAGGAGTTCATCACCACCAAACCAGGATTATATGAAATGCTGAAAGGTATCCTTTAAGAAGAGGAAGAGGAAGAAAAAGGTAAAGATACAAATTATGAACAACAAATATGCATCTATCAACAAGTGAATCTAAGAATCAAGTGAATAAATAATCTGATGAACAGAATGAACTGGTGATTATAATAGAATCAGGGACATAGAAAGGGAATGGACTGACTGTTCTTGGGGGGGAAAGGGGTGTGGGAGATGCGGGAAGAGACTGGACAAAAATCGTGCACCTATGGATGAGGACAGTGGGTGGGAACTGGGAGGAGGGGAGTTTTTTGGGGAAAAAAAGAGGAACAAATGTAATAATCTGAACAATAAAGATTTAATTTAAAAAAAAAGAGTTTTATATATAATCAATTAAAATAAAAAAAGTGGAGACCAATTGTAAACTATCATTTAATAATAAAATCCCAAACTTTGGATGCCTTAATAAAAAATCATCTTTCTAAGTAAAAGCTGAGTGTGAACTAGGGACTTAAAAAAGAAGCTTAAAGTTAAAAAATGGATAAAGTTCTATTGTGCTAACACATGAAGGGTGGTACATAAAGGCACATCCACACTGTTCTCACATGGCTCCAATGTATTAGTTTCACTAATTCTGTTTCCCCATTTGTGAACTTACCTCCTCTTTGTGAGTAACATTGACCCTTGTCTTAATATAAGGAAAAGCATGAGAAGTAGTCAGTATGGTCTTCCGTTTGAATTGTTCATGAAGTTCCCCATGGGCACGGCCATCTAAAGTGAAGGGTGTACAGTACATGAAACGGCGAAGATTATAATTTTTGTCAAAATATGTGATTCTGTCCTTCATCTCATACGTGTCAAAGTATGGCTCCACGTAGGTAATCTGAATATACGCCTGGGAAAGGAAAAAGTCCTTCATTTTCTCACTGATAAATCATCACACAGTCTCTCTCCAACAACATCACAGTCTCAAAAATATGGCTACGTGTCACTACAGTTCAATCAACCATACCTTGTTAGGATCTAATTTACACTTGTCTACAGGATTAGAATCCTTGATTACTTCAACCACATCCTCTCCAAATCTTTCTCCATAAAATCCCTACAATAAAGAAAAGGAAATCTATTACATGATGTTTACAGTATTACAGACTAGAGAAGGCCTCTGAGGGAGACTCCTGACAAAATTAGGCCATTTAGTAAGCTTATGTACAACCATGTTAATAATTACAAAGTAAATTATATTTAGCCTACAAATTAGCCCAGTCTCAGTCCATATTTATTTGATATTATCCCCATCCACTCACTTTAAATAACACAAAGTAGAAGAAAACAACAATTTTCTTCAATAAAAATACAGGGTTTCACAAGAGGTCCTCAAGAAAAACAAAAAGGGACAGAAAGCAGAAACAAAAGAAGTTCAGTATCTTTGATGTATAGGATCTTTTATTGTGTCTGATGAGGCCTGATTTCTTGCAGACATGGGTCAATGAAGAAGCATTCATTTTTATGATTAAATGCAATGCCCTAGAATTTCAAATAAAAGCACTAACTTGATGAAGTTTTACATAGGTTTAGATTTTGAAAAGGCAACCCTGGGTCAAGAATGTAGTGACTTTTCCATATGACACTGAGTAGCAGCATGGGCAATGAATGGAGCTATTCAAAAGAAAAAATTAAATTTGAATCTTCAAAGGAGAAACCCTACTCTTCCTCCAAAGGTAATTTTTATGATTAAGTTTTGAGAAACACTGTCTTACTTAATATTTCCCAAGACTTACCTAGCCTCTTGAAAAATAAAGTCACAGTTTAAGCCAATTTATAGAAATAGAGACCAGTAAAGTCATCAATAAGAATAAAACATTTAAGAAATTAACCATTTTGTTGAGAATACAAACAAGCCTAGAGCAGTGTTTCTCAAACTCTTATGTGAATACAAATCACCTGGGTATCTGGTTAAAATGCAGATTTTTATTAGGAAGGTCTGGGGCAGGACCTGGGACTTTGCATTCCAAGCAATCTCCCAGCTGATGCCAGTGCTTCTGGTCCCTGAACCACACTTTGAGTGATAAGAATAGAGAAAGGTTGGAAAGCAGAACTATAGCAGGAAAGATAATTCCCTTTACTCTTTAGAACAGTTTATTTGGCATGATATAGATTATCAGATGATCAGATTTGGATCTGAAAATCTATTCATCATTGCAAATTAAAGATGACATTTTATGAACCACCATAGCATTCACCTCCAATCTGTGAGAGATCTCTGCAAGTTTGGTGATTGCAGGCTCCTTGTAAACAAATTCCTGTTCATCCAAATCCCCAAACTTGGTTCCATAAAAACCAACACGAAAATAGGTGCCAAACATCCGCTTCCCATCCTAGGTTTAGGAAAATAAAGAGACTTTAATACAAAGTCTTTTTGTTTTTGACATTATGCTTAGATTGCTATACTATAAAATTCCCAAAACATTGCAAAAACTTTTAATTAAAAATTACAATACTTTGTTATTTCCCAAATGAAGATAAAAACAAAGCAATAACCTTTCATTTTCAATATTTTTAACAAATAACATTATGTAACTGGGCTTTCAGCAACTGAATAAATCACATATGCTTTTTCAGGTTTCTACCAAGTGACTACTTCACATTGGTTTATGTTTTAAGTCCATACACTTGAAATAAATTAACTTATGTTCCTTATTGCAAGAAAAGATGCTCAGTATGACATAGACCGTGTCTTAACTGTGCTGAAATTAGAGCATACTACATAAAAACACTAACGTTTTTAGTTAACAGCTTTATATAATCTCTAAATATAATAAATTAGATCATAAAAGTTAGGAGCCAAGTATAGCACCTGGCATAGAGCAGACAATCAGTAAATGCCAAGACCATCCAGAAGCACTTAAGCAAAAAATTTATAGTCAGTAGCCTGTGCTGATAAAAATATTTTTATTTGGATGAGTAAGTAAAAATGGAATAGGAAGGGAAAAATGTAAACTGAAAGCTAAAAGGGGAAAAAATTGAGAGGAGTTAGTTATCTGTCAGTCCTCAAACCACCCACTTCATACATTAACTACACATTCATTTCAAGTATGACGTACACCACAGTCACTTTTACACAGTGCATTTGGAAACAAATTCCTTCAATAAAGATAAAATAGTGGGAAGCTTTCTATGCAATTCTTTCAATTTAGATACAAAGATATTTTAGAAGGATTTTGTGGTGGCTCCTACATACACAGCACACATAAGTATTTTAAGCCTAATCTGTCCCATACTTATTTTTCCTATATTGAGTTCTTACTGTAAAGGCAAAGGGCATGTAAAATAAGTCATAAATGTCACAGATAATCAAGCAAAATGGAAAAGTCTGATCCTTAATTTACCAGTTTTACAATTTTTAGAAAAGTACATGTTAAAATACCCACATTTTTGTCAATATTTAAAGTTGTTGTTGTTTTTTAAAAAGTCTTTGGAGTCAAATAAATGTGAGGTTTCTAATTTAAAAATTTTTCACAAGTTATTTCATTTCAAAATTTAACAGACATAAAAATTAACTAATTTCTACAGCAAAAGATATCTTTCTAGATAGATTAAATGTATTCAACCAAAATTCTGATAAAAACTATCAACATGCTAATGGAATAATAGCAAATTTTGACATAATTAGAGAACAAAGAAAATACTGCATGGAAAATAAAAATTATTTTTAAAAAATGAATGATTTGTGATTATTTTTCAAAAATATTCTATACATGAAAATTCTCACAAATATTAAAATATTGTTATTCTGGCTGTACTCCTCTCAGAGGTTTTGAATTTAAGATACTATTTCAAGCCCTGATCAGTTTGGCTCAGTGGATAGAGCCTCGGCTTGAGGACTGAAGGGTCCCAGGTTCAATTCCGGTCAAGGGCATGTACCTTGGTTGCGGGCATATCCCCAGTATGGGGTGTGCAGGAGGCAACTGATCAATGTTTCTCTCATTGATGTTTCTAACTCTCTATCCCTCTCCCTTCCTCTATGTAAAAAATCAATAAAATATATTTTAAAAAAAGATACTATTTCAAATCTTCAATATCATGGCCTTTTAAATATTTGAAGACAGCTATTAAAATTTATTTCCTTTAGCTATACTTTCCATATGAGAGTAATCACTATCCTGTGTGCATTTTATTTGTGTTTTTTTCAGTGCCATCTTTTAAAGTGTGGTACCTCAGAAATAGACACAAGACTGCTATAAACTGATCTGATCAGTGAGGCTGACTGCCTCCCTGGATCTGGACTTGAATTTTATTAATGCACTTTAAAATTGAGCAACCATTTAAAACTCTTTATTTACTTTCCGTAATAACATTCAGTTCAAGGAAAGACATTGAGTGCTTATGATGTTAGCCACTATTCATCAGTAACAGGAACATACAAATAAGATTTGGCTCCTCAAGAGAGTAAAAGATGTGTTCAAATAATTACAATACGAAGGGTTACGTGCTAAAAAGTTGTACCGAAAAATATTAACCCTATTGGAGCCAGGTCACAAAAGCGGTAACACACAGACAGGGTTCTACAATTTGAGAATGGACGTGGGAGGGGGAAAGAATAGGCCAGCAGAGAAAGAGGGAAAGAGGGAAAATCTTGAAATAGAATGTCTGTAAGGGAAACCATCCATTCACATATTTGAGTGCCTCCTGTGTGTCAATAAACTATCCTAGACATTTGTGATAAATCAATGAACAAAAGAGACAAAGAGGGTGGTCAGGATAGGTCTCCTCAAGAAGGTGACATCTAAGCAAAGACATGAAGAAAGTGAGTTATTCATGTGGATCTCTGGGGGAAGTGGATTCCAGGCAGAGGAAAGAGCAGTGCAAAGGCCCAGGGGTAGGTGCCTACCTAATGCGTTCTGAGAACAGGAAGGTGGTCCTGTGACTGACGCAGAGTTAAGAGGTAACTATATGGAGTGGCTGGAATTAAAAATGAATGTGTGCATACTAAAATGAAGGAGGGAGCAGCAGAGGCAGGAAAATTAAGAGTCTGAGTAAATTTATTTTCTTTCTTTTTTTTAAAAATAAATCTTTACTGTTGAAAGTATTACATATGTCCCCCGCCCAACCCCCATGAGTAAATTTATTTTCAACTTAGAGTTCTCCAGTGTCAAACCACTGACGCTATCAGGCTCATGAAAACATTAACACATAGCTTTATCTTCAGGAAAAACGTCACTTCCATCTTTATTTTCTCTTCAGAGTTTTGGACCACAGAATGATAACTGTTTTCCTTTGAATTTGAAAAATAAAGATCCACTTTTCTTTAACCTAGCCTATGATTTCCTAACATAATCTTCCTTTATTGTTATGAACTCTTTTGGAACTTCCTACATACTTCAACTTATTCTTCCTTAGCAGTTCTACTTACTGACTTGCACAATCTTGTGGGTGATGAAACTATCCCAGACAAGGAAATCCATCTACTCATCTATCCATTTCTCTAATGGTTGAAATTTCTTATGAGAAATATATGTTAAATCTGTATTTCATAAGAAACATTCTGTTGGGCTAGTTATATATTTCTACAATGACATCACTTCTATAACTTCTTTTATCCTCACTCAATTGTTTTCCCCTATATTTCCTTCAAGTTAACTGATTTCCATAAAGGCATACCAGTGTTTCACACAGTGGTAGTTCCCTTCTATTAGATCTATTCCTCTTAAGAGAACTCACTGCCCTGGCCAGTGTGGCTCAGTTGGTTGGGCATCATCCCATGCATCAAAAGATTGCCAGCTCGATTACCAGTCAGAGCACATGCCCAGATTTCGGCTTCAATCCCGACTAGGAGGTGTGCAGGAGGCAGCCGATCAATGTGATGCCCTTACATTGATGTTTCTCTCTCTCCCTCTCCCTTTCTCTCTCTCTAAAAATCAATTAAAAAAAACTTTTTTAAAAAAGGTAACATTAAAAAAAAGTAACATACTTAAAAAAAAGAGAGAGAACATTTACACACTTTTATCAGTTTATTTAGTCACAGGTCTCAACTTGGGGACATAACACCTCTTAGATTTTATTAACCAAACTAGAGGCCCAGTGCATGAAATTCATGCATGGGGGGAGGGGGTAGGAAGTCCCTCAGCACGGCCTGCACACTACTCTCCAATCTGGGATACCTCGGGGGATGTCCAACTGCCTCTCGCAATCCAGGACCGCTGGCTCCTAACCACTCGCCTGCCTGCCTGCCTGCCTGCCTGCCTGCCTGATGGCCTCTAACCCCTCTGCCTACCTGCCTGATTGCCCCTGACTACCTCTGCCTGCTTGCCTGATCGCCCCTAACTGCTCCCCTACCGGTCTGATCACCCCTAGTTGCTCCCCTGCTGGCCTGATCGCCCCTAACTGCCTCTGCCTCGCCCCGCACCTGGGACCTAGGACCCAGGATTCCCTCCTCTGGCTGGTTGCAGGCACCAGGGACCCGGGATTCTCGCCTTCTGGCTGGTCACATGCACCCAGGACCTGAGCTGGCTTGGCCCGGGCTGGCTGCAGCCGCAGGGGACCATGGGTGGGCGGCTTGTCCCTCTCCCAGGCTACAGGCGCAGCCACTGGCGCCCAGGACTGCGGAGACCATGGGGCATGCGTCTTGTCCCTCTCCCGGGCTGGGCCACAGGCACAGGCACAGCTGCTGGCACCCGGGACTGCGGGGCGGGCAGCTTGTCCCTCTCCTGGGCCGCAGCCTGGCTGGTCTCCATTCCTCTCTCGCAAGCTCATTTGTGCCTGGTGGGTACCTTTTCCTCTCTTGCGAGCTCATTTGTGCCTGGCGGGTCCCCATTCCTCTCTCTCCAGTGTTGAGCATCTGAGCCATTACAGCATGACAGCGTGATGACCATTTGCATATCAGCTCTTTATTATAAAGGATTGTGTTAAGATTTCAAGTAATAGTAAAAATAATGATAATAAATATAGTACAACAAAAACAATAATCTCCAATATTTTTGAGTACTTAGCATGTGCTAGACACTGGCTATCCACTTTACATGTAGTATGTCAACTTTTATCTCAATTTTGAGTGAGGTACCATTACTTCCCCCTTTATTTTAAGAGAAGGAAAAATAACTTGCCCAAGATCACATTCGGAGACCATACTGTGGTGGAGTTGGGAGTAAAATCCCAATATATTTGACACCTTAGTCCAAGTTCTTAATTAGGCTATATAATTCCCATACTGTATATACTGGTATACAAAAACTGGGACATAAGTATATATATCATTTGACACTTCTCTTATGTTTTCCCTGAGAATTTTTGAGAATTTCCTTGAGTAATTACTTGGTACTTCTCTTCCTATGTTTTGTCTTTCTGTATCTTACAACTATTCTCTACTATGAATACAAATTGTCTATTTTTGAATATAAATTGATCACTATTTGGTAAAGATATCTTTTTAAAATGAAATACACATACAAAATATGAGGCGGTTATAAAAATTTCCAAACAGAAATTCAACATTTCTCTTTAATAAAAATAATTTAAAACGCGATAATAAGAAATTATTAAAGCACATCGTATTTCCTATTATTTTAAAAATATGGACGTGGGAAAAGAAAAAATAAAAGTGAAGAGTAAACAGCCATCGCGGTACTGAAACTGGATAGCAGATTAACAGTCACCATGATTCATAAAGGGTTTGTGACTGGTTATTTTGCATGGTAAATACTTTACTAATAAGTGTCAAGTTTTAGAGTTACCATTTACATACATACACAAACCTGCACACACATCCCCCAAAAGCTTCACCAACTCAAACAATTTATACCAAATCAAGGAGAATAAGGAAAAATGAAACACATTGCAAATATATAAGTGCAAAAGGCTTTTCCTCTAAGTCAGAGTCATTCTACAATGTATAAATTATCCTTACTGAATTTCAACCCAGTGAGAGTTGAGAATACTAGGAAATTAGCTAGAAAACACAGTTGTTTAGAAAAAAATGAAATTACTGAAGTTTTCTGAGTAAAAAAGAAAAATATTCACATGATAGGAACTTACCACAATAGACAATAGTAAAAGTAGGGAGTAGGGTCAGCAACCAGGGGCAAGAGAGAAGAGAAAACAGAAGGCATTTTAATTAAGGAAATTTCAAAACAAATAAGCAGCAAATGGTAGCAAACACATTTTTTAAAAATGCAAGCATCCATTTAAGTTTTACAAGGAAAAAAGCAAAAAACAAGCGTGCAACAATTTTAGAAGCTACAAAGCTAAAGATCCAGTGAAAGGTAGTGACAAGATATAAACAAGAAAATAAAGCCTGTGACTTTTACCATGCAATAAACATGATGACAGAATGATATTAATGTCATAACCAGTGAAAATTATACCTTTCAGGGGTCGATTTAGCATCAAGCTGACTAGTAATAAACTGCTCAGAGGTTTCCATATATCTTTTATGCTTACTTTTCAGCTAATTCCATTTCACGATAGGAAATCCATAAGGAATGTTATCACTCATAGATAACCATGGCAAGTCTATATATGTCTTAATTGAGCCACAGAAATGAGGGATTCTATACTAAATATTAATAAGGTCATACACATTTCATCTAGAGAATTAAGGTAGATGCAAAAGTACAAAAAAAAAAAAGTTGGGAACCAATTCAGAAATGGAAGAAAACACAGTAGTAGCATTTATTCCCAAGGTTTTCTATTTGGGTCCCAAAACAAGGGCTGCAATACTGAAATCAAACAGAAAGCCTAAGCTCTTTAGTCAACATGAACGTGACTATGAAGTGAGAAGGCAAAGCAGACAACTTTACAAGTACACCTAGCTTTAAATAAATTTGATTTATTAATATTTTGCTTTACCTCATCAAAATAAATTGAAACACATTTTATAGAATTCTTTCCTTTACATAAAAATTTAAAATAATGGCAATCAATTTCTCCCTGGCATTTTAAGATTTGATTTATATATAACTTTCATGAGCCTAACCACTTACTACATAAAAGGCTGCACATGTTGTTTTCATTAAACATTAATTATCAAACACTGTCAGAATATGAGGTCAAATTAAATTTCAAGTTCTCTCAATCTCTTTAATCTTTCCCCCCAACAAAACTGAAAAAACAAAAGTGAATTTCTTTCTTCAGGAGTGCTTATACTCAAGGTGAAGAGACTTAAGATCAAATTAATACATTCTTTCATCAATTCTAAGATGCATAATTGTTTTTGCATACATTTTAATATCTCTGTAGTTGGCATTAATCTTTCACCTGGTAGGATATTGTGGTTTAATACACAGGTTTCTTTTTTCTTTCTTAAATGCATGTAAATTAATGGGATGTCTTACAATTGATGGCATCTTAGATCAGATGAAATACAGTATTTTCTATTTACACCTCTGAGCAATAACACATAAATCGACCTCTGTAAAATGAGGTGAAACAATATGGTTAAAAAAAGAAATCTGTGTGTAAATGTTGATGAAAGAAAATGCTTCAAGGGATCAAAACAAACTAAAGTGATGACAAAGTGGCTCATTTACCAAAGAATCTCATTAGTGTAATATGGATTTCCATGCACTGCCTACACCTCTTAATAATAAATTAAAAAAAAACTTACAGTATTTTAACAAAATTTCTTTGGTTAATGAATTCAGTTGATAGCAGATAGCAACAGAATGCCCACAGCTAGCACATGTGGGCAAAGCATTGGCATAAGAAATCTGATCAAATCAATCTATTAGTGTCTTTAACTAACTAAAACATTACCTACCTCCCAGCCAGTACTCTGTATAATAAAAAGTAAAAAAGGGCAGGTCATAAAAAAATTATTTAAAAAGAACAAAAAAAGGCCAAAAGAAGTTCAGTAGTATAAAGAAAGGCACCATATACCATAAATTCTTCTCCACTGATAGAAGACACTAGGATATTTTTTAAACACCACATTCTTTCACTTTTAAGACCGCTGATAATTTTATAAATTGCTTGTTCAAAACCTGGTAGCTAAAATTTTACCTTTTAAAAACTTTAAAAGTGAAAGTACATATTTTGGGGAAAGAAAGCCTACTGCTTGTTCCATTTGTCTGTCTAAATTAGATCTCTCACTAAACTCAGCTGAACTACCTGGGGTAAACTGGAACAGAAATTGCAATTTTGCTCAAATGCCTTTGGCACAAATGGATGAAAGTTTCTTGGAATCTACTAGCTCTAGATGTTCCAGATCTGACCTGTGTAATTTGCAGTTTACAGCTCTAGAAGCTGGGATAAGGCTCCTTTGACAGTATCTGTATAATTGATTATAACCACCCCCCAACCCACTTATGATTCCTAGTAAATCTTTTGCAATTTCAGTATTTTAGCAGACAACAATAAAATTCTGGCATAACAGTACAGCAGCCTTATTTTAAGACTGTTAAAGTTTTTAGATTATATCATTTCATCTTAGTCCATGGCAAGAAAGAAGAAGTCAAGCTGATAGACAATAAAGAAGTAGTACTGATATTCAGATTCCACTTCCTTCTTAGATGATGGCAGTAGCAGATAACAGCATGGGGAGCACAGGAAAGGGAACAGTAAAGTGGAGGAGGAGAAGGCTCAATAGCGTATTTCGGAGTATTTAAAAGGAGCCAAGGGTTTCAGGGACATCAATTGCTAATAGTTTAATTGTAAACTAAGTTTATTTTAATTTTAATTTTTGTGATTTGTGGATTCCATGAACTATAAACAAGTATTGAAGTTATACTATTATAATTCAATACACATAAGACAACCATTTTGTTCATTATTTTTATATTAGAAATATATCAAAGAATGATTGAATGGAAACATCTAGGGCAGTGATGGCAAACCTATGACATGCGTGTCAGAGGTGACACGCGAACTCATTTTTTTGGTTGATTTTTCTTTGTTAAATGGCATTTAAATATATAAAATAAATATCAAAAATATAAATCTTTGTTTTACTATGGTTGCAAATATCAAAAAATTTCTTTATGTGACACGGCACCAGAGTTAAGTTAGGGTTTTTCAAAATGCTGACATGCCGAGCTCAAAAGGTTCGCCATCACTGATCTAGGATAAACAGTGAAGGCTAGTTGAAATCACAAAATATTAGGAGTTTATTAAATTTTCTTATCATTTAATAAAAAATTAACTTAAAAAACTTTTTTGGCAGCCTAGAAATAGAAATCAATTTAAAAATCAGATTCATAACTATAACTCACACTATGAAACAGAAAATAACACACAATTAAAAAAAATTTGGCAACTAGCAATCATTTAAAAAAAGTGATTAAAAAAAAAAAAGACAAGCTGTGTGGGAAGCTTATGATGATCTTAATCTACTTTGGATAAATTCAATTTTTTGTTAATGAGCCTTGCTTTGGTACTGAACCATCATTTTGACACCATTCATTTGTAACCTGATTAAAATGGTCATTCCATGGGATCCAGTTTGACATCAATACAATGCAACACTAATGCTTTTAGACAGTTTCTCCATTTATACTGAAGCTAGAAATTGCAATCATTACCTGATGAACAATTTTGCTGAATGCTTCTTGAAGTTTACCATGAATTGTGGATAGTTTCTTTGCATCCCGATTAGCTTCATGAATAGGAATAAGTACTTTGTACACCTCATTAACTGCTTCATACATGCCAGCCTATAAGAATAAGATATTGCTTTCTTTTATATCAACAAGAAAGTAAATACTTACACTTTATGAATTCACAATATTTCTGCTAAAACAATACCAACTGAAGCTTTTCCAATAGGACATAAAAACAAACAATACTAATTTTAATTTTACTAAAACTTAGAAGAATTTTTCACAATGTATTATCTTCTCTAGATAGATATACACGAATATATATATGTGTGTGCATTTAACATACATATGCATATTTATACTTCTATATAATCTGAATTGGATTTTCTGCTTCTACCTACCCAGGATAGGTAGGTAGAATTATTAATTATTAATTATTACCTTACTTCGCTAAGGTAAATATGTGTATGTTTGAGTACTTCTACCTGCAGATAAACTTTTGCAGAAACTAATTCTAAGCAAAGAAATAAAAGAAATCCAATTATTACATTGGTCACAGATACATAGATATCAGATAACCTGTGGCCTCCAACGAAACTAAAATTATTTAACTTTTCCAAAATATTAAACTGGCACAGGAAATTGCCTATGGAAAAACAACTGATTTATAACAAAACATGAGAAGGTCCTGAGTCATCAAATTTTCAGATTTTATTCCACTATGGCTAGTTGGCCAATGGTTGGCCAAGGGTTACTCTTGTTATACTCAGAGTGAGTGACGAAATGTGTTTGTACTACTCTTCCATTCTCTTGTCCTTAATCATGGGTTGGTAGCTGTAGTGAGGGAAGAGAGGTTTTCCAAGAGCCATTGAGTTCCCATTGCCTCACAAATCAGCAAACATATTTTCCCAAGGAAATAAACATATGGTTCTTATTTTCTAGTCAGTTCACAGGTGTATGTTTAAGCAGTCACGTAGCTATAACAATGAAATATATTTAGTGTAACTAAAATGCCTCAGTAATTATTTTAATTAAGATTAAATAGACTAATGGAAAAAAATGAAATTCATAATTACATGCTATTTATTGCAAAAGAAATTCTGTAATTGGGCCATTGTACCACAATTTGAATTCACTACTGTGAATTATTAAAATTACAAGCACACACACACACTAATACACACAGTGTATATTTGTCAAAATATTCCATTAAAAGCAAAAAACCTTTTCCCCCTGCTAGTTCAGATCAATTATATTGAAACTCGTGGAGCAGAAATCCATGGAAATCAGGACTGTCAAGGTTCTCAAAGACAAGAAATTTTAAAGTGGACCAACACCTAACATCCTTAGAGTCTAAGAATTATATTTATTAATTTAAATTCTTCTTCTTCTAAATCCTTACCTGAGGACATGCTTAGAGAGGAAGGAAAGGCTGGAGGGGTGGGGAGAGAGGAGGAGAGGAGGAGGAGGAGGAGGAGGAGGAGGAGGAGGAGGAGGAGGAGGAGGAGGAGGAGGAGGAGGAGGGGGGGGGGGGAGGAGGGGGAGGGGGAGGAGAGAGATTGATCAGTTGCCTTCCATATGAGTCCTGACCAGGGATCAAAACCAAAACACAAGTATATGCCCTGATTGGGAATCTAACCAGCAACCTTTCCACGCACGGACGATGCTCTAACCAACTGAGCCACACTGGCTGGGCTAAGAATCATTATATTCAGATTACCTGGTTCTAAGTGCCAATACAATGCAGATGAAGATAGTCAACTGGCTAGTGTGGCTCAATGGTTCAGCACACATTACTAATCTGGAGCCACATTACATATATTAACTCATTTAATACTGACAACATTCCTATGAGGTAGGTATTATTACTAGATGCATTTTATGGATAAGAAATGTAAGGTACCAATAGGTTGAGTAATTAGTGCCTAAAGTGATTTAATTACTAAGGTGGCAGAACCAGGACTTGAATTCTGGCTGTATGCCTTCTAAATCTATAACCTTAACCAATGTATTGCAAGATAGGGTTAAGGTCAAGAGAAGAAATGACCAATTTCTAATCGTGGTGCAATGGGGAAGTTGGGGCAGCATTGCATATTAACTCAAGCTACCATCTTACATTAACATGTACCCCACTGCCTCCTAAACGTTGGTGCTGGGACACTAAACACTCAGCAGAAAAGTCACAGAAAGTAGGTGACCCTATCATCCTGGTTAAAGAAGGGGATTCAGCTAGCTATCTCTCCTTTCTCTGATAAACCTCTCATCCTAGATCCGCATGAATACTTAATTTTTTCACATACAGATGTGGAGGGACAGGGTTGGGGTTAAAGCATGGTAGAGTAGGTCACACAGGGATCTAGAATATATTTCATGAAATTCCTGATATGTGAGCTCCAGGCCACTAACACCTACCAATAGGGCTACCAATGAGATGAGAAACCATGATCTTCCTGAGTACCAGGGGGATACTCAACACACACAAACAGATTTTCCCTTTCATCTAATACACAGGCCATGCCAGTCTACCCAAGCAGGAACTGAAATCGTTTAGAGTCCTTGTTTTCTTCTGTTCTGTTTTTTAAATAAAATTCTGTTCTGTTTGGTGGTGAAAGTTTTATAAACAACAATAAAAATTTGTTGTAGATTAAGGGTTGGTCCATAAACAAGCAAATAAACACTAAAAGTGGCAGATTATTAAGATTAAAAGGAGAGTAAGCAATAATAAATTGATGAAGAAGATTTATTCCTAGATAGTTCTTAAGGTACTCAGAGAAAACTACTGTAAAGGAAAAGCAGGATCATAAGCAGAGAGAATAAATATACACATCACTAATAATCCAGAGGTATGTAACTAGGGAAGGAGAATGAGCATGAGTCACTCACCATAGAGAAAGAAGCAGCTGCTTGCTCCAGCAATCCCACAAGTCCTGACTCAGTGAAGTACTTTCCAGAGCAGATGCCTTCTTCATCGGGAGATACAACGTCATCTGAGACTGCAGACTCTTCTAAAACATTAGATGAAATATTCTAGGGAGAAAAAAAATCGAAAAGGTTTGTGAAATGGAATTAATTTCTTAGCATAGAAGATGTATATGAAGAAGTAATTTAAGATAAAATATAGTGATCAGCTTAGGTTAAAAAAAAAGGGGGGGGGTAGTCAGCCTGGCTAGTGTGGCTCAGTGGTTGAGCACTGACCTATGAACCAGGAGGTTATGGTTGGATTCCTGGTCAGGGCACATGCCTGGGTTGTAAGCTTGATCCCCAGTAGAGGGGCAAGAAGGGTGCAGGAGGCAGCCGATCAATGATTCTCTGTCACCATTGATGTTTCTATCTCTCCCTCTCCTTTCCTCTCTGAAATCAATAAAAAAAAAATTTTATGGGTAGTCTATGCACAGAGAAAAGACAAATCTCCAAAACCTTTTTGTAATTTTGGAGATGACAGTAAAATGTTGTGAGAAAGAAATTTTTTAAAAATCATGTGCTAAGAAAAATATTAATATGACATAGGACATCTAAGGAGATTTAAATAGTATTTAATTGATCTTGTCAAAATTCCCTTTGAGGGAAATTAAGGTACAAAAAACCATATGGTCTCTTTGATTTGCCCAACATACATTGAGTTAATAAAAAACTCAGGTATAATAAAAAAAAACCCTTTACTCCCTAAGATTGGGATCAATCATTAGTTCTAAAAAAGAAATGATAAATAAATACCTTAAATATTTTATTTTAATGTAAACACTGACAGTAGATATACACTCTTTTGTCAATTTTTCAAGTAAGTCTAAGACTTTTTCTTTGAGTATGGGCCTCGAGATCAGAGTTCCATGTACGTACTCTTGACTAAATACCTATAATGCAACCATTATTTAATATTTTCAGTTTTTATAAAGTAAAGATTTGAACTTAAAAAGTTTATAAAATTATTTTAGAATTTTAGGAGCTTTTCCTGAAATCTTTTATATCCATCGGGTCCAAAATTAACTCAACTGTTCTGGAGACTCACTTTTATCAAGTCTTTGCAAATCATTCGACCTAGTTTTCAAAGAAACAATAACTCACTTTCTTTTTGCATTTGGATTTCATCACAGCATGTAATATTTAATCAAAATTAGACATTTTCCAAACCTGGCATAATAGGTTTTTAAGAAAAGTAACACATAACTGACTCTTTGTAAGCAAAGAACTCAACTAGTGAATCAGAGGTATGTAACCCTAGTAAACTACCACTTCTGAGCGAGGTATTAGCATATTTTATACAAAGGATGGAGAATGTTGGTTATCTGGTGTGTTCAGTAAAAGCCAAGGAAGAGTTTCTACTGAATTTTTTAAAAAATATATTTTATTGATTTTTTTACAGAGAAGAAGGGAGAGGGATAGAGAGTTAGAAACATCAATGAGAGAGATCGATCAGCTGCCTCCTGCACACCCCCTACTGGGGATGTGCCCGCAACCAAGGTACATGCCCTTGATCGGAATTGAACCCGGGACCCTTGAGTCCGCAGGCTGATGCTCTATCCACTGAGCCAAACCGGTTCGGCTCTACTGAATTTTGATTCTCAGTATTTTGAGTGTATTCCATAGATGACATAAAGTCCATAGTACTTTAGGCAAAGAGAAAAAACATACATGGCACTGGTAATGCAGAGGTAAGACCATGTGGAGGGAATTAGCAAGAAGTACTCGCATACCTTCCATCGTTATGCTTTCCCTTCCAGACGAATTAATCTAAACACCAGGGAGAAAAATTACAACCAAAAAAGGGCATACCTCGATTTAATGTAAGTCTGGCAGATTCCTACCTGAAATGTTACACACCCCACAGGGAGGTATTTGCGGTCCTCCAGCATGCTCAAATATTCCGCAACCAGTGCTGCTGAGTGGACCAGGCACTGCGCAGCCTCAGCGTGATTGCTGCGCTCCGAGTGCTTGCCAGCCATGTTCTGCAACCAGGTCAGTCGCAGGTCTGGAGAGGTCTGGTAGCCCTTGGCAATTCTAAACAGAACAGAAATTCTCCCCAATTAGCATTTGCTTCCTAAGCTGAAAGGGAGTTTAGATTGCTTTTTCCTGGTAGTGTTTACCTACAAATTTCCCTATGAGGGAAATTAAGGTACAAAAAACCCAACCAATTAAGACAAGTTTTTTAGGGGAATGGAAATGTCTTTGTGTGTATGCTTAGAGAAAATAGCTGTGGGCCCATGGAATGGGCAATATCAGTTTTTTGTTTTTTTTTGGGGGGGGGGGAGTACTAAAAATAGACATGCCATATTGAAATCTGGCTATTAAAGAAAACAATAAGGGAAAACTATGAGAATTTATGTGTTCATTATGAAAAAACATAAAGACGTTTTATATTCAAGAAAAAAAGACTTATAAATATATTTGTCTTATTTACGCTCTTTAAAGAACTCCAAAACTGTGAAAAGAGAGGGTCCTGTGGCAAAGAAAAAGCCTCAAGTTTTACTGACATCTTTCATCATATAATAGGAATTACAAAATTCTCAAAATGTGCCCCTAGACATAATCTATAGCATAAGCATATTTATAGTCAGGAAAATGGTTATGATAAATATTACTAAAGGATTGATTTTTACATTTAAAATAGGGTTCTTGAGCCTTCTTAGGAAGTCTAGGGCGCAAGACGCCAAGGTGTTAAATGTGTTCTGATTATTTTTTAAAACCCTCTCGTTTTTTGACAATCAATAAATATACTCAACAATTATGTATAGTTCTTAAAAGAAGGGGTACACAAGGGATGTAAAAAAGCAGCCTAAAAAAAGTGCATTTTTACTTTTCAATCTACCATTAGGAAATCACTTAATATTTGTATTTTTTTATCTAATGTTTCCTGTGTCTTACTAATTTAAGCCCATTATAGAAGCTATTATAAGTGATTCAAACAAATGGTACCTGTACATTAGATCAATCAACATTTCAGGATCCTCCTGGTGTTCCTTCATTTTAACAGTATCAGAAAGGATCATATGAAGATTGAAAACCAAATCTTGGACCTGCAACAGAGAATTATATGAAAAACATTCTTCAATTGCCATTCATTCACAATTACTAAATTAGTTTAGAAGATATTTCCGAAGAGTATCTGAAGATTTCAAAACAAATAATTGATATAGTTAAGAGTGGAATTGCTGGAGTATGGTGGGGTAAGGGTACTAAACTTTCCACAAATTCCTCAGCAGACTGTTTGTTTGTTTTTTTCAGTTCTTTCAGTTGGAAACAAGTAGAACTATAAGTAGAAATAAAATATAGGGATAGAATAGATATAAAAAAGAATACGAAATATAATTCTCTCCTATGTTTCTGATTCTCCCAAAAGGTAGTTTGTAGAAAACTCTAGTTTTTAAGGCAAATTACTATTTCAATAATAAGTGGAAATAACGTTTCATCATAAAACTTTTTGGTTGCCCATACTGCCTGTCTACTGTTCTTTCTGTGACAAATACACAGAATTAAACCCTTCTTTATTTAATCCAAGAAGGAAGAGTAGCTTATTGAAATAAAAAATTCATCCCTGTCTATGGCATATGATATGTGGATTGAAAGAAAAATACAGGTTCCTCCAGTAAAAAACAAAGATTGATTTAACAGTTTGGAAAAGTGCCTATTGTACAATCCTTTTTCAATTAATGATCTAGAAAGTGGCATTTCTGACCTGGTCAGGAAAGGTTGTTTCTCTCAATTCTAGATCTTCTTCAGCATAGGTCAAGATAGTCTTCAAAGAACGTCTTAAGAATTCTTCATTAAAATTCTGAGATGTACCCACCAAGGAAGATAGTGACATGGTTACCTGCATTTTAACCCTGGCAAAGTTCTGTAACAGAGAAATTGTCAGGTTACCATTTAATATAGGAGAGCTTAAAGGAACAGTCTAAAAGAAAAGGTTAGTTAGTGAAAAAAAATACCACTCTAAGCAAAATACTTTTAAAAAGTAATGAGATCTGCGTATTAAAATCTTATTTTAAAAAGAACATAAAACTTACAATTTTGCTGTGAACACTATGCTACAGAACAGGGTTTTAAAAAGTGCCATGTTTTACAGTTAAATTAGAAGTTGTGCCTAGACTTAACATTGACCTATTATGAAATACTAAAGGCCCAGAGCACGAATTTGTGCACAGGTGGGGCCCCTCTGGGTGGCCTGTGGGGATATGGCTGAAACCCGAAATCCAACACTGCCTGCAGCTCCTACCTGCCGCTCCCGCTCATCCTGGCCCCACTCGAGGAGTGGCACAAGGGGAATAGGAGGGGAGAGCCTCTTGAAGGGAGTGGCTTGTGGGATTGGGCTGAAACTGGCTCTCCGACATCCCCCGAGTGGTCCTGGATTGTGAGAGGGCGCAGGCCAGGCTGAGGGACCCTTGTGGTGCACGATCGGGCTGGGGAGGGCTCCAGGATGTGTCCGGCCTCATCTTGCCCAGTCCCGATTGGGGTTGGCCGTAGAGACACGGGAGGTTGGCCAGCCGGAAAAGGACCGGGGGAGAGCTCCAGGGATGTCCGGCACATCTTGCTCAGTCCCAATTGGCCGGACCCCAGCAGCAAGCTAACCTACCAGTCAGAGCCAGGGGTGGGCAAACTTTTTGACTCGAGGGCCACAATGGGTTCTTAAACTGGACTGGAGGGCCGGAACAAAAGCATGGATGGAGTGTTTGTGTGAACTAATATAAATTCAAAGTAAACATCATTACATAAAAGGGTACGGTCTTTTTTTTTTTTAGTTTTATTCATCTCAAACAGGCCGGATCCGGCCTGCGGGCCGTAGTTTGCCCACGGCTGAGTCAGACCATCTGCACCCTGGTGGTCAGTGCACGTCATAGAGAGCGATTAAGCAGCCTTAGCATATCATTAGCATATTATACTGAGATTGGTTGAACAGTCAACCGGTCACCAGACGACCAGACACTTAGCATGTTAGGCTTTTATTATATACAATGTTATTAATAATAACACAATTTTTACAGACTAAAGAGCTTAACCAACCATCACAAAATTCTTTTTTTTTTTTATTTGTTAATCCTTGCCCTAACTGGTTTGGCTCAGTGGATAGAGCATCGGCCTGTGGACTGAAAGGTCCCAGGTTCGATTCCGGTCAAGGGCATGTACCTTGGTTGCGGGCACATCCCCAGTAGGGGGTGTGCAGGAGGCAGCTGATCAGTGTTTCTCTCTCATTGATGTTTCTAACTCTCTATCCCTCTCCCTTCCTCTCTGTAAAAAAATCAATAAAATATATTAAAAAATAAATAAAATTTAAAAAAATAAAATAAAAAGGTAAAATCTGTTAATCCTCAACCGAGGATATTTTTCCATTGACTTTTAGAAAGAGTGTAAGGGATGGGGGGGAGAGAGAAACATCAATGTGAGAGAAACATGTGGATTGCTTGCCTCCCGCACATGCCCTGACCAGGGCAGGGGATCAAGCCTGCAACCAAGGTACGGACCTTTGACTGGAATTGAATCTGGGACCTCCAGTGCCACGACTGGAGGCTGATACTCTATCCATGGAACCAAATCACCTAGGGCCACTACAAAATTCTTAAATGGTAGATATGGTCTTTAAACTCTGGCCCATTTCATTGTCCATTATTATGACATAAATAATTTAACACAAATCATTCATAAAGTAACTTAAAAGTAGAATCTTTAGAATAATGCCTATAAGAGAGTTTATATTCTTCCATTTTTAGTGTAAATTTATTTGTTTCACCATCCCCCACTATGAAACTATTTTTAAGAGGTTATCAATAATAACATAGTAATTTTCAAATTGAAGATATTTTTGTCAAAATTCTATTTGACATCTTTGTATATGTAAATGTATTACTTAAAATTTCCTAGCTTATCTTCAGTGGACCACTTTATCCTGATTTTCCTATTTTTTATCCACTCTTTTGATACCAAAGATTCTGTCAAGAAACTTTAAAAAAATATATTTTTTAATTGATTTCAGAGAGGAAGAGAGAGAAGCATTAATGATGAGAGAGAATCATTGACCTCCTGCATGCCCCCCACTGGGGATTGAGCCTCCACGTGCCCTGACCGGGAATAGAACTGTGACCTCCTGGTTCATAGGTCAACACTCAACCACGGAGCCACGCCAGCCTGGCAAGAAACCTTTTTACTTGTCATACTCTAAATAGTCTCATCCATTTCTTTGCTTTTGACTAGTATAGATACATGCCTATGTCTTCATAGCTCATATTTTTCTCTAGAGTTCCAGGCTATTATATTTTACTAGATGGCTCTATCTGGATGTGTTTCATGGGTACCGCAATTTTAACACTAAAATACTTTCTCTTCCTATTGATTAAATGTACTCATTCAAGCCAAAAATCTAGAAATCACTCTTCCCTTATTACTCATACTATAAATCCAATTCACAGTTCCCTGATCTGTTCCAATCTGTTCTTTCTCCATGCCCAATGCCATTGCTTTAGTTTCTACCCTTACCATTTCTTGCCTGAATTACTGTAATAACTTCCTAACTGATCTTTTTGCCTTTTCTCTTATCCCCCAAGTCTATCTTCTAAATAGCTTCAGAAAATTTTTTGTCAAATGCAAATCTAAACACATCTCTCCTTAAAATGCAAATCTAAACACATCTCTCCTTAAATTGCTGAGCATAGCTTTAAGGATAAAATTCAAGTATCAACTCAGTAAATGTGTCAAACTACATGGTGGGAACTGAGACTACAATAACAAACAAAACAAATATCTGTCCTATGAAACCTTACTCTAGGCCTTTTCAATGATAACTTTCTCTCTTATTACTCTCTCTTCCAGCCATAATCATCAAGCAGTGCTAAAAAGTATCTTTTTCTCTTTCCCCGTCTCCTTCCATTATCTCCAGGCCATTCTAATTATTTAAAAAGCTCTATTCACCTACTTATCCTAAGGTACAGATGCCAGAAATAATGGGGAAAAAAACACTTCTTTTAAATAAAAGACTAATTTTGAAGTGATAAAACTATCTGTCCTGAAAAGTAAAAGAGTAAAAATTTGTGAGGAGTGGACAGAAACAGATTGGCCAGAAACTTAGAAAGTTAGATAAGATGTATGTATAATAGCAAAGTTCCATGAGAAATACATTCTTAAAGAATTTGCCTACAAATACCTGGGCCAGCTTATTCTATACTGAGTAATAAAATGGTAAAGAAGATCAGTGAAACTCACCAGATAAAGAACACTTATTATAAAAATGCTGTCATGAAACAGATGAAAGTTCTAATGAAATATTTCGCCTTACATTATAAAAAAATGTGTGAAGTCATTAACTTTACAAAGGAAAAGACAGAAATAAAAATTTAAGGAAAGATAGCAAGAATCAGAAAGTGATTATGAAACAGGAGTTCACATGAGAGTCGACACTACTTGAAAAAGAAATAGAAACACAAAAGATAAAATCGGTAAAAGAAAGATGTAAAGAACATAAAAGTATGTACAGGGGAGAGAAAAGCACCTAAAATGAATAGAAATTCAAAAAGTGTTAAAAAAAAAATAAAAAAAGAAAAGAAAGGAGCCCAGCGGCGTGGCTCAATGGTTGAGCGTTGACCTATGAACCAGGAGGTCACAGTTCGATCCCTGGTCAGGGCACATGCTTGGGTTGTAGGCTCTATCTCCAGTATGGGGGGTGCAGGAGTCAGCTGATCAGTGATTCTCATTATTGATGTTTCTATCTCTCTCTCCCTTTCCCTTCCTCTCTGAAATCAATAAAAATATATTTTAACAAAAATAAAGTATTAAAAAAGGAAAGAGAAAATGATAGGTAAAAGGTAAAGCAAAAACAGATCCAACATATGTATAACTGGTAGCAAGCAGAAAAAAATATCCAAACCCTGGAAAAAAACAAATATTCAGTTCTACACTCAAGAAAACTTTCTGAACTAAGTGAATTAAAAGTAGACATGTGCCTGAGAAAATTAACAAAAATCAGTCAACACCATAACATATTCTACAAAAGGGATTTAATTTCAAATATAAAGAAAAGGATCACTGCTCCAGCTGGTTTGGCTCGGTGGATAGAGCGTTGGCCTGTGGACTGAAGGGTCCTGGATTCGATTCCAGTCAAGGGCACATGCCTGGGTTGTGGGCTCAATCCCCAGTAGGGGGCGTGCAAGAGGCAGCCAATCAATGATTCGCATCATTGATCTTTCTCTCTCTCTCTCTCTGCCTTCCTCTCAGAAGTCAATAAAAATATATTTTTTAAAAAAAGAAAAAAGATCACTTGAGCAGCTGAGAGGGAAAAATTTATGTAAAGGGAAGAAAATATCAGGCTATATTCAGATGGCTCTACAACAATATTTAATGCCAGAATAAAATGATAACCAAGTACCTTTTTTATCCTATTAAGTATTCTTTATGTTTTAAGTTTTGCTTTCTTGCCCTTTTTATTATTCAAAGTCTGAGGCAAAAATTTCACTTGCTGTCTTAAAAGTAGAAACAACTTTGAATAATCAAGAACTTGGGAAAGTTTCCCAAGAACTTTCTTGAGAAAATAGCTACAGAATAGTATTTAGCTGCTTGATATTCATTCAGCTATGTTTGACATTTTTCCTTTTGGCACTTGACATAATTAATGATAAAGCTGAATAACTTTTTTGAATTCAATAATAAAGTTTAAAAAAATTTCGAAGCCCAACCCACACACAGAAGCACTGAGGATCAAACATAAACAACATCCATAAAGAAGCCAATGAAAGCCAACAGTCACATATAGACCACCTCTTGCCATATGATATTAGGATCCCGCAACTGACTGAAAGTCCCTCCAAATCACAGCCATATATCCTCCATTGTTTTGCAGCACCAATTTTGCATATATTTTGTTCTTTATTGTCTATGAACTTAATGCCAGTGCTGCTCAATAAAACCCAATGAGAGAAATAACTACAGTTGACCCTTGAACAAAAGTTTGAACTCATACATTAATTGTTTTCAGTAAATACTGCGAATGTATTTTCTTTTCCTTGTGATTTTGATAACATTTCCTTTTCCCTAGCTTACTTTATTATAAGAATATAGCACATAATACACATAACATACAAAATATGTGTTAATAAACTGTTTATGTTATTGGTAAGGCTTCCGTTTAACAGTAGGCTGTAGTAGTTAAGTTTTGGGAGGAGTTAAAGTTATACGTGAATTTTTGAATGTGCAGGGATCAGTGCCCCTAACATCTATGATGTTCAAGGATCAACTGTACTAAAGAGTGAAATGCTAATGGTAGGGCTGTGCTTTGTAAGGCTACAAACCATTGTGATAGTTAAGATTTTTTTTTCTTTCCCAAGAACCAATTTGTACTTGCTTGGTGGCAATATTACCCCCACTAAGAATTCATAGTCTAACAAAATAGATGACTAAAGATATTACATAACTAGATAAAGGTAATTGTTAGAGCAATATAAACTTTCCTGAATATAATAAACATTATACCCAAGACATAAAGTGAACTAAGCAGATAGTTCAAGGTAAAAACAACCAACAAATTTTTTTTAAAGAAGGGGAGGCATAATAACATAATACAACAGAATTCAAGGACATATTTGTTATAATAGCAAATATGAAAAGATTTACTTCACTTAGAGTGTATTACATAGAAAAATTCTATCTTGTATATGAGAGGCACACCTAAAACAGATTCTTAAAAGTAAAAATAAAGAAACAAAGGTAACTGAAGAACACATAAGAGGTATAGGGAAGATAAAAGCACACAAAATGAACAGGATTCAAATTAAAAAGAAATCAGAGGTATCTTAATACAAGGTAGAATTTAGACCAAAATAAGCTTAAAATAAAGCCTATTCAATTCTGAAGGGAATAATAATTCATAAAAAGGATGTAATAGTTATGAATATCAATTCACCCAATAAGAGCTAAAGGAGAAAAATATATAATTTGTAGGCTTAAAATCATTTCTCAGTCCAGCAATGGACCAAAAATAAACAAGGATATAGAAAGACAGAATAATGTAATTAATAAGGTATTTTTGTTTGTTTAACTCAATGCTCTAAAAATAAGAAATACCCCTTCTTTTTATATGCTTGTGTAACATTTACAAAAACATTGCATACATGAACACACAAACACACACGGTACAAAAGAGATATATGTTTGATCACACTGCAATAAAACTAACATCAAAACTTAAACATGTCTGACCAGTGTGGCTCAGTGGATTGAGCATCATCCCATGCACCAAGAGGTTGCTGGTTCGATTCTGGTCAGGGCACATGCCCAGGTTGCAGGCTTAATCCCCAGCAGGGGCCGCAGAAGGCAGTGGATCCATGTTTCTATCTCTCTCCCTTTCTTTCTCTCTAAAACCTATAAATACATTATTTAAAACAACAACAACAAAAACCAAGAATTTTAAAAACAAGCCCTACCTAGGTAGGTTAGCTGGTTAGAGCATCGTTCTAAAATGTTTAGGTTGTGGGTTTGATCCCAGGTTAGGGCACATATGAGAATCAACCAATGAATGTATAAATAACATAAATGTTTCTCTTTCTCTCTCTCCCTCCCTGCTCCCCTCTCTTTCTCTCTCTAAAATCAATATTTAAAAAAAAATAATTTAAAAAACTTTAAAACAAAAAGGATTATCAACTGTTTGGATTAAAAGAAAATACTACATATCAGACCCAATAAGATACCCAAAACAGTGCTCAAAGAAAAATTCTAAAATTTAATTTTTAAATACTTACCTGAGTGAATTAAACATCTGACTAAAAAAAACAAACAAAAAAAATACCACACACAAAAAACTAAAATAAAAAATACAAACATGAATGTATTATCAAATAAATACTTAAATGAAAAAATGGAATTCCTCAGTCTGGCATATAATCATAAAATATCAAGCAAGATATTTAAACATTTAATTTTCTTTATTACTAGAGGCCCAGCGTGTGACTGAAATCGCACCTCCGCCGGGGTACAGGACCCTCACCTGACTCACACCGGCTGCCGCAGGAGTCAAGCCCGACCGGTGCCACAGGGGGCTGGGACCCACGCCTGACACTTGCAGCGTCCCCCGACCCCCCTGCCTGTGCCCGCTCCGGGGCCGCCCGAGCCACTGTACCGGCTCAGGCAGGCCCCCTCCGTCTCCGTCTCCGCCCGGGCCTCACCTGCACGTGCAACTTCCTCCTGTCTGGTCGTGACCTGTTACAGCATCCCGGTCTAATCTGCATATTCTCTCTCTCTCTCTCTCTCTCTTTCATTTTACTTAATGATAACAATTAAAATTTATAACAGCTCAACATAGATTTATTTATTTTAAAATATATTTTATTGATTTTTTACAGAGAAGAAGGGAGAGGGATAGAGAGTTAGAAAAATCCATGGGAGAAAAACACTGATCAGCTGCCTCCTGCACACCCCCTACTGGGGATGTGCCTGCAACCAAGGTACATGCCCTTGACTGGAATTGAACCTGGGACCTTTCAGTCCACAGGCCAACGCTCTATCCACTGAGCCAAACCGGTAAGGACTCAACATAGATTTATATTCAAAGTTTACTACTGCATGTTATTTTTTTTAATACATTTTTATTGATTTCAGAGAGGAAGGAAGAGGGAGAGAGAGACAGAAACATCCATGATAAGAGAGAATCATGGATCAGCTGCCTCTTTCAAGTCCCCCACTGGGGATCAAGTCCACAACATGGGCATGTGCCCTTGACCAGAATCGGACCCGGGACCTTTCAGTTTGCAGGCCAACGCTCTATTCACTGAGCCAAACCACTAGGGCTGTATGTTATTTTTTAATATAGAAAACAAAATTAAGGATTTGAATTTTTATAAGATATCCATAGAATGAGAACTATCAAGATAGTCTAGGATTAGGCTCAAAATACGTAAAACAATTCCATTCTTCTCCCCAAATCCATAAAAAAGACAGCTGCAGGAGTTATATTCCATTATGAATCCAGAGGCAAAATACTTACATTCCCTATTTCAAAGTTTTGTCTCATCAGTAGATAAAGGGAGGCACTAGCATGTGACCGTATTGTACTGATGCTACTGCTACAGTGTCGGAGAAGCCGGAGGCATAAATCAGCACACTGTTCTGTCTCTTCTTCAAACAGGAGTTCAGGGAACTGTAAAAAAACAACACCAACATTTAAGTTATGTAGCCTGAACTAGAGATTTGTTAGTATAGCCAAGAATCAAAAGAATGGTGAAGGGATAATATTTGCTAATCTATCTATATATATATATATATAAAGGCTAATATGCAAGGTATCCCCTCGTGAGTTTGACTGACCGGCAGTTCGATCGCTCACTATGATGTGCGCTGAACACCAGGGGGTAGCATGGAACGAAGGAAGGCCCCAGCTGGCAGGACCCTACCCATGCATGGATTTCATGCACTAGGCCTCTAGTGGTTAATAATGTGGACCAGAGTCAGACAGACTGGGTTTGAATACTAACTATGGCACTGACTAGCTTGTAGCAGTGTGACCTTGGACAAGTTTTCTCATCGAGAAAATGAGCCTAATAATATTATTTACATGGGGTTGTATGACTATCTTATATCAGATAATGCCCATAAAACACTTGATATAGTAACAAACATGTATAATTCTGTAATATGTTTTTATTATTACAAAATAGTACTATAAGTTATTTTCACTGGTTAAGTTTCATCAACAGCTCTGTATTCCATCTTATAAGATGTATAAAATGAAATAGCTACCTTTGAATATGATCTCACTTATTTGTGGAATCTAATGAACAAAAAGAATTGACCAAAAAATAAGACCTAAGCATGGAGGAACAGACTGACATACCTCGATGTGGGGTTGAGGGGACGAGAAGAGATAAACCAAAGACCTTATATACTTATACGTATAGCCCATGGACATGGGCAATAGGGAAGTGAAGATCTGGGAGTGTTAGGGAGGAGCTGAGAGGAGGGAAGTAAGGATGGGGCGAATGGGAGATATCTGTAATACTATATAAAAAAAAAAGAAAAGAAATAGCTACCTTTGAGATTTAAGAATATACAAATTTTTCGGAGGAAACGAATGTAGAAAATAAGTATTTGAAGTCCTAGAACAAACAAATGTACTTTATTTTCCATTCACCATATTTTAAGTTAATTTAAATTGAATGGACTGAACTACTTATTCATTGAATTCTTGATTTATCAAGTTAATAAGGAACAGGCAGTACAAGAAATAAGGAAAGCCCCAAATTTAAAATTAGCTATTAATTTTAGGCCTTTCTCCACATCAAAATTAATTTTTTAAGCCAGAAACTGGTTAAAGGTGATCCAAATAAGAATTCCAAAAGGCAAATAATAAAAGAGAGACAAAGAAGACTCAAGGGTCTTGGGTTTCTATAAAAACTTTAAATATAAATACATTAACCAATGAACATGTCAAATGATTTTAGACAATGTTAATGAAGTCGAATAAGACTAAAGGAACAAAATTAACCTACCTTTGAAACCAGGGCCCTCTGTGTAGCAAAACAGTGTTGTAGATAAACTGCACTTTGGTTACAAGCCATACTATGTAGTAGCACTTTCAGCACCCCGCCAAGGATGCTCTCTTTGGATTCTGTTACAGAAACTGTCTGCAATTTAAAGATAGATAAATAAAAAAGAGATGTACTTGCAATTTGGTTAAGGAGACAGAATATGTATACACAAACAAATACTGTTTTTAAAATAGGAAAATGATAATATAAGATCTAGGACAGTGATGGCGAACCTATGACACGCGTGTCAGAGGTGACATGCGAACTCATTTTTTTGGTTGATTTTTCTTTGTTAAATGGCATTTAAATATATAAAATAAATATCAAAAATATAAATCTTTGTTTTACTATGGTTGCAAATATCAAAAAATTTCTATATGTGACCCGGCACCAGAGTTAAGTTAGGGTTTTTCAAAATGCTGACATGCCGAGCTCAAAAGGTCGCCATCACTGATCTAGGAGGACTTAAAAAAAAAGGAGCTCCGGGATTTGGATAAAAGAAAAAAGGGAAAAACAGAATGGGCAGGATTTAAATGAAGCGGGCAGGGAGAGCCAGGATGTAACTTTTAGGAACTACTTATATTTTAAATGTAATTATATGGCTCAATAAATACTTTTTCCCTAATCCCAATTTACCAAATCTATACTTTTTTTTTCTTTTAAATATATTTTCATTGATTTCAGAGAGGAAGGGAGGAGATAGAAACATCAATGATGAGAGAGAATCTTTGATCAGCTGCCTCCTGCACGCCCCCTACTGGAGATCGAGCCTGCACCTGGCAAGTGCCCTTGACCGGAATCGAACCCAGGACCCTTCAGTCCACAGGCTGACACTCTATCCATTGAACAAAACCAGCGAGGGAACCAAATCTATACTTTAAATTCCTCTCCTTTGTGTTCTTACCTGGACAACAATCTCTAGTGTATCCAAAATGATCAAGTTTGCTTCAGTAGCCAGATTTCCATCAATCAGTGCTTCATGTTCAATCTCTGCTCTTGACCTAATGCAAAATAGTATAAGAAATTATATTTATGTTAAAAAGAAACAAAACAAAACAATAGATCCACAATTCGAAAAAAGACTTAAAGATTCATAAAAAAACGAAACAAAACTTGGAACCATTTTTCAGTATTTGCCTGAATTGAAAATTATAAGAGAATAAGGGAAAAGGCAATATTTTACATATTAATGTTTTGTTTTACCCTACATTTTGTTGACCATTCCTATACACATTTTATCACGATGCCACTGAAAGCAGAAATACTTAGCTTCCAGAGATAACAGCAAACACAGGAAAGTGTTTTATTCTGCGTGGAATAGACACTAGGTGGTGCTATGTGGGCTTGCATTTAGGGCTGCTTCATGTAGCATTATTCAAAATGTTAAAGGATAAATGTACTTTTCCCCCCTAAAGTTTCAAAAATTTTAAATTTTGATGCAGAAAATAAATTAGCTCTTCAATGAAACTCTGGATGGAATCACGCATTAGAAATAAAACATCTGATGCCAATCAAGTCATTTACTTGACTATCTAATATACACAAAAGTATTATGTAATAAAAATAAAAAATTTAGTCCTAACCAGTTTGGCTCAGTGGATGGAGCGTCGGCCTGCGGACTGAAGGGTCCCAGGTTCGATTCTGGTCAAGGGCATGTACCTTGGTTGTGGGCACATCCCCAGTAGGGGGTGTGTAGGAGGCAGCTAATCGATGTTTCTCTCTCATCGATGATTCTAACTCTCTATCCCTCTCCCTTCCTCTCTGTAAAAAATCAATAAAATACATTTAAAAATAAATAAATAAATAAATAAAATTTAAAAAGAACTATAAATGATTTATGGGTAAAGTTGAGATTTGTTTTAGTAGCAATAAATATATAGGAATTATATATTAAATCTAAATAGACAAAACAATACACAAAATCAAAGCAAAAATACAAGGACATACTAAATGCTAACTTACTGAAGTTCTTAGATGTTTAAGTCTCTGAATCTTTATTACTACCATTAAAGAGAAAAGTCCATGAGTTTACATTTTACAAATTAAAGAGAAAATACAGCATAGTTAGAATTAAATTGAAAAAGAAAATAATGCATTGTTCAAACTTAAAATCCAGAAAGACTTCTGTAAAGAAACATGACAAAAATATGGTATAGCCCTAGCTGGTTTGTCTCAGTGGATAGAGCGCTGGCCTGTGGACTGAAGGGTCCCATGTTCGATTCCAGTCACGGACATTTGACCGTGCTGGTGGCCCATCCCCAGTAGGGGACATGTAGGAGGCAGCTGATCAATGATTCTCTGTCATCATTGCTGTTTCTCTCTCTCTCTCTCCCTCACTTTTCCTCTCTGAAATCAATAAAAATATATTTAAATATATATATATGGTTTAAACAAAAAGAATCAGGAAAACACTAAAAAACAGCTTCCCTAGAACACGGCAAGATAAGCAGAAAGAACATTATACAAATGCAGAAATAAAGCAATATATGCTGACTGCTTTGTGAATTCCACAACATATGTGGAAAAGTAATCAAAGAAATGGACTTAAGCAGACAAAGGAGAAAAATGAACACTCTAAGCTCAAAAATTTTAGCATACTAATTTTATACTCACTATCTGCTTTGGTCTGAATATTTGTGTCCCCACTACACTCTTAAGTTGAAAATCTAATGCCCAAGCTAATGGTATTAGGAGGTGAGGCAAAGGTCATGAGGGGAAGAGGTCTTGGGAATAGGATTAGTGCTTTTATAAAAGAGGCCCTGGGGAATCTGTTTGCCTTTCCACCATATGAGGACATAGCGAGAGAGAAGTCTGTAACCTGGGAGAGGGTCGGACAGCAAATCTGCTGGTGCCATGATCTTGAACTTCCCAGCTCCCAGAACTGTGAGAAATAAATTTCTGTTGTTTATAAGTGGCCCCAGCAAATGGTATTTTGTTATAGCAGCCTAAAGAGACTAAGAATTTCTGATAATTCCAGACTCTCATCTATATGGTACTGAGTCTGCTGTTACTGTTTTTTCTCTACTGGCTTGCATAGGGCCTTGCTTTCTGTGTTTTATGAGTTCACTGCTGTGAACTAATATTTCTGGAAGTTTATTTGTAAGAATCCTCTAACTCTTGGGCTGAAGATGGTTTCGGACAGAGTGACCAATCATCTTGGTTTGCTTAAGGACAGGACTGAGGGGGTCCCTGGGATATGAAACATTCAGTGCTAAAAATCAGGAGTACTAGGAAAACCTGAATGAGCTGGTCACCATATTCTAAAGTTTTCGGGCCAGTCAAGCTACTTGAGGGCTAACTTGTAATTACAAATTGTCAAGAGAAAATATTTAGCCCCTTAATTCAATGCCAAGTTTCAAGCCACACAATTTTACCTGCAGTCACCTAGGCAGTGAGAAGGGTTCATTTCTAGTTCTCTTTACACTGACGGTGTAGTCCTTTAGGCTCCTGGACTCATGGTAGTGCATTTTCGGTTGTTTTTTTACCTGGCTTGCCTCCATGCTAGAACCAGAAGACTCAGAGTGTTTTGTCTTCCTTTAATTGTATTTTAGGCTCCAAGAGGGCAAATAATAGTTTTCTAATTTTTGGTAATGCTTGAAATATTTAGTTAAGTGTGACACCCAAAATATATTCTAAAATGTTCTAGAATGCAACTTTCGAAGGGGAAAATGGGGTAACATTTAAGATATATAACATTATGCTTTACTGTACCACATTAAAAATTCTTGCTCCAAATCTGTTTAAATCTTTAATTTAAAAATTAAGTACAATAATTTTTTCTTCTAAGATTTGAATGCCTAACATATACATAAATAACATTAAAATTAGTCATTTTTCCTCTTGCATCTGAAATTCAACAAGCCTATCATTAACATAAAATAGAAGGTTATATTACTTGTCAAGTTTCTCAGTGTTTTGCCGCCAGTGAGTCATATCCTTTCTCCATCTCAGATTTTCTTGACTGCCAAAGGCACTTCCAGATGGGCTTCTCTCTGTCAAGTACATTTCAAAACCATTTTTAAAAATGTTATTTCAACTGGACCACTTATGTGTATACTTGCAAACAGTTAAGAAATACTGCACAATGTTAATAATTTTATACACAGCCATTTTATCCTCAATAACAATGTAAAAACCTGACAATAGTGCTTTTTATTCAAAGCTTTCATAACAGTTACAGAAGAAATATGTTTGCTACATGTATTACAACAACAACAACAACAACACCCTTTTAAATAAGCACATTTTCTAATACTGACTTTCTCAAAATCTTAACCATGGCTTCTATGGCTCAACATGATATAACCTTATTTCCTACCATTATTCCTCTTGCTTGCACCACTACAGTTATATATGTATATTATACATATAATATATATTATACATATTATATATATATTATATATGTTATATATATACACACACACACACACACACACACACACATACAGTGTGTGTGTGTGTGTGTGTGTGTGTGTGTGTGTTGCATTCTGAATATATGCTCCTGATTTAGAACCTGTCTAAGGGTTGTTTTTCCTTCTGCCAGATTGTTCGTCCCAAATTTTCACTGGCCAATCATTCCTTACCTCCACAGAAAGGCCTTTCCCAACTCTCCAACTTCTTTTCCTCTTAATCTGCTTTACTTTTCTCCATAGCACTTACAAATACAAGACTATAAACTACTAAGAACAAAGATTGTTTACTTATCCAGCACTTAATGTTTGAGGCTGACAAAGTTTCTGGCACATTGTCAGTGCTCAATAAGTTTTTGTTTGATAAAGAAAGAAAATAAGGATAATTCCTAGAGTAATTACTTCTTTTGGACAACGGAAAGCAGAGCAAGAGAAAACGGGCTTTCTCCCAGGAGGTTTCTAGGATGGAAGGTGGACTGAATCGCATAGACTCTTTCAAGGGGCAGTAGCAATAGAACTGATTTATACAAATCCAGCAGAAGTGGAGAAGGCATTGGGAATTGTGCAGAAATATAAAAATACTTAAACAATAGAATGCCATGATTTTAGGCTTTCAATGAGAAGCTAATGAAAGTCAAAATTCAGAGTTCAAATACTAATTTAAAAAATACTGAGAAAAAAATGTAATTTGCCACACAATAAAGGACATGTCTGGATATTTCTTCTGCTTTCTCTCCCTTCCCGTCTCTTTCTTTCCTTCTCTACTTACCTCTTTTTAATTTTAAAATTTCTATCTTTAAGAAATTTAAAAAAAGAAAACAAGAATGATATGCCTATATTAAGATAGTTAAACTAAATAAATGTGTAGTCTATTTACATTTTTATCATAAACTTTTTTTCATGAAACTGTTTTATCTCTTTAGTTAAGAAGGTCTATCATTAGATAACCTAGCTTAAATGTCAAAATGCAAATAAGAATTACAAAGGCCTAATTTTTTAAAAACAAGAAGTTCAATTCTTTTTTTAAATTGAGATATAATTGACATATAACATTAGTTTCGAGCCAGCAACCGAGTTACGTGCCCTTGACCAAAATTGAACCCGGGACCCTTCAGTCTGCAAGTCAACGCTCTATACCCTGGCCAAACTGGCTAGGGCTATTTGTTTTAAATTCCACAAACAGAGCTTCAGTTCTTAATTCAAATAATGATAGCTGTCTTAAGGCCACAGGTTTAAAAATGTAACATATTTTTGTGGTAGTTTGGAGAATTTAAAAGGTAGTGTAACTAACTCTGTAGAGACCATATGTGTAAACATTTCATCAATTCTAAAGTTCTGTAAACATTTCACAAATTGGAGAAACAAGAAAGGAAATGTGTAAACATTTCATAAATTGTAACATATTAGTTACATATTAGTTAATAGTTTCACCTTTCCAACAATAAACTTCAGAAAGAGCTGTAGTATAATATGAAGAACACTAAATTGGAAGTCAAAAGATCCTGCTTCTGTCACTTAGTTTATGATCTAAGGCAAGTTATTTATCTCTATGAGTTTTATTTTCTTCATCTTAAAGATGAGGATAATATACATTAGATTTTGGTAATAATTAAATGACCTACTTGAAAGTTAATTTTCATGCCTTTTTAGAAGATTGTTTTACATAATAAATGAATTAAAAAATACATAGGTACATTTTGAATTATATATAACTACAGTGAAAAAATCGGTGATCTATTAATTCCATTAAAGGCAAAGACTTTATCTTTTTCATTATTAAATTCCAAACATACATAGCATATAAAGAATATTTAAGTTCACTTAAATAAATGATCACCATGGTAACAGCATTTTGGAAAACAATAAATAAAGAATCTAAATATATATATAAAACCCTAATATGCAAATAGACCAAATGGCAGAACAACCAAACAACTGGTCACTATGATGTGCGCTGACCACCAGGGGGTGCACGTGGAACATGGCAGGTGTTGGCAGCAGGCAGCAGAGTGCAGAATGTGGCAGGTGTTGGCCTCGGTGGGATGGTGGAGCAGATGAGTGGGGGCGCCAGACCAAGTCAGGGTGCCGGTAGCTGTCATCGGGGTAAGCCTCTGGTGGTTACTGAAAATTCTTTGCTCCCGAACACTGCGGTCCCGCCTGGTACTTGCACTTGCTGCTGGCGCTAGCCCCGCTCACACCCACTGCCAGCGCTGGAGCCACTGCTCGCACCTGCTGCTGATGCCCGGAGCCAGTCCCAATCTCTTGACGCTGTCAGCAGGTGCGAGTGGTGGCTACCGGTCTCGATCACCCCTGAGGGCTTTTCCACCTCCCCCTGCTTCTGAGGGGCAATGGGGGCAGCAGCCGCCACTTGCACCCACTGACAGTGCTGGCCCTGCTCACACCGCTGCTGGCGCTGGCCAGAATTGCTCTGCACCAACAGTGGGTGCGAGTGGGGCCGGCGCTGCCAGCTTGTGGGATCAGCGGCAGCAGGAGCGGGGCTGTTGGCAGAGAGGGGACTGAGGGCCACAGTGGGAGGGGCTGGGCGGGGGTGTGGAGGATGGGCTGAGACCTGCCCCTGTGCCCACCACAGCCTCGCAGCCCACAGTTCCTTTCAAGGTGCACGAATTTGTGCACTGGGCCCCTAGTATACTTATAAATGTATAGTCATATTTTAAGTCAACAAATATACATGGGGCTATTAGCATGTGTCATGTACACAGATGACTAAGCCATACCCTGACCTTAAGGAGTTCACAGCAACAATATCATTTACATGTCACTTTAGAATTTATGAAATGTTTACACACATGGTCACTACAAAGATGATAAGCTCAGTTAGTTATACTATCTTTTAAATTCTCCAAACTATAACAAGTAAATGAGGAAAAGGAAAGTGGGGAGATTAAGTGACTTGGTCAAAATTATATGGCTAATGGTTAGCAGACCTGGGATTAGAATCAGGCCTCTAACGCAACTAACTGTTTCTTCTCCCTGATATTTGAGTTTGATGGCCATTATCTTTGCCTTAGATACAGGGTACATTAATTCATTGTGCAAACTAGGAAACTTTTAAGAATAAAAGGAGATGCTACATAGAATTTATGACTCCAAGAGTGAACCCTATATAGACTCTGTGTGATTATGATGTGTCAGTGTCGGTTCATTAATGATGCTGTTAATGGAAGAGGCTATACATATGTGCAGGCAAGAAAATCTTTGTACCTTCAGCTCAGTTTTACTGTGAACCTAAAACGGCTCTAAAACTAGAGCTATTAATAATCACACAAGGGCAACAGGAATAAACTGAGACTATCCAGAGAAAATCACAAAGTACGTTTTAGCCTACTTCAATCAGAGCCCTTAACTTGAATTCCTGCAGAGAAATGGTTATTTCAGTTAATTCACAGTTACATTTAAAACCCTTTTTTTAAAAGGGTAGAACTGTCATTGAAGACTTGCAACAATGAGCACTATAAAATAAACTTGAAGGAAAATGAAGAAATTCTCACCAGAAGGAGAAGATACTGTGTACATACCAAGCTGTCCTCGGCTTCGGCGCACCATTTCTTGCCTAGCACCTATGCTTCCAAGAATAGCTTCTTCAAGTTTAGCTCTCATGTCTTTTGATTTCTTAAAGGTCAAGCTATTCATTCTTTCAAACACTTTCTTTCCCTAAAATTTAAACATTAGAAAAGAAGAAGCATTGAGAAAATATTCTTCTTTTTCCACATAATTTCCTTTCTTGTTCCTCTTTGCAATGGCATAATGATCACTTACTTTGTATTCAAAGCAAGATACACAGAGGTAAAGCAGATCTAACAGCCGGTTGAGCTGCAGGACTGAGAGATCTGTAAACCACTTTTGTAGGACTGTCTCATCTGCATTCTTGAGAACCCAAAGGAGGCAGATCAAAAGGCTCCGACTTGATTCTGGTGAAAAGGTAGTGTGTTGCCTGCCACTCTGAAAATTAAGAACAGTAGAATGAGTCAGATTGATCAATGACCATTTCCTTTTTGGGCTGTTGTCAATTGTTTTCTTCTAAAAGCAAAAAACCAAAATTACTTATAAACTAAATATTATAAAAGAACCATCTGATTTAGATAACACTTGTATACGTCATACTGAACCTTAGACTTAAGGTCTTGAAGTTTATTGAATCTTTCCTGGCAATAGAAGATTGTTTAATTTGGGCAGATGTTAATAGAAATTATAAAGCAAAAAACTAAAAGATCTTACTATTAAAAACTAACATATCTACCACATAATATCAAACATGATGAAAGGGAAAAAAGAAACAGCTGACTCAAAAAATAAGAGAGAAGTTTAAGAATAGAAAGTAATAACAAAAAGTTTATCAGGTGTAGAGAGAGAACCATTGTTTCCTGTCAGGGACACTGACAAAAAAGAAAAGTCTTAGACACTGTATAAATAAAAACCATTTTTACATAGAGCATATAAAGTTAAGGTGCCATTTAATTTTTTCAATCTCCGTTAGTATAAGTATGTAAAATACAAACAAAAAACTAAGAATAAGAACCTGTTTATAGTATCATTTATTGGATATTTATTCTACTCCAGTCATCATGCCAAGCTCTTTACATACATTATTTCATTTAGTTCTCTAACAATATCACCAAGCAGGTAGTATCATCTCAATTTTACAGACAAGATACAGGATGACAATGGTGATAATGATGATGACTAAACATAACAAAATTTGAAATGTGCTAGACAGTATGATAACTTTTTCTTATTTAATTCACAATAATTTTATGAGACAGTATTAACTATTATTATTTCTAGTTTATAGGTAAGGATACTAAAGGCTAGAAATTAATTTACTCTAAATCACATACTAAAAAAAAGTAAAGCCAGGATTTTCATACAGGTTAACCAGACTCCAACTCTTTCTCTTTACCTTTATATTACATTCTCATATTTAGTTAATAAATATACTAAATAACAAAAAAGCAATGAAAGAGATGTAGAGACGAAAGACAAAGGAAAGCTGAACATACTTAACTGTTGGAATAATTATTTTAAATTAATAAATTTAGTAGAATTTACTAGAATTAGAATAATTAAGACAGTTTCATATTGGCATATGGCAGACAAATAATGTAATGAAATAGAATAGAAAGAATAAAAAATCCTATGCATATATGAAAATCTGATATACAGCAGAGTTATGGATCAGTGTGGATGGATGGATTATAAGTGTGGATAGATTCACTAGAGAAAAAAAATAAGAATCCTACCTTGCACAATTGTACAAAAAATAAATTCAAGACAAAGAAAGAACTTAAGGAATTGTTTGCTCGGAGCAACTAAGATGGCGGCATAGGTAAACACCGGGAAATTATTGCCTCACACAACAATTGAAAATTACCGCAAAGGACTGAGCAAACATCATCCAGAACAACAGGAAGGCTGGCTGAGTGTAAATTCCACAACTAGAAGGAAAGAAAAGCACGCTGAGAGCCAGAGGCGCTGCGGAGGTGAAGTGCAGAGGTACGGCGGCGCGCGCGCGCGAGGAAAGGGGGTGGCGCCTGAGGACGCGGCTGTCTTTTTGAATCACAAACTCCCGACGGCTCTGAACTCCGGTTCCGGGAAGTCTCTGGGGACCCAGGTCTCACACGGGGAGAAGCTGGTCTGTCCGGCAGCGAGCGAACTTGAGGGCGGCTTTCCCTCAGAGGTGCTTGCAGCCGTTACCGGAACACTGAGACGCGCGACTCCGGGCGGAGAATCGGCCATGGCCGCTTTCTCCGCCCTCTGACTCCCTGAGACCCCGCCCCACCCAGGCTGCGGCAGAGGCTTTTGCATGTGAATGTACCTAACTGCAGCCGAACCAGGCAGACCTGGAACTTCCAAGAGAAGGCCCAAGGCCCCGCAGTGGCTTGCATTGCTTCACAGCTGAGCCTCTTCGTGGCTCCTGCTGTGTGGCCTCAGGCAGAGGCTGAATTAGCACCTCCTTAGATCCAGGAGCCACTGTTCCCAGTGGTCAGAGGGGGTCCATCCAGACTGCAACTCCTCAGATCCATAAGGGACGCACTCAGGGAGCAGACTCAGTGAGCACCAAAGCCCCACTGAAGCAAGTCTTGCCCCAGAAGGGTGTCTTCAGCACAGAAGTTCTCCCACTTTAGACACAGCTGATTCTCACAGCCAATTGGCCTGGAGGTCAATTCCTCCCAGTGATTCTACAACAACCAAGGCACCAAGAGTGCACCAAGAGTGTCCACCCCAGGTAACTGGGGAGGCTGAGCTACTGGGCCCTACAGGACACCTGGCGCACAGGGCCACTCTATCAACACAGGGAAGCTGCCAAAATGCGGAGACAAAGAAACAGGTCACAAATGGCAGAAATGGAGGAAAGCAAACGATTGGATATAGAGTTTAAGGCCACGGTTATAAGGTTTTTCAAGAATTTTATGGAAACCGCCGATAAATTTAATGAATCCCTCAATAAGTATAGGGAGACCATGGAGGACATGAAAAAGGACCAACTAGAAATTAAGCATACACTGACTGAAATAAAGAATAATTTACAGAGATCCAGCAGCAGAAAAGAGGATCCCAAGAATCAAGTCAAAGATTTGAAATACAAAGAAACAAAAAATACCCAACCGAAAAAGAAAAAAGAAAAGAGATTCCAAAAATATGAAGATAGTGTAAGGAACCTCTGGGACAACTTCAAGCGTACCAACATCAGAATTATAGGGGTACCAGAAGGAGAGAGAGGGCAAGATATTGAAAATCTTTTTGAAGAAATAATGACAGAAAACTTCCCCTACCTGGTGAAAGAAATGGACTTACAAGTCCAGGAAGCGCAGAGAACCCCAAACAAAAGGAATCCAAGGAGGACCACGCCAAGACACATCATAATTAAAATGCCAAGAGCAAAAGATAAAGAGAGAATCTTAAAAGCAGCAAGAGAAAGACAGTCAGTTACCTACAAGGGAGTACCCATACGACTGTCAGCTGATTTCTCAACAGAAACCATGCAGGCCAGAAGAGACTGGCAAGAAATATTCAAAGTGATGAATAGCAAGAACCTGCAACCAAGATTACTTTATCCAGCAAAGCTATCATTCAGAATAGAAGGTCAGATAAAGAGCTTCACGGATAAGAAAAAGCTAAAGGAGTTCATCACCACCAAACCAGCATTATATGAAATGCTGAAAGGTATTCTTTAAGAAGAGGAAGAAGAAAAAGGAACTCTTACCATTTGCCACAGCATGGATGGAACTTGAGAGCGGATAAATACCACAGGATCTCACTCATTTGTGGAATATAATGAACAACATAAGCTGATGAACAAGGACTGATCCAGAGACGGAGAGGCATTGATTGGACTGTCGGGACTTGGAGGGAAGGTAGGGGAGGGTGGGGGTAAGGGGGAAAGATCAACCAAAGGACTTATATGCAAGCATATAGGCCTAACCAATGGACATGGACAACGGGGGGGTGAGGGCATGAGCGGGGGTGGGGGGGGTGGGGGGTAGAGGGTAACGTGGGGACAAGGACACATATGTAATATCTTAATCAATAAAAAATATATTAAAAAAAAAAAAAAGAAAGAACTTAAATGTAAAAGGCAAAATTTTAAAACTTTTACAAGGAAATATAAGAGATTATATTTATACCTTGGGGGTAGAACAGAACTTCTTAAATAAGACCTAAAAAGCATAAACTATAAACCCACAAAAAAGATGGTCAATTTGCCTAAATTAAAATTGCAACAATGTGTTCATTCAAATAGATAGAAAATGCACATGATAAATTAGTAGAAATTTGCTGCATATAAAACCAACCTGAGATTAGTATCGAGAATAGCCTTTCTCAACCAAGTTTCCATGAGAAAATTAAGCCCTCCAAAGAATGACTGAGGGACTATTTTTCCCATTCTCCCAAGGCATTAAAAAAAGTGGGTTGGGGGAGATTATTCTGGTCTGGTACTAGCAATCAATGAAACTTCTCTGTGGGAAGAATTCACAATCACAGGACTCTTATTATACCTATAAATAGTACTGCAAATACAAAGTCCAGTATACAGCCAAAGAATCAGGTACACAGGAAGCAATAGATCATGAGTGAGAACTTCAAAACAGACAACAGAAACAGGTATGTAAAGACTTGAAATACTTAAATTATCAAGTAATAAAACCACAAAATAATAATATTTTAAAAGTATTATACCCCAAAAAATCTGACAGGAAATTTGAAAGTATAAAGAAAAGGTTACTTGACAAAAAACAGAAGAAACAAATAGAATTTAGAAAAACTAAAAAAAACCCCACAAAACAACAACAACAAAAAAAACCTTGCACAGTAACCAAATTAAGAACTTTATGTATTGTTTTTTTAAAAATGTTTTTATTGATTTCAGAGAGAGAAAGGGCGAAGGCGAGAGAAAGAAACATCGAGAGAGAATCATTGATTGGCTGTCTCCTGCATGCTCCCTACTGGGGATCAAGCCCGCAACATGGGCATGTGCCCTGACCAGGAATTGAATTGTGACATCCTGGTTCATAGGTCAACACTCAACCACTGAGTCACTTCGGCTGGGCTCAATGGATTGTTTTAATATAATATCAGGTTTAATAATATTCAAAATTAAAAATACATAAAATAGAATGTGACTAGGGAGAATGGTAAATAAAGTCAACTAGTTTTAAGATCCTTCTATTAACCAAAGTGAATATAATGATGATTTACATTAGACTATCATTTAATTTAAGGAAGCATACTATGATTTGTAATATACTCACAGAAAGACAGAAACAGAATAATTTCTAAACTAGAGGAAAATGTGGAATGAGAAAAAATATAATTCACACATAGTGGGTGAGACAATTTGAAGTAAAGTTAAAATGTATATATATTAATTTTAATTATACTAAATGCAAATGGATTAAGAAGTCTAGTGAAAGACAAAAATGAACATACCAGATTTAAAAAATATAAGGCAAAATCTAACTACACACTATGTATAAAAGACATTGAAAACATAAGTTTCAAATATTTAAAACATAAGCAAAAACACTGAAATTAAAAAGTGAAAAAATTCATGCCATATATAGTCTAGGGAAGTAAAACCTAACATAGCTATACTAATATTATATAAAACAGAGTTTATGGCAAAAAAAAAAGTTTTACAGTTCATGTAGATGAAAGGTGGAAAAATAATCTTTTAATACATGATGATGAAATGTTTTGATATGATATATAAAATAAGTAAACAAACTTGGGCGCCCAAATTCTACTGTTCATAAAAATAAATTCCATGAACTAGCAGATTTTAGGGTTATATATAAAAGGAAGAACAAAACAAGCATTTAAAAATAACGTAAGGCCTGGTTGGTAAGGCTTAGTTGGTTGAGCATGAGTCATCCCTTGCACCAAGAGGTCACTAGTTCAATTCTGATCAGGGCACATGCCTGGGATGCTGGCTCAATCCCAGGTAGGGGGCATGCAGGAGGCAGCTGATGTTGCTAATTGATGTTTCTATCTTTCCCTCTTTCTCTAAAATCAATACAAACATATTTTTTAAAATACCTTCAAAATTTTGGAATAGGGATATTAAAAAAAATACAAAAAATACTAGGAAAAGATTGACAAATTCAAGGATTTTAAAATAAGACATTCCAATCACCAAATTTACTATTAAGTGTGTGAAAAAGCAAGCCCCATAAATTATAAGACCCATTTATAATTGACAACAGGCTTGATCCAGAACATATAAACTTCTGCAAAGCACACACAAAGGCAGAGGACCCAATGGAAAATGAACAAAACTAGACACTTTAAAAGAGAAAATCCAAATGGCCAACACAAATATGAAAGAGTGTGTACCCTCAGAACACACCAGGGAAATGAAATACAACTATAAATTATCAGATTGACAAAAGTTGAAAAGTCTGAAAATCCTAAGTGATGATGAACATATGAATGGAACTCTCAAAGGTGCAAGTATAAACTGAGACGAACTCTTCGGAAAACATCCTGGCACATCTAGTATGGGTGAAGAAACTATTGTGTAACCCAGCAAATTCCCCTCCTAGTAAATACCCTAAATAATAGTATAGGCATGCATACAGGATACAAATAAGAGAATATATAGGGTTGCTATTTACAATAACAAAAGATCAGAAACCATTCAAACATCTATCAACAGAATGGGTAAATAAACTGATCTATATACAGGTAATGGGATATCATCTACTAGAGGGCCCGGTGCATGAAATTTGTTCTCTGGGGGGGGGGGGGGAGGGAGGGGTCCCTCAGCTCAGCTTGCGCCATCTCACAGTGTGGGACGACTTGGGGGATGTCCGCCTGCCGGCTTAGGCCTGCTCCCCTAGGTCAATTTGCATATTAGCCTTTTATTATATAAGATATATATAAAAGCCTAAATGACCACTACGACCCAATGACCAGTCAACCAGTCGCTATGATGTACACTGACCATGAGGGGGCAGACACTCAAAGCAGGAGCTGCCCCGGGTGGTCAGTGCGCTCCCAAAGCCAACCTCCCATGGCCGGCCAACCTCCCCCAGTCCCTCCCCCTGGCTGGCAGGCCCCAATAGGGACTGGGCGAGATGGTCCAATCAGCCCTGATCGTGGGCCAAGCCTAGGGACCCCACCCGTGCACGAATTCATGCACCAGACCTCTAGTACAGAAATAAAATAAGTGAATTATAGTACAATTTGTAACTTGCTTAAATATTAAAGACATAATGTAAAAACTACACTATAATTTTTAGGGATGCAAACGTAGATGGTAAAACTATAGATAAAATTAAGGAATTATATCATTAGTCATGTTAGTGGGAGCTTGGTAAGTAGTTGTGGTGGAGAAAAACATGCTAAAGATTTCTAAAAGGCAGTGTTCTATCGTTTGTCCTGAGTGGTGGCTACAAAGGTGTTCATTTTATAATATTTTAACTCGTACATTTATGTTTCATGTACTTTTTCATGTGCAGTATATTTTACATAAAGAAAATTTTTTAAAAGTCAATAAAATTGAGAATAGTGGTCACTTTTAGGGGAGAGATGGAGTGAATTGAGGGCAGAAAGGAACTTCCAAAGTGTTTGCAATGTTTTATTTCTGAAACTGGGTGGTACATATGCTGCTGTTTCTTTTATTTTAATTGTACATATAGTTTATATATTCTTTTTTATGTATAATATCAAAAGTACGAGGAATAGCCCTGGCTGGTGTTGCTCAGTAGTTTAAGTGTTGGCCTGCACATCAAAGGTCTCGGGTTCGATTCCTGGTCAAGGGGCATATAGCTGGTTGCAGGTTGGATCCCCGGCCCCAGTCAAGACACGTGCAGGAGGCCACCAATCAATGTCTTTCTCACATCTACATTTATCTTTCCCCCTCTTTCCCCTTCCTTAAAAAAAAAAAAAAAAAAAAAAAATCAATGGGAAAAATGTCCTTGGATGAGGATTAACAAGCAAAAAGTACAAGGAATAAAAGAAAAATTTGATAAATTAGAATTCATAAAAATTTTAAAAATTTGCATTTCAAAAGACACCATAAAAAAAGTAAAAAGCCACAGAATGAGAGAAAATATTTGAAATCATATATAAGGAAGTTGTACTCAGAACATATAAAGGACTCTTTTAAGTCAGCAACAAAAAGAATAACACAATTTTTAAATGGCAAAGAATTTGAATGGACTTTTCTCTAAATAGGATAGTTGTTCAAAAAGATGTGCCAATTAGCAATGAAAAGGTGCTCTTCATTAGTAGATATTAGGGAAATGCAAATCAAAACCACAATGAGATGCCGCTTCATACCCACTAAGGTGGCTATAAATACGAAAAAAGTGTAGGTGAGGATTTGGAGAAACAGGAGCCTTTTATTCATTGCTGGTGAGAATGTAAAATGGTGCAGCCACTGTGAAAAAGAGTTTAGAAATTTCTCAGAATGTTAACAGATGATGTGTTGTGCACCTGAAACTTGGATACTTTTGTTAACCAGTGTCACCCCAATAAATTCAATAAAGAGGAAAAAAGTAAAATGGATTAAAAGAATAGGCTATATAATAAGCAACTTTCCAAAATTCTGAATGACAGAAAAGAGCTTTATACCATAAACCTGAAATAATTAATACTTTTTAAAATAACTTGTAAAAGATAGGTATTATTCTCAGAACCTTAACATTTCCACAAAATAAAGCTCCGAGTACTTCTGCATCAAATAATATTAACAAATAATTTTAGTTATTTAAGGGTACATCCTTGTAAGTATTTGTCTTTCCGGAAAATAATTCTGTAGGAGGGTTGTTTTTACCGTTGATGTGAGAATAAAACTGCCAGGCCTTGTTAGTTGAGGAACTGATGTTCCTGCAATTGCCATGGCAACTGTCTGGCTTATCATGCTTCCACTCTCACTTTCATAATCATCAGTGGCTATACAAACTGGTCGTCCTCGTTGATTGTGAGATTCTGGGGTGGGGGGGAGAGAAAATCCAAAATAAATAAATAAATACATAAAACTTCTAAACAGCTTAATAAACAGTTCTTAATACACATTAGGTACTCAGTAAATGTTTGTTTTGATTGAATGGAAGTATTTTATCCAGTTAATGGCTAGTTTAAATGCAACCTACAGTGTTTTCTTTAGAACAAGTGAAGGAATTCAAGTAAATTCTGATGTGAAAAGCAAGAGCAAGAAAACTTTGTGGGTCCTAATTTTCAAAAAGCAACAAAACTTCATCTTATTAACCCAATGTTAGCAATAAACCTAATTAATGATATTCAGGTGAAGATCAATTGAAATTATATTTATATGAATAAAATTGATACTGAGGGTAATAGACAGCTTTCAGCTTTCTTGTGTATTTTTTAGAGGAACAGTAAGTACACAAAAACCCTATTTTCTAACAAGTAGGAATAGAACTACTATACAATCATTATTTAAAATTTCATAAGAACTACTTACAGAAACCTTGCAGTGGATTCTCTCACAAAGTCAAAAGATTTTCAGTAATATAATTAAGTATCTACAGTTTACTTACGTTAGTGTACATTTCTTTATATTTCTTTTCCTAAAATAAGATCTTTATTCTTGAGAAACTTTCTAACACTTTCATTATATATTGTGATTTGCCATTAAAATCTGTCTTACAAACACTAAGTACCTGTAAAATCATACAGCTGAGGAACAGTTTCCATGATAATGCCGATCAGAGGTAGATATAACATGGCCACCCGAGCCTTTATCTGGGGGTCAGAGTACCGTGGATCTGAGTCATGACTGGATAGTAAATTGTGTACCATATTGATGACTTTCTTATGCAATCCAAACAGTCTATTTAAAAAGAAGATGGAGAAGAAGCAGTAAGGTCACAGATATTATTTAATACCTTTAAAGCAAACAGTAAGCAATGGTACTGAATCAATCTTGTTCAACTTCTTAACTTTGCCACATATTTGCATCTATTCCTATAAATAAAAACACTTCTATTTTAAAATTAATAAATGTCTTTCTGATTAAATAAAAATTGAGGAAGAAGAAATGTTATATAAATTCACTTAAGAGTAAACCTGAATATTTTTACATTAACTCCTTGTTAGTGCATTTTAATGTTAAATAACTTAAGAGCAGTTATGGTTATATTTTAAAGCAAAAAAAAAAAAGCTACATTTTAAGTAGCTGTAACTTTTATTTCATCAAATGAAATCTTTTCACATTTACCATAAGTAAACTTTTATTTCCTTTTTCCAGAAGAAAATCTTCTACCTAATGCAGCGGTTCTCAACCTGTGGGTCGCGACCCCTTTAGCAGTCAAATGACCCTTTCACAGGGGTCACCTAAGCTCATCCTGCATATCAGATATTTACATTACGATTCATAACAGTAGCAACATTACAGTTATGAAGTAGCAACGAAAATAATTTTATGGCTGGGTCACAACATGAGGAACTGTATTTAAAGGGCCAGAAAGTTGAGAACCACTGAAATGGATTCTGTAGTTCACAGGCTGGGATTGCCTTTGGCATCTATTTAAACTGAACTTCCTTGCTCATATACCTCATATGGGCCCTTACAACTTTTCTAGACTCCCAGTCACCTGCGTTGCAACTGAGCTAATAAACTAGCAAGGGTCTCTCTCATCTTCATACTTTTGCCTTTCTTCTTAAATTGAAGGTGCTTTGACTATGCAAACCATTCCAATTGAAAATTCATACAACTTCAACTGGCCCTTAATGCTGCACCTGGTATCAGTTTCATATTACATTATCTCTCCTTAAGCCTTCCACCATCAATATCAGTAAAAAACCTTACTTCAACTTCTTTCTTTTAGGAAAGAAAGCCATTTCAAATTTGCTCTGGTGAAAACATTTTTTTAAAAAAATATGTTTTTATTTATTTCAGAGGGAGGAAGGAAAAGGGAGGGGAATAAAAACATCAATGATGAGAGAGAATCATTCAATGGCTGCCTCCTGCATGTCTCCTACTGGGAATCAAGCTTACAACCTGGGCATGTGCCCTGACCAGGAATCGAACCGTGACCTCTTGGTTCATGATGCTCAACAACTGAACCGCTCCGGCCAGGCTGGTCACATCTTTTAACACATCTCCATCTATATAGCTATAGGATCATCTTTCCTTTGTTTCAGAAAAAGCTGTATCTTCTCTCAGAAAGTAATTTCCCCATATATTCAATAAACCCCATCTTTCTTCAATAGCCTACCCTTTATTTTTCTTTCCTACCTTGAAAATATATGTTCACTTGAAATTAGTTTCCTCTAACTTATACAGTATTTCACTTAGTAATAAACTATTACATGATGTCCCCAGTAATAAACTTCCTTAATGTTTTAAGTCTATACCAAGTGTTTCCACTTAATTCCTACTATTTACTTCCTTTCTTTGTAACTAACAGTATTTGCATGTTCATAATATGGTACTTACTAGCTTCATCATTTAATAGCTAAATGATTTTTTGAAGATACTTAACTTCTGTTTCCTTATGTATGGATGAGGGTAATAACCTACCTAAGGTGGTTTGAAATTAAGTTTTATAATTTATGCCAAATGCCTAATACAGTGCCTTGCATATTGCCTTCCTCAGTAAATAGTACTTTAAAAAAATTTTTTGCAAGAGAACGTTTATTGGGTAAATTACAGAGGTAGAATTAATTCCTAGAAGAAATGGGCTTACTAGTAGGAACAAGTTAACGGAGGTAAAGGAAGGGCCCTTGGAGCTTGGGAGTGAGGAAGCTATTGTGCCTCGGGGAGGGAGAAGGGGATGGGGAGAGAGAGAGTAGGGAAGGGAAAGGGATGGGCATGCTCCTGGGAGGGAGACCATCAATAAATATTAACTTTTATCTCTTAAGATCATACAGATTTAATAGCTGGGATCTGAAATGAAGTAGTCTTATGAAGTAGCCAGAGCCCTTGATCTTATCTGCCATTTTATATAGCTGCCTATGAAATCTAGCTGGAGATTCTTCTCCCTTCCAGATTTTTATTCAGAAAGTATATTTTTAAATACTGTCACGAACCACACCTAATGAACATATGTCAGATTTCATTCTCTAGATTTCTACTTGACACTGTCATCTTATTTGTTCTTTTCTCAGTATTTTCTCCAAATAGTTCCTCCCCTTCTCGTCATTTGCTTTTTATGTTCCCCCTTTCTATTTCCTGTATCACCAATGATTCCCAAACCTGATTGTCTATTTCTTATCTCTTAACAGCTCCCAATTCCAGACTTCAACCTATCTAAACTCAATCACACTCAGTAACTAAATATACACTTATGCAGGCCCTGCAATATCCTATTCTATATGTTGGAGCTAAGACATTGTCTCTGTTCTTGAATAGCTTGTTTTAGTAAGAGAGGAACAGACAGCAAAGTAATAATTCAATGTTACAAATGCTATAATAAAGACATTACTCTTCTACACAATTATGTCTGTACTACAAAATTAGCATTTAATCATAGTGTATTGTTTCAGTCTTAACTTTCTTCCTATAATGAGAGTTTCTAGAAAGCAAATCTGTGATCAATATAGAACATATTATTGCCACTCAAGGAATTACTCTTGGTTACTTAGCAAGCTGATGGAATAAAAAGAAAAGCATTTCTCTCAAGTAGAAGAATGGGAAAGATTAATCTTTTGATTCTTAGGAAGTTTAAGGGGGATACTTCTGTCCTATCATTCAAAATCAAGCTGATATTCTACAAGGTAAAAATTGGTCTACTCACCCTTCAGCCTCGGGATCTAAAATGACAGCCAGCTCTGTTAATACAAGTCCTGCCAAATAATGCTGTTGGCGGAAAGGCACAGACAATTCAAACATATTTGCAATCTTCTGGTCCTGTACATTGGTGGAAAATCCAGAACTCTGTTTGGGAGTGAGGTAGAACAAACTATAATAGCTGTGCAACAAAAAAATCCCAGACACACATTACAATAAAGAGAATGTGAGCATTATCTGAAAGTGAGATAAACATTGCCTAGAGTAATTTATTGCCTAGGGTTTTTTTGTGTGTAATATATTTTATTTATTTTTTACAGAGAGGAAGGGAGAGGGATAGAGCGTTAGAAACATCAATGAGAGAGAAACATCGATCAGCTGCCTCCTGCATACCCCCTACTGGGGATGTGCCCGCAACCAAGGTACATGCCCCTGACTGGAATCGATGCTCTATCCACTGAGCCAAACCGGTTAGGGCTTGCCTAGTTTATGACAGATGATTATTATTAACACTAGAGGCCCAGTGCACGAATTTGTGCACAGGTGGGGTCCAGGCTGGTGGGGGGAGGGGCCACAAACGTTTGGCTGGTGATGGGGAGGGGCTGCAGTTGGTTGGGGCCTCAGTGCATGTCATAGCTACCAGTCATTCTGGTCGCTTGGTTTTTATATACATAGATTGGAGAAAGTAACTATTCTTACTTTTGGTATAGGAAACTATGATGAAAAATACTTTCAATTTCTTTTTTCTCATACTAAAAGTTTCCATTTGTTGTCCCCCTCTCCTATCCGTTTTTTTCTTTATTCCTTTTTCTGGTTTGTTTTATCTGTATTGTTGAAAGTATTACAGATGTCCCCTTTGTTTGTTTTCCCCACTGACCCCCTCCACCCTGCACCCTCCCTTCCCAGGCCTTCACCACTCTATTGTCTATATTCATGGGCTATGCATATATGCATATAAGTTCCCCGGTTAATCACTCCCCCTACCCCCCAATCCCACCTTCCCTCTGAAATTTGTCAGTCTGTTGCATGCTTTTATGTTTCTAGATCTATTTTGTTCACCAGTTTATTTTGTTCATTAGATTCAACATATGAGTAAGATAATGTTTTAATATGATACTGTGAATGGAAAAAAAAAAGCAACTAAGTCCAAATAATATACAGGGTGGGGCAAAAGTAGATTTAGAGTTGTGAATATGTGAAACACAGTTTATTCTTGAATTATTATTTATGAATTATTATGTTATTTCCCATATGAACAACTGTACATCTATGTTTGCCCCAAACTGTATTATGTACTCTTTGCTGAGTGTGCGGGAAATATTCATAGTCAAGGCTATTGGTTTCCAGGGAAATTTCAAATATGGGTAAAATTATTTCTCAGACAAAATACTATCTCTAAAAAAAATCACTATAATTTTATGGTGCACTTAGTAAGTTTTTAAAAAGTTTTTAATATGCAAAATAGCAACCCGTAAGATATAGTTCAAAGCAAGAAAGTCCTTACCTTCATCCCCTAATCCATAATTCAAGATCATCTATGTGAGGTTTCTTAGAAGAACAATAGATTTCAGATTTCTCCATGCAGAAATCATTTTCCTAATAACTATATAAAATTCCTCTGCCCCACCCCTGAAAAAGTGATATCTCTGTCATATATTAGAATCTGAAAATTATGCACTGTAGTTACATGACAAGGTGGGGAACAAGATAATGAAAGAACTTCTGTGAATTTCTTTGCTGAATGTGATGTTCAGCAGGGAGTTAGGGGTAAACAAGTGTGTTTCATTAAAGATTTTAGAACTGCACCTGTGCTTTATTTGTATCTGTGTAGCTACATCTTTGGAAGAAGTTGGGCAAAGAAAGCAAAACTTCATCCATTAAAGGAAGAAGTGTTTCCTAGCCAGGTAAAAGAGTGTGTGGAAATATGATGTTTTGCAAAAGTAAAGTGAAAAGTTGTGGGTGCTCTCTGATGTTTTCCATCTTTCTAAGTGAAGTTTAATTTTTTCTTTTATCACGCATCTGACACTGATCTAGCCTACAGAATTGCATTAAGGAATTAAATGTCTCAAAAATAAAATTAAGTAGAGTTAAAATCGACTTAGACTTCAGACATTAAGAGCTTAAGGAAGCAGTTTGTTTGCCTCAGGAATTATACAGCAGAAAGGGTGTTTCATTAGGAGGGAAAAATCTAGGCTTCTTTAATACTAAAACCACAAAATCCCTTAATCTCAACGTGTATGACAGGATACATAATAATTGCTATGATAGCCCTTTTTCATCTTTAGAGAAACTACTAGCTGTTGAAGTCAAGTGCCTATAAATATCCATCTAGTTTCCTTTGGGTTTTCTGGATACAAGAGAGGTAGCAGGGCTCTGTCAGGCTTGCACTACAGTTTTATAACAGAGCCTTTGTGATTTTAATACCCTTAGTATTTTTGGTAGCTACAACTAAATTAGGATATAGGTATAAGCTTTTTATTTTTTATTAATCCTCACCTGAGGATATTTTTCCATTAAGTTTTAGGGAGAGTGGGAGAAAGAGGAAAAGAAAGTGAGAAACATCGATGTGAGAGAAACACATGGATTGGTTGCCTCCTGCACGAGCCCTGACCAGCGCCAGGACAGGGAGGAGCCTGCACCAATGTACATGCCCTTGACCGGAATCGAACCCAGGACCCTTTGGTCTGTAGGTCGACACTCTATCTACTGAGTCAAACTGGCTAGGGCTATAGGTATAAGCTTTAACTAAATGTTTTAATTCCTTTGGTTGTCAGATAGCTTCTACTCAAAGATTAAGAAAGTATGTGCGTCATATTCTGACTGTACATGAAGTTCCAGGAGAAATGTCTAAAAGTATACTTAGCTTGAGATAACTGAAAAATATAGCTAGTTCAACCTCAATCCAATGATAGCCTAGTGGCGAGAATCACAAGACGTCAACTTTCTGCCGTTTATTTTTAAGATAATATCACTGACACACAATTAGGAGCTATTTTGCAGAATCCTGGTCCTTCAATGCTGCACCACTTGTCCTCACTATATAATTCTGTGGTGCTGATGTACTGTTTCTTTGTCAAGCAGGAGGAAATAACTTCAGGGTCTTGAGAAGAATCTATGAGTTTGTTTTGTAGAAGAAAAGAATATCTTCAGGGTAACTGCGACCAGCTGCTGATTCCAAGAAGTCTGATACGAAAAAGTGTTATCTGTGACTAAATAAACATGATCTTCTCTCTCAGTTCCTGGAACTAACCCCATTCCCTACTTACATAAAAACCACCAACTTTTGCTTTTTGAGAGAGATGGATTTGGGAGAGCTTGCTCTCCCATCCTCCCAATCAAATAAATCTTTCTGTCTCTGAGCACTGGTGTCTCACTAGTTGGGCCTACTAGTGCACTGGGTACACAAACCTGAATTTTGGGAGATAATTCTGTAACAGTTTGGATTCTTTCTCTGCTAAATTATGCTTCATCCCCATTCCTTTCACTAGTATTAATCCCTAACAAACATCTTATACCCCAAATTCAGTCTGTCTGCTTCAAAAAATCCTAATTTGTGAAAACATCTAAATAAGTGAGTTTATGTGGATGAATTCACTCACATATGCACAATCTGTAAGAGGAGTAGAATATAGTGGTTAACAGCTTAGGATCTAAAATAAACCCAACATGCAAAGTATAGCATAAGGAATATAATCAATAATATTGTAATAACTATGTACGGGGTCAGATGGGTACCAGACTAACGGGTGATGAATTCATAAGGTATATAAATATCTAATCACTATGTTGTATGCCTGAAACTAATATAATATGTTAACTATAATTGAAAAATAAATTTAAAATAATGTCAACATGTGACTTGGTTCAAAGTATAGCTGTGCCATTTAACTGTGTGACCTTAAGTTATTGACCTTACAGTGTTTCAGTTTTCCATCTGTAGAATAGGAATAGTAATAGAATTTATCTCCTAGAGTTGCTCTGAGAATTAAATGCTTAATACTTATGAAGCACTTAATACAGAACCTATTATACAGCTTTTATTCAATAGTGTTACCTATAATTTTCCCCCAGTGTTTAAAATGCTTTTTCACAAATGTGGACGTTAAGGATATTTCTTTCTTACACTTTGCATACCTGAGATGTTGCAGAAGAAACAGAAGGTGATGGTGATGCAGGTGGAGTAAGCAGGCTACAGGGTAAGTTTAATGTAACATAGTGCTCATGACTGCAGATGATTCGCAGAAAATCCAACCTCAAGGACACCAGGACACTTGGAATTGGTAATGAGTAAAGCTTTGAAGACACCTTGTAAGCAATGCATAAATAAGAGAAAACCAATCAAATATATCATTTCCTTAATACAAACACCAGAATGACAGATTAAAGAATTAAAGAGCAGTACTCAGTGGGCAGCTTTGGTTTTGTGATTTAAGTAATAGTATCAGCTTTCTCTAGAATTACTGTTAAAATGCAAAATTTTGAACTACAGATTTACTGTAGAATTCCACTGACTAGGCTAAAAGCCACATTCTTTTTAAAAAAAATATATATTTTTATTGATTTCAGAGAGGGTGAGACAGATAGAAATGTCAATGAGAGAGAATCATTGACCGGCTGCCTCCTGCACGCCCCTAAATGGGGACAGAGCCTGCAACCTGGGCATGTGCCCTTGACCGGAATCGAACCTGGGACCCTTTAGTTCGCAGGCCGACACTGTATCCACTGAGCCAAACTGGCTAGGGCAAAGCCACATTCTTGTATTTCCAATACAGCATTAATATTCTGCTTTTCAAAGATATACTTTATGAGGAAAAAGTACACCACCAAATTAACTTCATAAAAGAAAGTATCCATTCTTTTTACAGTACCTTGTGTTAACCTATATTTATAATGATCTATTTGTCTATTTCCCCAGCTATACCATAAACTACTTGAGGACATATATGAATGGACTTAATAACTTTAGCAACCCTAGGATCTAGTTCAATGTTCAGCAAATGTAGGAAGTTAATACTTGAAGAATAAAGACAAGAATAGGTTTTGGAAGCAACAGTACATGAAATTTTGGGGACAGAGTAAAAATAATGCATACTATTGTAAATAATTATAAGTGGGTCAGTGTCCACACATAGTTTTAACTTCTCTAATAAAAGAAACATACAGTAAAGGCATCCAATAGAACAGATCTTCAAAAGTCTAAATATTTCACTGCCAAATAGCATTCTTAACCAGTAGTTCCCCAAATCTAATCTGTGGGCCAGCTGGGAAGTGCTTCACAAGCACTGTGTCCCTCACTCCCTATGCCCACCATCAGGATTCAAACTCCTCAAGAATGCTGAGATGGGACCCAGAGGTCTCTATATTTTTAAAGCTTCTTTAAAAGGGAACTCTAGGATGAGTTACTAGCTTACTAGCAAAACTGCCTATCAGGTCCAATACTAATGTTTTCCAAAAGTCAGGTTTCATTAATAAGTTGATAAAAATTTAAAAACAAAATCAGCTGTTTGTGGAAAAGTTCCAGAATGTTTTTAGTTTAGTAAGAACAAAATGAATGAAATTTGGGACTTGGGTAAACATCTGTTTGCCATTCTAAACTCTACAATGTCCAAAGCTGTGTTAGGAGGAATACATAGCAAAATGCAGCTACTTTAAAAATCACTGAAGACACAAAAGGTGCAGTTAGTTCTTCATTTAGTGTAAACATTATTCTTGAATGGAATCTCGGGCTGCTTTGCAGTTACTACTGACCTGGTGGTGTGCTCCAGAATGAGCCAGTGTAACCCAAGGAAAGGCCAGTTTTACTGATATCAGCTTGTCAGTCTTGTGTCCTGATTAACAAATGTAACTTACTTTTGCCTTACTAATAAAACTATGCTATTTAAAAAAATATTAGTATATGCATGTATATGAAGGTCTCTTAGCTCTGGCTGTACAAAGAGCAAATACTGTATTTAGGTTATCTGACTACTAATTATTACTAATTATGAATTACCTGTTTATAGAAGTTCTTTATAAGGCTAAAGACAAATCCTCTGTCCATAACAGACAACAGATCATTGAGAAAGAACGCAAGACTTGTGTTGAGTCTTTCAACCATTTCTGCGTCCTGAGAAAGAGAATAAAAAGCAAAAACAAATAAAAGTATGAGAGTTTAATGTGAGCTTGAAAAAGATTAAGAAAAAAAAAGTCATCATTACCTTCTGAAATCGTGAAACTATATCACTAGCAATTGTACTGACAAGAGCAGCAATGTCATCCATGAAACGCTCTGGAAAACGAGATTTCCTTGCTGCATTTAGTTTATCATTAAAGTATAAATGGTGCACCATGCTTTTCACCTGAAAAAAATAAATAAGTCATTAGTTTAATTTCTTACAGATGCAATTAATAGTTAGAGACTCTAAACCAGTGGTTCTCAACCTTCTGGCCCTTTAAATACAGTTCCTCATGTTGTGACCCAACCATAAAATTATTTTCATTGCTACTTCATAACTGTAATGTTGCTACTGTTATGAATCGTAATGTAAATATCTGATATGCAGGATGGGCTTAGGCGACCCCTGTGAAAGGGTCGTTAGACCGCCAAAGGGGTCGCGACCCACAGGTTGAGAACCGCTGCACAGTAGGGCTATTTTTTTCAATATACCATGTGATTTATTACATAGCTGAAAGACCTTTAGCTCCTTAAATATTTTGAAAAGTTCCCTATAATATTTTGTATATTCCAAAGAAATATTAAAAAATGCAATCCAGCCAAAACCGGTTTGGCTCAGTGGATAGAGCGTCGGTCTGCGGACTGAAAGGTCCCAGGTTTGATTCCGGTCAAGGGCATGTGCCTGGGTTGCAGGCACATCCCCAGTAGGAGATGTGCAGGAGGCAGCTGATCGATGTTTCTAACTCTCTATCTCTCTCCCTTCCTCTCTGTAAAAAATCAATAAAATATATTTTTTAAAAAAATGCAATCCAATCACAGGACCATCTTCATAAAATTACCCTGGCTGAGAATAGGGGAAAAAAAGTGTGTGTATGCAAAAGAAAAAAAAAATAGCACTCTGAAATTGTTTTAAATTAAGTCTTTCCAAGACTCAATAATTTTGCCATACCTTATCCCTGTGAGCTTTGAGAGATTAGAAACCTGGACTTCACTGTAGTGCCTATGGTATCTAGCACCTAGTATCAAATGGTGGATGTACATTAAATATGAATGACTAAATATATTACCTATATAAAATATTAGGTAAAAATTAACAAAGTGATTTAAGTTGATAAAATGTTTTTGGGTATAGATTCTTATCCCCATGTGATAATGGTAAGAAATATTCAGGGAAATTGAAGGCGAAGTTCTACATTTAGTCAATAGCAGATTCAAGTCTAAACCTTTTGACTATTTTATATTTAAGAAATCTGAACATACATTTACAACTATCAAAAAATAAATCGAATTATAATTTTGAACTTATATTAAAAGTACATGAATTACAAATTTGGTGTTTATTTTTCTAGGGAAAAAATGAGTTACCTATCATTTATGGATGGTCCCTTTTCACTTATTTGGTTAGTAAATCCCTAGAAGAAATGGCTTTCTATTCTCAATATAGGTAACATTCAATGCTGAGAATGACCCTATGACTCAGCTCCTTTTGTTTCTTTTCTACCTGTTTTTGCTGTGATTTCCTTTGTTTCTTATTTATTTTTTACATACTTTTTTTCCGGAAGAAAAAGTTCCAATGATTTCAGCTTTCTAGAGGCTGAAGAGAAAGACCCCTAGCACCAGAATGTCTGTGTTTGAAACACAGCTCTGCTATCTACAAGCAGTGTATACTTAAAGTTACTTAATCTCTCTGTGCCTTGGTAATATTTAGCCCATGGAGACAGTGCTACCACATTGTATACACCTGATAATACATATATGCACAAAAGCAATAAACAATGATGTGTGTGCATAAATATTAAGTTACTGATTCCTTTGTTTTTAATATCATTTATTGAATGAAGCAAAAAGGTTTTTTTTAATTGGCTTTAACTAGCATTTCCCTAAAAGCTTTCTAACCATAAAAGCAGTATCTATCTATGTTCGGTATGAAATCTAAAATATTGCTATTATACAGCAGCATATTCATAATAAGAATGTATCACAGGTGCTTTTAAAAAGTAGCTAGCTTCTGTAACCATCCCTAAAAAAAAAAAAAATGAACTTTATCATTCCAACTAACTTGTGCTGAGTGTTCACAATGTTTATTTAGCGATATAATATATGTAATTTTGCCTTGGAGGAACATGTAAAACCGTAAGACAACAGAAAAAGATTTCTAGTATGATGAGCTAACACAAAAGTGTTCACTAAGGAAAATAATATTTTTTAAAAAAGTGTTTATTTTGCTCACCATTAACTCAAAAAAGAACCAGGCCTGTTGCAAAGCTGATTCCCGAACGCTGCCACTGCAAACAACCCACTGCAAAGCCAGCTCCTCATGAAAAAGCTATCCAGAAGTAAATCCAAAGTTATTATCAAAGTCAAGTCTGTTAGTAACACAAACCAAATAATAATGCAACTGCAAATGAAGATATAATGAGAATAAGCAAAATAAGGCATGTGAACCATTCAATGATGCAGTGAGGACACCCATTAACGAAACGGCTATTTATACATGTAAGATAGTGGCATGTTGAATAGCTGGAAAAATTACATGTTATCTTGTAGCAAAATGTAATTTTTAAAAAACAGGTGGGAAATAGCCTCCTAAATTGTACCTGCAAACAGAAATTAGACCAAAAACTCAAAGTTACAAATAAAATCTTGTTTGTGCTTTACATACATATTTCAACATATGCAAATACATTCGTGAACTTTGCTGGTACAATTTAGAAAATACCTTTAAAATTTTAAACTTTGACATAACACATTAATTTTCAAGTTTTCAGGTATTGAAAGTCGTTTTATAAAAATGGCAGAAATGCCTGCCTTGCAATGGATATGCATACAAAGCATTTGCAAAGTAGTGTATATTAATAAGAAAAAGGACTAACAAAACTGTGCATAAGGGAAGCAAATCACCATATCTTACTAAGAGTGATAATTTTTCTAACTCATCTTCCATTTCCTGGAGATTTAAAACACAAAACAGAAGCAGTTACAGAAACAGATTAATTTGGTACATTTTTTGGCACTCTGATTGAATGATCAAATTTCAATGCACTAAAGTCCAAAAGCAGCCAATCCCAAAGATACACATTAAAATAATGTAAAATAGCCTACACTGGAAAGGGAGGCCCCAAAAGGCATCAGACAAGCAGAGCTTGCTCAACTGTGTTTTAAAATGCAATGGAAATTCTGCAATATCTCATTATCTATTTAATTGCTGAAATTATTTTCCCCCTATATGGATTGTCTTCATATGAATCTACCTTTTTAGTTGGTAAGCGTCCCGTTAATGTTTGTAAGAAACTTGACGTCTCTGTGTGCGAAGACATACGATTACAACTTCGATCCATAGCCTATGGAGTGAAGATGAATGATGACGAGATAACATTAAAGTCCGCTGTGGAATGACTTTGCAGCTCAAGGAATACATAGAATTTTTTAAATAGTGTTTTATTGTGGTTTCAGCAACCATCTATTTTATTGCTCATCTCATTTTTACCATTTTAAGTTATTTTAATGCCTTAGGAATATCAAAATGCTTCTAAAATTTTTAGATGAGTATTTTAATAATTATATAAATTCAGAGTGCTGCAAAGAATGAAACTTTTATTTGTGTGACCTATACACATGCACATATCTAGTAAGAAAATGTAAAAACATACTTCTCAACTGGTCTCAGACAAAAAAAAACCCCACCAAAACTTTTATATTCAATAAAAAATTATTAAAAGTTTAGAATGATTTCTTTCACTTTTCACTATTATCAAAAATAGTATTCAGGCTTGCCATATACTACATGAAATACAAATCAATTCTAATATTAAAATGTAATTAAATTGTTTCTACAAGAACAAAAACATTTTCCTACAAAGTCAATAAACAGATGAGAAGTACATTTGAAGGCATCATGCAGTATTAGCTATCAAGCAATTAGATTTAAGTCATCAAAACCTAATTCAACTAAGTTATAATACATTTCATACTTTGCAACACAGCACAAACTGAAAAAGTTTTTTGCTTCTGGTATTTAATCTTATAGGATGGGGAGCATATACTGTTCACATTTAATTTCTATTTTATTACCAGTATTTTTAGTCAGTGATTATGAAAAAAATAACAAGATAGTAAATGCTAAATGGAAACGATACAATAGCTACACTTTAAACCAAAAGCAAATGGAAAACTGTCAGGTTTTTCCACATAAAATATTTTTAAATTCCTACTGAAGATATGCTACCCCTAAAGTAGAAACTGTTATCAAAGTCATCAATCGCATAAGCAACAGGAACTGATATAATGATAGAGTGTATAAGGAGGGAGGGAGAAGGAGACAGGAAATAGGAAAGCAGAACAATACTGGTGCAACTGGTGGAATTCATGCATAGTAGTTGAAGAATGTGCTAAGTAAACAAAAATACACACTGTTTAATAATTAAAAAAGCAAGCCACTGAAATCACAGTATATACTAAAAAGTAATGTTCTAAAGGGAAACATCAGCAGCCAATAAAGAAACCTCTGATATAAACACCACCTGTGTTGATTCTGCACTTGGACTGGGGTTGGATCCCCATGGGGCAGCTTTTGGACCACCAGTGTTAACCCAGGAATTGGAGCGATCTAAACCCTAAGCATATAATAGAAAGCAGTTGGAAAGGAAAGAAATATTACATGTGGCATGCTATAAATTATTCTTAAAGAAATCCAGAATTTCCAATGCAAACATTTTTTAAATTAGTACTGTTAAAGCAACCAAAAATTTTAGGCACCTATAGAGTATTATTAGTTCACCAAAGTTATCTTATTACATACATTTTAAAGAATCACCAAGAACATGAACTGTACCATTTAAAGGTGATTTCTCTTTTTGTAAAGGCGTTGGTACACCTTGAAGTACCAACAACTAAAGTTCCCACAGCACACCCCTCCCCCCTCAATTTTCTTTAAAGATGGTATGAATTAGCAACAGTTAATTTACTCCGAATATAACTAGGGAATCAAAGAAAAAAATGGGAGAAAAAACATTTCATTCTTTTCTAAAAGAATTTAATTTCATTCCATATGTCATCACTGAAAACTTCTGTGCAGTAATACTCCATAATTCTACTTGATCCTGCCTTTTATTTTCTTTCAGGGACTGTCAGGAGAAATTAAGTAAAAATTTAAGAAAATAATGCCTAATATCTGTTCCTTTCTAAAAATGATGGTAAATTTGGGGTTGTGCTCAGTTTTATTGTGCTTATTGCAATGAAATCTAATGGGCTACTATACATATTAAGAAAAAAACATTCTGGAGCTATTTATAGTAATTATATCTTCATCATTACTATCACTAATTTAAAGTTAATTTAATATGCTACTAATGTGTACAACCAGAAGTGAATTATGTCTATCTGTCTCTAAAAGAGGTCATTATGATCCAGGTGAAGGAAACTGGGGCTTTAGTTCAATTTCTTAAACCTGACTGGTCAGCAGTCGGCCGGCGGCTCAGTGGTTGAGCGTCGACCTACGAACCAGGTCACAGTTTGAGTCCAGGTCAGGGCACGTGCCTGGGTTGGGGGCTCCATCCCCAGTGTGGGGTGTGCTGGAGGCAGCCAATCAATGAATCTCTCTTGTCACTGATGTTTCTCTCTCTCTTTCCCTCTCCCTTCCTCTCTCAAATCAATAAAAATAAATATATTTTTAAAAAAACCTGACTGATCATTAAAATTAATTGGGAAGGTTTATAAAATTCAGATTCTGGGCCCTACTCCCAAAAATCTTGATCCAGCAATATGGGCCTGGGAATCTGCTAATAGAACTGGAACAAATTATAACAAATTTTTTGAGGATTGTTGGAGTAAGATTTATAAAGACAAACCAAAAGAAACGAACTACAAATATCAGGACATGCGTATGGACGCAAACCAGAAAACATCAAAGGAAGAAGAGGTAAAAGAAAAGAAAGAGTAGTCACAATGTTAAGCAATTCTGTATAGACAGTATCACTTAGGGAAATGGATAGTTCATCTATAGCACTGTATTAAGTATTCGGTAGTAATAGATGGTAATCAGCAAGTAGATGCAATGATAAAAGTTTTCCAAAGTTTTCTTCTGATGGCTTCAATTTTCTCAATGAAGTAGAAGATAAAGTCAGAAGGAGGATTGGTGAGGAGGTTTTATGAGGCTTAAAGTAATAAAAAATGGCATGATACCTTTTCTGGGAGAATGGGAAGGTAAATGAAATACAGAAATATATATAACTGCTTGATAACATTAGGGCTCTCTGAGGTTTATGGTCTTTAATTTCAAATGAGACCAGTCATCATGGTATTTCTCAAGTCTTGTTCAGTGGCACAGGTGGTGACATGGCAAGGGCAGTCAACTGGATTGAACTATGGTTTATGGTTTGGTTAAGCAAGTAAAATGAAGTGGAGAAGGATAAGAGAATTGAGGTTCGATTATAATGGGTATAATTATAATGATTATGATATTTTAGCTGGCTAAATTGGAAGAAATAACATTAGGGTGGTAAGACACAGTATAAAGGTCACTGAATCAAGTAATTGGAGATTGTAGAGAAATAAAAAAATTGTTAGAATTGAGATACTAAAGAGAAAACTAGCAACTAATGGTTAAAGAACAAAATGCATGAAATTAAGATTATGAGGATTAAAGTTATTGGTAATGAGAAGATCTAGGTTATGACCATGACGGAGGCAAAGTGAAAGACAAAATCATTAAAGAAGAGTTACTTTGCCCTAGCCGGTTTGGCTCAGTGGATAGAGCGTCGGCCTGCGAACTGAAAGGTCCCGGGTTCGATTCCGGTCAAGGGCACATGCCCAGGTTGTGGGCTCGATCCCCAGTGGGGGTCTTGCAGGAGGCAGCCGATCCACGATTCTCTCTCATTGTGGATGTTTCTATCTCTCCCTCTCTCCCTCTTCCTTCCTCTCTGAAATCAATAAAAATATATTAAAAAAAAAAAAGAGTTACTTAAATGTCTAGGCCCGCGGTCGGCAAACCGCGGCTCGCGAGCCACATGCGGCTCTTTGGCAACTTGTGTGTGGCTCTTCCACAAAATACCACGTGCGGGCGCGCACGTACAGTGCAATCAAAACTTCATGGCCCATGCGCAGAAGTTGGTATTTTGTGGAAGAGCCTATATTTTGTGGAAGAGCCACACTCAAGGCGCCAAAGAGCCGCAAGTGGCTCGCAAGCCATGGTTTGTTGAGCCGCAGTTTGCCGACCATTGGTCTAGGCCAATAAACTCAAACTAAATGAAAAGCAGCTACAAATAAACTTCAAGCTTCCTTAAATTTTTCAATAAAATAAAATTACATACTATTATAAGGGATTATGACTAAAGGATACTCCAAAATAAAGGTAGCTAGCAAAAATTTTGCAACAAAGAGAAAACATAGAAAGTATTTAAATAACAATTCATACAAGGCTGTGTTGTCATAAAAAATTTCTCATTTTATGATGGCTTGCTCAAAAGTTGATGTTTATCATTTTAATATCATCAAAGGTAAGTTTATGTCATTATATCCCATTTTATAAACTACTTGAACAAAGGCAACTAATCATTCCAATATATGTAAATCGTGGATGTTGTAAGTTATCACATACATCATATAAAAGAAAACTCTAGAATCATGCTAAATGACGCATAATGCAAATCTTACAGAAACTGAGACATTTTAAAAGTATAGCCTTAAAGAAAATGGTTTCTATAGATTAACAGAATTTCTTATAATTCACAAATCAAATTCATTCTACTAAAGAATTGTATTTTATAAGTATGTAAATAATGCTAAGTACTCTCTCTATTACGAGATATAATAAAAAATAAAGACAAGGATAAAGAACTTGAGTATTTTTCCTAAACATGGAAATGTATGTGAGGTAAGGCTACAAAATGTATTTCTGATCTGTGAAAATTACTTAAAAATTGTTTAAAAGTTATTTTATGCCCTAGCCGGTTTGGCTGAATGGATAGAGCGTTGGCCTGTGGACTCACGGGCCCCAGGTTTGATTCTGGTCAACAGCACATGCCCAGGTTGCAGGCTCGATACCTAGTAAGGGGCATGCAGGGGGCAGCCAATCAATGATTCTCACTTATCATTGATATTTCTATCTCTCTCTCCTGCTCCCTTCCTCTCTGATATCAATAAAAATGTATTTTTTTTAAAAAGTTATTTTACAATGAACAATGCTTCTGAAAATGTAACATTTCTGTAACTATATGAATAGCTATAAGTAATTCTGATGTTTTTTTATCAATGTTCAAGTATTTCACCTAACAAACAAACCCAAATCTTAAAAAAATATATTCTATTGTAGTTCAGACTGTTAAATACAGACCCTAGTACATGTTTAGTAATTCTTCCTCATATCATTATTACCAAACTGAAATGCCAAAGAAAAGTTGGCTATGATTCCATAACCATAATATCTTCCTCTTTTACAATAGGAAATGTATTTACATTTGCAATGGTTTGGTCAAAACACAACATGACGTGATTTCTTGGCTTTACTGTTGTTTGTCCAGCTTGCTTAAACTCTGAAATATTTTTGTACTTTAAATATAAAAAGGGAATTAACTATTTGTTCCTTAAGTATATTTCTTTGGGTAATAAAGATTATAAATAAATAAAATATAGCTAGATCTTAGATTAGCTGGCATCTCCCTTATTATCTGATGTAATCATTAACCATCATTAAATAAATCATATAATTCTAATCCTTGTGCATCTTACATAGAGTTTTTCATAAGAAATGTAGCTCAATTACCAATCTAGATTTTTTTTGGAGAAGGACTTACATTTTGTATCACTGATGATATAGCCCTATTACCCAGCAGTCACATAGATCTGTTTTGATTCTACGTAAAAATCATTTTTCACATGATGAAAGACAGATAAAAGTGAGTAATATATAACTAGTCATCCTGGACAAATTTTAGAATTTGGCAGATTTTTTTTTTAGCAGAATGCACAAACCAGTTTGCAATAGCAAGCATATTTAATAGAAACATGAAACACTTAGTGTTTACTGACAAAATGGAAATGTACAATTTCTAACTCAAATACACTTAAAAATTCAAAATAAATTAAAACATTTGGACATTTCTCATTTGTTCATGAACTGAAAATCCAACTTATAGGCGGTTATCTTCAGTTTACCTTACTGCCGATGATTGACCGTACTTCATCATCTGGTGACGTGGGAGTCCCAGGTATATCTGGGTTACTATTACTAAGGCTCCGAGAACGATTTAAATTCAGGCTTGCAGGTCTCACAGCAGATCTAGCCATTGTGGCATAATGCACTGATCCTCCTAAACCCCCAGGACCTAGAGTTGAATATAAAACAGCACATAATTATACAAAGGAAATTAGTCAAGAAAGGACATGAACTTAATCTCTGTCACTTTACAGAATTTCACTAAGACCATGAATTGCTTTTGTTTCTGAATGAAAAATACTATAAATAAGAAAGAAAAAGACTAAAGACTTAATAATAAATACACAAAGATATTCTTATTTCACAGCAGTTGGCAATACCGTATGAATTATAAAAACAATTCTCTTCAATGTTTCTATGATTATAGAGTACATGTATAATAGAAAAACAGTCACATACATTACCGAGACACTAGGTGTACCGGTTAATAATGCGGATTTTTTCACTAGATGGAGTTACACATATGTTGATACATATGCGATTTGATATGTATGCTATTTTGTTGTATTGACAGCAAGCTTCAAAACTTCATATGTCAAATTTTCTGAAGGTGTTAACATCATAAATATTTTTACGCTTAAAAATGTCAAATTTTGTGCCAAAAAAAGAGCATTTGTAGGAAGTTTTAATTCATTATTTTGAAGAAAAAGTTATTGTATACTTCGGGAAGCTTATGGTGAACATGCTCCATCTCAAAATACTTGTGAACGCTGGTTTGACTGCTTTAAAAGTGATGATTTCAATGTGAAAGACAAAGAACGTCCAGGTCAACCAAAAAGTTTGAAGACCAACAATTACAAGCATTACTGGAGGAAGATACGTGTCAAACTCAAAAACAACTTGCAGAAAGATTAAACGTTGCTCGGCAAACAATTTCCGATCATTTACAAGCAATGGGAAAGATTTTAAAGGAAGGAAAATGGGTGCCGCATCAACTGAACGAAAGACAAATGGAAAACCGAAAAGTCATCAATAAAATGTTGCTTCAACGGCACGAAAGAAAGTCTTTTTTCCATCGAATTGTGACTGGCGATGAAAAGTGTATTTATTTTGAGAATCCCAAATGCACAAAATCATGGGTTGATCCAGGTCAACCATCAACATCGACTGCAAGGCCAAATCGCTTCAGAAAGAAGACAATGCTCTGTGTTTGGTGGGATTGGGAAGGTGTGGTGTATTATGAGCTTCTAAAATCAGGTGAAACCATTAATACTGATCGCTACCGACAACAAATAATCAATTTGAACCACGCTTTGAACACGAAACGACCAGAATGGGCCAGAAGACATGGCTAAGTAATTTTGCTTCATGATGATGCACCATCACACACTTCAAAGCCAGTTAAAGACACATTAAAAGATCTTGCCTGGGAAGTATTAACCCACCCGCTGTATTCACCAGACCTCGCTCCTTCAGATTACCACTTGTTTTGATCAATGGCACACGCACTTTCTGAGCAGCACTTCAAAATGTACAAAGAAGTGGAAAATTGGGTCTCTGAATGGTTTGCCTCAAAACAAGAAAAGTTCTATTGGGACGGTATCCACAAATTACCCGAAAGATGGGGGAAATGTGTAGCTAGCAATGGACAGTACTTTGAATAAGGCACTTTTGATGTTTCTCTTGAAATTATCGTGTTTTCTTTGATTACAAAATCCACATTAGTAACCTATACACCTAGTACACACAATGTAAGTATATCTAACATCCAAAATGCTTCAGCTTGTGTCTCTTCTTTTTCCTCTATCCTTCCTTGCTATGCCCCTTGATACAGTCAATAGAGGGACAGTCAATTTACTGTCAACATCTCTTGAAAGAGATTGTGCTTTACTTCTCTATCTTCATCAGTGAAAATCTGAACTATAACAAAAGGGCACCTTTGTGCCATATACATGTAAAAAAATCTAAAGAAAGCTTTTCTAAAAGCCCACCTTATATAAAAAAAAACAATGGAAACCTTTTCATCTAAAATCAAGCCTGACACCATTATTCAACCATGTTCTATAAACATAAATATACCCAGTGATTGCATCCACAATTTATCTCCATTTTTCTTATTTAAAGAAATCTTTCTGAATGTAATATTTGCAAATGACAAATACCTGTCAACTAATTATGTCTTTCACATCAGCATATAAAAAATGTTTTGCATAATCTGTGGTATTCTAACAGTGTACTGAATGAAAGAGTAAATGGAGGAGTATTATATGTAGTCCATAATCACCTCCACATTCAGAGCCTCAAATACTATAATTTTAAAAACCAAGAGAAGAAATTATGAAACATATGTGATATGAATTAATTACTACTATTTTTGCAATTAAGAAAAACAATGAGCTAAAACTCATATACTGTTATGCTTAGTTTTCATAATAAATGCCATAATTAATTTTCACCATTAATGTTAACCTTGTCAATTGTTGGAAAGGGCACTTACCATTATCACTAGTGATGAATGATGACTCACACAGACAAATATATGAGCAAGTTGAAAGATATGCATGATATATTCATTAACTAACTGAACATCTAATGAGTTATTCAAACTAAGATACATCCACCACCTCCAACACCACTATCATAAAAAACAAATAGCTACTTTGGGCTCTAGTATTCTGAAAGCTATCTTATCCTATCTAATAAAGAGGGAATATGCTAATTGACCTTCACGCCATTGCAAAGATGGCGGCACCCACAGCCAATAAGGAGGGAATATGCTAATTGACTGCCTGCCCTCAAAGATGGTGGTGCCCACAGCCACAAGATGGCCAGCAGGGGAGGGCAGTTAGGGGTGACCGGGCCGGCAAGGGAGGGCAGTTGGGGGGGACTGGGCCGGCAGGGGAGGGCACTTTGAGGCAACTGGGCAGGCAGGGGAGGGCAGTTGGGGGCGACCGGGCTGGCAGGGGAGGGCAGTTGGGGGGGACTGGGCCGGCAGGGGAGGGCAGTTGGGAGCGACCGAGCCGGCAGGGAAGGGCAGTTGGGGGCGACCGGGCCAGCAGGGGAGGGCAGTTGGGGAGATCGGACTGGCAGGGGAGTAGTTAAGCATCAATCAGGCTGGTAGGGGAGTGGTTAGGGGGTAATCGGGCTGGCAGGCAGAAGTGGTTAGGGGCAATCAGGCAGGCAAGCAGGCGAGCGGTTGGGAGCCAGCAGTCCCAGATTGGAGAGGGTGCAGGCTGGGCTGAGGGATACCCCCCTCCCCAGTGCACGAATTTCATGCACCAGTCCTCTAGTTTTATTAATAATGGAGAAATCAGAACTTTTCTAGAAAATAATCTTTTATATTATAGAGGTTTCAAACGTTTATCAGGGTTATTTCTTCTTTAAAGTCCAATAGGTCTGCAATGACAAATACAACATTCTCTTAATCTTAACAGGAAATAAAATGCTTCCAGAGACAAGAAGTTATTTGCAGGGTTCATTTCCAAGAATTAATTCAACCAAGATCTAATTAAAGGAAGCTGTGTAAATAATGGTGCTTTAAAATGTAACATTTATTTTACCTCCAGCACTGAATATAGTCCATGCCACTCAGTAGGCATTCAATAAATGTTTGCTGTTCATAGTAAAAAGAATAAAATACCTGGTGATGGTGAATTAGGGGAAGTATTTGGTAAGCGAAAAACATAATAGATATATGATGCAAGAAGATTGTTCCTGCCATGCTGGTCATGATTTCCTTCCAGATTTTTGTGAAGCCGATTTATAATTGATGACATCGCTTCAAAAGATGCTTGACCTAGATTAACTTTTAAGAAGGAGGAAAATATTTTTGCATTAACTTTTTTAGACTATAACTTCCAAAGAGATCAAGGTTTTGTCCTCTCTACATGCATTAAGTATAGTGATTATACATAATAATTGTATAAAGATATTGATTTTTAAAATTTATTTTTCAATTACAGTTGACATACAATAACAGGTACACAACACAGTGATTAAACAATTTGATGTTGATGTTAAAGATTATCTTGTATTAGATAAATCAAAATTACTTTTCTAAACAAAATGAAAAAAACTAATTTTACTAATTTAACATGAATATTGTATGGGTTTAGTCAAAAACAAAAGATCATCCCACAGATACCTAAATTTTGTAAACAATACAAAGCACATAGGAAAAAAAATCTATCTTGGAGAAGTAAATTCTCATTTTATTCATTTATTTTATTATTTCATTATTTTTATTTTTAATTTATCTTTATTGCTGAAAGTATTACAGATGTCCCTTTGTTTTTTATTCCCCACTGACCCCCTCCATTTTGCACCTGCCCCTCCCAAGCCTTCACCACACTAACCTATATAGCACACAATGAGCATGTGACTTTTGTTTTAAAAATATAAAAATATTAACAATGAAAGTAGATTATTAAAAATATCAACTTAAGATAGTAAGACAAGACTCTTCAATAAATGGTGTTGGGAAAATTGGACAGATACATGCAAAATAATGAAACTAGACCACCAACTTACACCATACACAAAAATAAACTCAAAATGGATAAAGGACTTAAATGTAAGACAGGAAACCATAAAAATACTAGAGGAATCCAAAGGCAACAAAATCTCAGACATATGCCGAAGCAATTTCTTCACTGATACAGCTCCTAGGGCATTGGAAACTAAAGAGAAAATAAACAAATGGGACTACATCAAAATAAAAAGCTTCTGCACAGCAAAACAAAACAACGAGAAAGTCCACTGTGTGGGAAAACATATTTGCCAATGTTATATCTGATAAGGGACTAATCTCCAAAATTTATAGGGAACTCATACAACTTAACAAAAGGAAGATAAACAATCCAATCAAAAATGGGCAAAGGACCTAAACAGACACTTTTCAAAAGAGGACATTCAGAAAGCCAAGAGACATATGAAAACATGCTCAAAGTCACTAATTATCCGAGAAATGCAAATCAAAACAACAATGAGGCATCAACTCACACCTGTCAGAATGGCTATCATCAACAAATTAACAAACGACAAGTGCTGGAGAGGATGTGGAGAAAAAGGAACACTTGTGTACTGCTGGTGGGAATGCAGACTGGTGCAGCCATTATGGAAGACAGTATGGAGTTTCCTCAAAAAGTTAAAAATGGAACTCCCATTTGACCCAGTGATCCCACTTCTAGGAATACATCCCAAGAAAACAGAAACACCAATCAGAAAGGATATATGCACCCCTATGTTCATAGCAGCACAATTTACCATAGCGAAGATCTGGAAACAGCCTAAGTGCCCATCAGCAGATGAGTGGATTAGAAAACTGTGGTATATCTATACAATGGAATACTATGCTGCGGTAAAAAAGAAGGAACTCTTGCCTTTTGCAACAGCATGGATGGAACTGGAGAGCATTATGTTAAGTGAAATAAGCCAGTCAGAGAAAGATAAATACCACATGATCTCACTCATTTGTGGATTATAGAGAACAACATAGACGGATGAACAGGGACAGATCCAAAGACAGAGAAACAGCGATCAGACTATCAATCCCCAGAAGGAATGTAGGGGAGGGCGGGGATAAGGGGAAGAGATCAACCAAAGGACTTGTATGCATGCATATAAGCCAAACCAATGGACATGGGCAACAGGGGGATGAGAGCATGAGTGGGGGGGTTGGGGGGGTTGGGGGGGTAGAGGACGAGGGTTCATCGGGGGGATGAGGACACATTTGTAATACCTTAACTAATAAAGAATTTTAAAAAAAATACTTGGTGAATAAATTAATTTGTTTCCATAATTTGAGTAGAAGTCTATATGGCATATTTTATAAAAAACAAAAGTAAGTTATCATTTTTGGCATTTGAGACAAGTAAATAACAACCCTCACCCGCCCCCCCCCCCCCAATCAAATGCATCCTTATAAATAACAAACAGGAATCATGGTTCTATTTTGCAAAAGTTAAAAAAATACCAAATTATAAATTCTATGATTCCCCAAACAAAAGTAAATTACCTATTTGGCCAGCAATGACTGGAGGTCTAACAACTAAAAGTATCAGTTTATCAAGCAGAAGATGAAGAAATCGGACCACTGGTTCCAACTGAGATGAATTCAATGCTGAAATACTGCTCTTCAATTCATTTTCTAAGTTATTTTCCATGATTCGCATATCTCCAATTCGAACAGGGAACATGTGTTCATCCAGAGCATTGACCAGAGCAAAAAACTTGTCAAGATAAGGATCCTAAAACAAAGAACGAACAAAAGCACTAAGCAAGTATAGCTCTATAAATTCTCCAAACTATAAAACACTAATAAAATGTCTCATATTAACTGATAATACAAAAAAGTACATACCAGTATATATAAGCATTGTTTCCAATTAAACACTAAATCTATAGGGTGGGGCATATTAGTAAATAGGTCTATAGTTGTTAAATAAAAAATAATAATAGCCCGGCCAGTTGAACGTCGACCTATGAACCAGGAGGTCACAGGTGGATTCCCCGTCAGGGCTAATGCCCAGGTTGCTGCCTTTATCCCCAGTAGGGGGCGTGCAGGAAGAAGCCGATCAATGATTCTCTCTCATTATTGATGTTTCTATCTCTCTCCCTCTCCCTCCCTTTCTGAAATAAAAAATATATTTAAAAAAAACAATCCTATCTAATAATAGACAAACATGGTAATTAACCATAACTTCGCTACCCTTCCCATTGGCTAATCAGCAAGATATGCAAATTAACTGCCAACCAAAATGGCGGCCCGCAGCCAGGCAGCTGAAGCAAACAGGAGGCTTGCTTGCTCCAGTGAAGGAGGAAGCCAAGGTTCCCCGCCTGCTGCTGCTGGGCTCTGAGCTTGCACTCTAAGAAACATTGTTGCAATTATAGAAGCTAAACAAACCCCAAAAACCTGCTTTCAGCCGTCAGAGCTGGAGCTGAAACAGTGTTTCAATTATAGAAGCCAAACACCCCAGATACCTGCATTCAGCAGCCGAGGTCTCAGAGCTGGAGCCGGGCTTCAGAGCTAAAGCCGGCTCTCAGTTCCAGTGACAGCCATAGAAGGTAAATAAACCCCAGAATAAAAAAAAAAGAAAGAAAAAAAGGAGAGGTTGGGAGCTTCAGTCACCTGCCAGCCTGAAAATGGCCCTCAGCCCCTCACCCAGACTGGCCAGGCACCCCAGTGGGGACCCCCACCCTGAAGGGTGTGTGACTAGCTGCAAACAGCTATCATCCCCTCACCCAGACTGGCCAGGCACCCCAGTGGGGACCACCACCCTGAAGGGGGTGCAACCAGCTGCAAACAGCCATCATCCCCTCATCCAGGCTGGCCAGGCACCCAAACGGGACACCCACCCTGATCCGGGACACCCTTCAGGGCAAACCAGCTGGCCCCCACCCATGGAACAGGCCTCTATCCTATATAGTAAAAGGGTAATATGCAAACTGACCCTAACAGCAGAAAGACTGGGAATGACTGGTCACTATGACACACACTGACCACCAGGGGTTAGACGCTCAATGGAGGAGCTGCCCCCTGGTGGTCAGGGCGCTCTCACATGGGAGGAGCTCTGTTCAGCCACAAGTCAGGCTGATGGCTGCCAGTACAGCAGTGGTGGTGGAAGCCTCTCCTGCCTCCTCAGCAGCGCTAAGGATGTCCAACTGCAGTTTAGGCCTGCTCCCCGCTGGCAAGTGGACATCCCCTGAGGGCTGCCGGGCTGCCAGAGGGATGTCTGATTGCCATCTTAGGCCCAATCCCCTGGGGGAGCAGGCCTAAGCCAGCAGGTGGTCATCCCCTGAGGGGTCCCAGACTGTGAGAGGGCACAGGCCGGGCTGAGGGACCCTCCTCCCCCCCAAGTGCACAAATTTTTGTGTTCCGGGCCTCTAGTAAATAATAATAAACTGTGTTTTGTATATTTACAAATGTAAACCTACTTTTGTCCCACTCTGTATTTTCACTTATTATTGTAAAGTAGCCACTTCAAATACTACTAATTAAGAAATATATTGATACTAATTCAGGATATGTTTCCCAGTGAGTCTGTCTTATTGTTTTAGAGCTCAATTATAGGGATAGATGTGTTAGTAAACTATCTGTGCCCATTACTAATTTATTGCTCTCAGCTCCATCTATACCCACTATGTATTTACTCTATTACCTCTAATCCTGAATAGCAAACAAATTACAACTGCCTATAGGACATTGTTATCTGAATTGCATAGTCATGTCAAACTAAACAAGCTAAAAAATAAACTCATTACGTATAGCTCCAAACTGCTCCCCCTTAATGTGCTCCCAAATTTACTTCTCTCATGTTTCCTACATTTAGGTCAGAAATCACCATCTACCTGGACTCTAAACTCTAAAGCATTCAAGTTCCTTCATAATCTGTTACCATCCTGGTCTTCCATCTTCACCTATCACAATTTCTCATACACTTTACATTGTTTGCCCATCCTTAAACAGATTACTGTCTCTTTGCACTTTTTATCTTCTGAGTTGCTCACCTTCTCTCTGTATGGTAAATGCCTACTTATCAGCGAAACACCTCAGTTCCCAGCAAAACAGACAACTCCTCTGTACTTGATTTAGTTCATATGTCTAACATAGTACTAATTTTATTGTATTGTAATTATTTTTACATTTCCCCTATTTTAAGGTCCTTAAAGGAAAGTCTCTTTCCCTGACAGGTAACAACATCCCTGACCTCATGAAGTTTACAGTCTAATGGGAAAAAGAACCAATAAACAAAAGCATGTTATGTATGTATACATATGTACATGCAAACACACACGGACACACAGAAAGTGTGAGAGGAAGCAAAAGTGCCTGAGTGCATGAGAGCAAAAGGCAGTAGTAAGTGCAAGGTAAGAATGACACAGAATAATGGGGCTGCTGTTTAAGAGTCACCAGAAAAGTCCTCTCTGGCGTAAGCAGAAACCTTAATGAAGAGAGGTCAAATGAATGTCAGGAGGAAAAGCATTCCAGCTAGAGAAATAGTAAATGTACAGGCTTTAAGGAGAAGGCATATTCAAGAAATACAGTAAAGAATGTGGAGTAAATGATCCCTAAGAACTCTTTCCATTTGAAATATCTGAGTCTGTGAGAAATAAAGTATGTTGGATGATGCTTTTTGAACTTTAAAGTACTGCTATGTACCAAAAACCTAGGGACAAAAATTAATTGTTCAAAATGAAGTCAATAATATTTTGAAAAGTAAAATATTTGCTTTGGTTGACATTAACATTTTGTTGATAAAAAGAAATTTCTAAATCTATACATTTTTAACTGACTTATATTCCTGAGTCTAACAGCAGGCAACAAAACTGATTTAAGTACTAGACAATATGTTCAATTCATTCAAGTGAAATTTGATCATAAAAATTACTAACACTCACTTGTGTATGGATAGATGAAACAGCAACAACTTCAACATTAAAAACACCTTTGTGGTTATCTACCCATTTCATGCCAGGGAGAGGAACCTATAAAATATAAAATACAATAATCACAGATACTTAAGTTGATCATAAACTCTGAAAACAAATTTTAAAATTACAGTATCTTGATGAGAAAAAAAATCTGTGAAATATATTTTTATGCACTGTAAATGAATGTAAAATGTATGCTTAATTCTTATTACAAAATCAATGTTTTCTAGATGAAGAGGCTCAAAGAGTCAAAAACAGAAAATATACATTCAAAATTGCATCTTCCCAAAGACATATCCCTTTATATAATTCCAAATCATCCTCTAGGAAAATAGTTCTATACATTCCCTTACATAGGTGCTATCACAGATATTTTACAACCTGTTTTTCACATATTACATTGTGAATCTCTTTTCATATCCACAATATCATCTTAATGGTTTATAATATTCTATTTTCTTTATTTTAAACACTCCTCTTATGTTTTAAGTGGGCTTTAAAATATTCATAAACCAAGAAATTCTGTTTTACGGATGAGAAAACTTTTTTTTTTTTTTGCTAGAAATTAATTAAAATCTATACTAATAAAAGCCTAGGTGGTCCTCCCGCCCTCACGGGACGCACTCACATCATCACAAAATGGCTGCCACAAGATGACCGGCAGGGGAGGGCAGTGGGGGGCGAGATCAAGCCAGCAGGGGAGGGCAGTTGGGGGCCATCAGGCCAGTAGGGGAGCAGTTATGCATCAATCAGGCTGGCAGGGGAGCAGTTAGGGGGTGATCAGGCTGGCAGGCAGGTGAGCGGTTAGGAGCCAGCAGTCCCAGATTGTGAGAGGGATGTCTGACTGCCGGTTTAAAATACTTTAAAACCGGCAGTTGGACATCCCCAGAGGGTTCCCAGATTGGAGAGGATGCAGGCCGGGCTGAGGGACACCTCCTCTGCCCCCGGTGCACAAAATTCGTGCACCAGGCCTCTAGTGATATAATAAAATCTAGTTTTTAAAGAGAGTACATCTGTTGTTTCTATTCCTCCTGCTAAGTACTGCCAAAAAATAGAAGCATGGATAGAGGAATGCAGACAGGCAAGGAACCTCAGGAGGGGAGGAACTATAAGGCAGTGTTTCCTGGGTTTTATTTTTGCCTGATATATCCTGGACTAGGTGCTAGAGAAGCTATCGAGCCAGAAACGTCAAAAGGAGCAGACATAAAAGAGCTCTAAGAAAGTCTGCTCTCTTTAGTCAAAGCCAATACTTGCCCTACTTTGGCAAAAACAAATTGCAGTCCCATGGCACCTCCACAGGCTGAGTGGGGAGCCTGGGTCTCTATCCTCAGCTGGCTGTAAGGTGCCCCCACTCCCATAGCCAGGGAGCTGTTAGCACAGCCTAGTGGGAAGCCTGAAATACAAGCCCTCCCTCACCTCAACACATTGTTACATGAGGAATATGGACCTTTACCTAGTAACAGCCCTACCCCCACTGTTAAAACACAAGGCATAAATAAGATCTAGAGTCGTGACCTAAAATGTTCATCCATTCTAATAAAGAGGGAATATGCTAATTGACCCTCACACTGTCACAAAGATAGCGGCACCCACAGCCACAAGAATAGTGGCACCCAGTCCCCTCAGCCACTCAGGGGTGGCAGGCGCACACCTGGGGGCAGGCCCGGCCACTCTGCGCGCCTGCCTCCGGAGACCCCCAGTCCCCTCAGCCCCCCAGCCGCCCAGGGCTGGCCCAAGGCTGGCCCAAGGCGCAGGCAAGCCTTGGATGGTGGCTGCCCAGCCGCCCAGGGCCGCCCGAGGCTCAGGTAACCAGGGCTGGCTGAGGCTTGCACTGCCAGCAGTGGCAGCAGCAGAGGTGTGATGGGGCATCACACCTCCTGCCCCCGAGGGCTCCTGGACTGTGAGAGGGGGAGGGCGGGCCGAGGGACACCCCCCCCTCCAGTGCATGAATTCTCATGCACCAGCCTCTAGTGATATAATAAAAAATCATCCATCATACCAAGAACCCGGCAAATCTCAACTTAAATGCGAAAAAGACAACCGATACCAACACTAAGATGATATCAATGTTGGACAGATGTGACAGAATTTTAAAGCAGCCATCATTAAAAAAAAAAAAAAAAAAAAAACTACAATAAGCAATGATAAATATCTGTGAAAGTCATGACAAAATTATACACTCAGCAATAAATAAATAAATAAATAAATAAATAAATAAATAAATAAATAAATAATAAATAAAAGGGTTTCTTTTCCATGGTTTCATATTTTTATGTGCAGAAAAGAAAATCAAATAAAGCATGGTTCTCAACCTTCTGGCCCTCAAATACAGTTCCTCATGTTGTGACCCAATCATAAAATTATTTTCATTGCTACTTCATAACTGTAATGTTGCTACTGTTATGAATCGTAATGTAAAATCTGATATGCAGCCTGGTCTTAGGCGACCCCTGTGAAAGGGTCGTTCAACCGCCAAAGGGGTCATGACCCACAGGTTGAGAACCGCTGAAATAAAGTTAATTCACTGTTAAATAATTCAACATGAATAGGTATACATGCAATGTCTCTATTGAGGCAAGTAATATAGATTTAGAAATATTTCTGGAAAAAAAGAAAAAGTGAATTTAAATGTCTCAAAGCAAAAATCAGTACTGGCTCTATCAGCCCAAAATACTGTTTTCAGTTACCAAAAAAAAAAAAGAGACACACAAATAAAGTGTGAAAACATACTTCTTTAAAAATAGCGGTTCTCAAAGCTTGAAGTAAGGACCAGTAACACAAACATGGTCTGGGCACTTGTTTGAAATGTAAATAATTAACATCCCTTCCAGATCTACTGCATCAGAAACTGGGTTGAGTGGGCGTGGAGGGAGTAAGGTTCAACAACTGGTGTTACAACAAACTCTCGAGGTGATTTTGATGCTTGCTAACGTAATAATTGTCGTCTTAAAAAATTCTAACAAGCAGTGCGGTAAAAGGAATGGTGTAATAGTAGCAAATATTACTTTAATACTTTTTATGTGTTTGGCACCATTCTAAATGCTCTGCATGCCATTAAATCATACAATCATCAACACAACTCTTTATTATAAGCATTAATTATTCTCTTAATTTATAGATGAGAAAATTCAGACACAGAGAGTGTAGTGCCTTAGATCAGACTGCTATTATAAAACACCATATGCTGGGTGGCTTAAACAACAGAAATTTATTTTCTCACAGTCTGAAGACCTCAAGTCCAAGATCCAGGCACCAACACGATCAGTATCTGGTGAGAAACTCCTCCTAGCTTGCAGATGGCCACCATCTCACTGTGTCCTCAAGAGAGAGCAAGCTCTCTGGTGTCTCTTTATAACTAATTCTATCATGAGGCCCCACCCTCATGACCTCATGTAAACTCAATTCCTCTCAAAAAGCAAATCTCCAAATACTATCACATGTGGGGGTTAGGGCTTCAAAATATGAGCTGGGAGTGGGGACCACAATTCAGTCCATAACAGAGAAATTAAGACACTTGCCCAAGAACACACAACTGGAAGTGGTGGAGCCAAGAGTAAAACCCTGGTAATTACGCCACACTGTCTTTCAAAGTATATGAGGTTTAAATAACAAAAATGCTCACAATTGCACAGCGCTTCAATAACTAACTTTGCTAAATTTGATATATATTTTCCAAACTATTTCCCACACAATTACTGATGTATACCTACATACTAAGTTTGGTCGTCGCTATATTGTTTGTTTTTTAAAAATATATATTTAATTGATTTTTTTACAGAGAGGAGGGGAGAGGGATAGAGAGTTAGAAATATAGATGAGAGAGAAACATCGATCAGCTGCCTCCTGCACACCCCCTACTGGGGATGTGCCTGCAACCAAGGTACATGCCCCAGACTGGAACCGAACCCGGGACCCTTCAGTCTACAGGCCGAAGCTCCAAGTCACTGAGCCAAACCGTTTCAAGCTGTTTTTATGTTTTATTCTAAATATCCTATTGGGATATTAAAATCTATATCATTCCTCTTACAATTATACCATTCATTGTATGGATGTACAAAAATTTAATTAAACATTAAACTCTTGGTCGATATCCAGGTAATTTCCATGTTTTATTTTTTGCTAATACCAATAATTTCGTATTTTTTTCTATTTAATTCAAACAACAAATATTTACTAAAGTCTCTACCTATTTTTCTAGGTTTTGGGGTTTCATGGTAAACATAAGGTCTACTCTCAGACAGCTGGCAGGAATAGAGAAAAACAAGTAAGTAAATAATTTCAGATTGTGATAAATATTAAGAAAATAAAATTGGAATAATATGATAGAGTATATCAGCAATGTAGAGGAGGAAAGGGTCGAAAGTTCATGAAGTGAAGAGAGACCTTTCTGAGGAGGTGCTGGTTTATATACAATTCAGAAAATGATAAGAATCCAGCCATGTGAAGAACAGGAAGAGAAGTAAGATGATTCAAAGACTTGGAGGCAGGAAAAATTTTGGAAGAAAGTCTAAGTACAAAGACAGGCTGCAGTTACGGTAAAAGACAATGCTGGAGAGGTGGACACGCCCTCAGATCATTCAGAGATTTGAAGGTCATGGGAAAAAAATCTGGACTAAATTTTAAGGACAACAAAAGGCCAGAGGAATATTTTATTTTAATCAAAAGAAATACTAAATCTTGGTAATATAATGCTGAATGGAAAAAGCAAGTTCCAGACTGATTGGCATGGCTCAGAGGTTGAGCGTCGACCTATGAACCAGAAGGTCACGGTTCGATTCCAGGTCAGGGCACATAACAGGATTGCAGGTTCATCCCTAGTGTAAAGTGTGCAGGAGGCAGCCAATCAATGATTCTCTCTCATCATTGATGTTTCTATCTCTCTCTCTCTCTCCCCCTTCCTCTCTGACATCAATAAAATATATTTAAAAACAGAAAGAAAAAGAAAAAGCAAGTCCCAGAGGATTACATACAAATAATAAATTTTTGTTAAATTCATAACATAAGCAAATTAAAAAATGTATTCTTTAGTCACACACAAAGTTGTTTTTATGAGGCCAGTTTTCAAAATAATGTGAACATACTTAATGCCACAGAACTACACACTTTAAAATGGTAAATTTTATGTTATGTATATTTACCACAATTTTTAAAAAAGAAAGCTAGTTTTTTATAGAGGGGAAAAAGAGTATGGGATGGGGAGGAACAAATAAATGATGCAAGTTATTGTCAATGTTCTAGTTCTTGGATTGCATGGTGGATGCATCATTGTTTATTATATTATTAAATAAAATAACAATAAATTGAAAAATGTAAGTATCCATATATAGATTTAACCACTGTGAAGTTTAGAAATATGCTATATGAGGATATTTGCATACTTATACAAATATATCTGTAGAATAAATATTTAGAAGTATAATTAATGAGATAAAGGGTATGTATATTTTTTCATTGTGACATATATCAGGCAAAAACAATCAAACAAAACTATTTTAAGGTCCAAGTGACTATGATGAGTGCTGAATGCCATAATCCTACAGAGAAAAAAAAATCTGTTGACAGACTGCCATGATGGTCTCTACATCTATCTTCACGAATTTTGTAAGTATGAATCTGCTTCCTGGAGCCCAATAAACACTGATCCTGAAAAGCTGATGACACTGAAGTGAGGTAAAGTCACCAAAGTACCATCAGTCTGTTGAGGTACATTGGTGGCCAAGGTTTTTCTCTCACCCTAAGGTTCCAAAGATTATTTAACAAGAAAAAATCTAATGTTAGGCATTTTATGCTTGAGGTATCTGTGGAATATCCCGGTAAAGAAAATAACTGGCAAAATACGGATGAGCAGAGATGCAGATTTAGGATTCATCAACTAACAGTAGGTGTCAAGAACATCTTGATTTTTGTACAAGTTATACACTTTGGGAGTACCGTTCACATGAACTGCAGCCAGTGGTCCTGCCTAGGAAGAGTACTTATAGGTTCAGAGTGAAAGGAACATGAAAACTTAAGGGGAAAATAGTTATCAAGAAGATGAGGCAAAGCAAAGCCACATAAAGGTTTACCTTCCTTTCTACCCAGTTTTAAAAAGAAAATGATTCACTGATCACTAGAAATGGTCAAATATCATAAAACAATAGTTCATTGGTTATAGATAGTTTACCAGTATCTAAGCATACATATATGGCAAGCCTCATATTCTAAGGCCCAAAGAACTACTGAAGTTAGCACGTATCAGAAGGTCTCTGACCTTCAAACAAAGCTCAACCTCAGCCAGGAAAGTAAACGAAAAATTGCGTTAAGCCATGACCTATAAAAGTTCAATGTTGAAATACTTATCTTCACATATTTTAAATTAAGCACTAAAACCAGTAATATTTACTATTTTTTAAATAAAAGCGAAGAATATATACTGTTATTTTAATATAGTAATTAAAATATACAAAAGTGTAAGCATTTTTAATCAGGTGGTTTATCTCAGTATCAATCAGCCATACTATATGTCTATAGTCAAATCCAAATCATCACCATATTTTTTATATATGAGCATACACAACATAGCTAAAAGAAACCACCAACTTTGCTTTTAGAAAGCTGACCTTGCATTTGCAAAACATGGAAAATCAAAAACATAATTTCCATAAAATCCTATTTTCTTTCAAAATACTTCCTTTTGAAATACAATGCTACCCCTGGCAGACGACTAACTTATTTACTAAAAAAATGTGTTCATGAAAAACTAAATGACAGATTAGGGAAGGAGGGGGAGAGTCATATTTTTAATTTATACTATCTTTATTCATTCATTTAACACGTTAAGCGCTATGTCAGTCACTGGTGACTGACACTGTACTTTCTGTCCGGAAGACAAAACAGGCTGGGCGCTTAACTATGATCACAGACAACCTCTCTGAAGAGGTGGCATTTAAGTGGCTACCTGAATGAAACGGAGAAGCAGGCCTTATGATAAAGCATTGCCAGCAGACAGAAGTGCAAAGGGCCTGGGATAAAATGCTCTTTTCATGTTTGAAGAACAGCTAAGGTGACTGTGCTACATGGCTAGAGCAGAGTGAGATAATAGTGAGAAATGAAGTCAAAGCAGTAGCATTATATTGTTTCTTCTTCTGTATTAAGAAATAAAAACAATACTAATTTATTTGTGAATACTTTCTGAGTTCTATTCTGGAAAAAATTCCACCAGGACAACATTCACAATACATTATTTCAGATTAATGTTTATATTGATGGCCAACACATTAAGTGGATTGGTAATCATCATGTAGTAGTTCTCTCAAAGGGCACTTTGGTTTTTGAACAGTGGCTACTGATTCTTGAGTGAGATTTTTCCAATGTTTTTGTTTCTTTCAAGTCACATATAATCATCAAAGCTGCTAATGTCTCTTAAAATAAAGCACTATATTTATAGCATATTTATAGCCACTTTATTTTCACATATATGATCAATGATCAGTAATTATAAAAAATTTCTTTAAAAAGTATTTTAAATCTGTTCTCCCTCTAGCCTTGTAGTTAAATATTATCTACTAAAAGAAAGACTTATTTATTTAAAGAAACTTCTCGTTACAATATAAAAATTTTCCAAATGTATCTTTTCTTTGAGTTTATTTTCATGTATTATTATTTTAAAATGAATAAACTTACATTTTTTAAAATAGTATGAAAGCTTCTTAGTATTCTATAATTTTAATTATAAGAGGAAAATAATATTATTACTTCATTATCAACATACTTATAAACAGAATCACAAGGTCTTGTTTGAGAAAAACACCTTTGTAATGAAAACCCATTTCGTTCAATCTGAAGAATTTCAATGTGAGAGATACTGACCTCAGGAGACAGTACAGAATAAGCCTGTGGTGGTTTTTCCAGTGAGACCGGTAGGCAAAACTGCCCAGTCTTTAATCGTCCATTCTGAAGCATTGGTATCCACTTTAAAATAAAAAGGAAACAATATTCATTTAAATTGTTTTTAAAAGTAATTGCTTGGAAAATCTGTTTTAAAGAACTGAATACGAGCCACATTTGTCTCACATCCCCAAACACCAAAGGGATTTAATTATGTAATTATGAGCTTTCATAATTTCCCCAAAGTTTCCCTGACAATAATTTATTAAGAATGATCAGTGAGATATTATTAGTACTAACTATACAATTTTTAAATCTATACAAGGTCCTTTTAGCCAAAGGAAAACTGGTAGTAAAAAAAGGCCACAGAGTGTATCAATATTAAACTGGGATAGCAGTGTCAATATAAGAAAAAAAAGATTTGATTAGATATGACTGTTGAAAAGAAAATTTTCAAGTATGAACATGAATTTATTTTCTTACATTTAGCAAAATTCATGTCACAAACTGCAAAAGACAAAACATAAATCAAATGTTGACTTTTCTCTATTGGGTGGAGGCATGAATTTTCTAACAAAGTAGTAATAGCATATTATGATGTCCTTCATCTTCGGTTTGCTTTTGCAATTCAATCATAATGATTTTTCAAAAAGTACTCAAGGGTTTGCCTTTAATTAAAGTAAAAATATATTTAATTGACAAAAGTCCTTTTTAATCATTTTACATTCAAACTATTCTTTTCTGAAGAACCCTTAAAATTATTATATTTATATTGTACAGTTGGGTAAACATAATAATCAGGACTAACACCTAATGTTTAGATTGTTAGTCAATTAATTACATTAATGAGCATTTTATTGTTATAGTGATCCTTCCTAACCAATGTGGGGAATCAGATAAGAATTATTATACCAACTACATATATCTTAAATATTGTACTAGTTTTAAGATCAAAGAGCTAATTATTTAACAAAAATATACTTACTGTATATCCAACAGGAGTTTCAAGAGGTGTATTTTGTTTTTGTTGACAACTAACATGATAAAAAGTAAAAAGCAAGTGATGATGGTCAGTTAAAGTAGCAGGGAGTTTAACCTTGATTTCTTCATGAAAATCAGGAGACCTTCATACAAAAACAACAAAACAGATCAATAGTCAGTAATTTGTTCAAAATAAAGAATTACTGAATTTGTATATTTGAGTAATTTTAAAATTAATTTCAGGATTCATGCTTAATTTTTCTTCTAGTCCAAATATTTTTCTTTATTCCAAAATAACTAACTAACTCCTACTTCCAGATGAGGGAACTGTCACTGTTTCTAAAATTTCTCCTCCCATTTTTATTAGTGGGCTGAGTAATCCTATTATTTGAAAATTCATTAATAATTACCACCTTGATGCTGAGACCGTCATCAGATTGGAAACTATAAAAGAGGAGACTAGGGTAAGGCTTTCTATTATTTCTAGGCCAATTCTGATACACATCACATAAAAATAATATAGAATTTTGTAAGTGTATATTTTAAAACCATACCACAGAAAAACATTTTTCTGTTATAGGAGTACAGCTTCAAATTAAGACTAATTTATATTACCCTTTTGTAAAAAAAAGAAAAAGGTAACTTTAGACAACTTAGTATCAAGTAGGGCTCTCTATGAAATGTCTTACATCAATTATCCCATTGCTAAAGAAATAAATGATGTTACCAAAACATTGACTAACAGCTCAAAGAAAATAAAAAAAAAAATCAGGGAATACACACAAATTACATTTGCTCCACATTTTAGAAGTGTTTCCAGTCATTATAAAGAATACAGCAAATATATTTGATCAAACCAATGGAATTTTTGTCTCAATATCCATTGAGAATTTTTACAGGAAAGCATAGCTACTATTTATTATATAGACTTAAAAGGGATAGAATCTTAGCATCCCAATCTTCCAGGTTGAGTTAGTATCTCTCAGAGTTATCTTCAATGAAAATGCATCCAAACCATAGAGCTCCCACTACCTTTAAAGAGAAGGCTGTTCATCCAAAACCAAGTAGGGTTTTTTTCCTCTGATGCTTATAGGTCAAATATTCTTTTCAAATAAGCCTCAAAGTGCTAAGGGGTACAGATTCGATCACAGAAATAGTAAGTGGAATGAGGCTTGTAATACCCACAAGAAAGACAGCCAATGCTAGCCATCTGAGAATTTGATGACTCTGGTTGGGTAAAAAGATGCTACACATCTTATTACTGATCTTACTAGTCATCACTGAATTAATGAGAAAGTTTAATTTACTAGCAATGTTACACTATACTGTCATTTAAATTCTGCTAATGATAAGAACAAAAATAAAGACTTAGCCACAAACTGAGATACGTTTAGAAATTACTACTTTCTTTATCAATATTTTTCCTTGTATGGAGTGTTTTAGTTAATGCCTTTCTTTAAATTGTATTATGTGAAGACTGTTACAGAAAATTAAACATCTTCCAATCAAGCACGTGAATTGCCCACCTTTAGGTTAGGCATTGTATTACTTTTGTGGTGCGTTTAAAGATGAACATAACAAATAATTACCCTCAAAAATATATAATTTAGTAGAAATATAAATAAAGTGGGGGTTGGCAAACTAATGCACACAGACCAAATCCAGTCATCTGCCTCGTTTGTTTAAACTACAAACTAAGAATTTTTATTTTTTATTTTTACACGGTTGAAAAAATCAAAAGTATACTGGTTCACTTTAAATATTATATGAAATTCAAATTTCAGTGCCCATAAATAAAATTTTATTGGAAGACAGTCATGCCCATTGATTTGCAACTTAACTTACTGGCTATGGCTGCTTTTGAACTACAACAGCAGGGCTGAGTAGTTGCAACAGAGACCACATGGCCCAGAGGGCCTAATATATACTATTTGACCCTTCGTGGAAAAAGTTTGCCAACTCCTGGGATAGAGCATATGAAGTTAAATGCTTCAAGAACAGAATTCAACAGATTTCTTAAAATTTTAGGTCAAGGAATTATATTTAGGAAGAGATCTATAATATGGGCCTTAAAGAATGAGTAAAAGCTCAGTAGGGAGAGGGAATCTGTATACTAGTATAATAGAAATAAAGATCCAAGAAAGGCCCAGAAATAGGACAGCACAGATTATGTTTGGTGATGAGATAGGAAGAAAATCATCAAGATGTAAAAGAAAGATACTTGAATATTAGAGAAATGAAGAAGGAAGGCAAGGATGTCTTAAAGTTTGAGTCAGACTAACTGGAAAATTGGTGGTACTACTAATAAAAAAAAAAATAGGGTCAGGAAGAGGGCCAGGAGAAAATACATGGAAATTGGAAAAGCAGCAGGGAATCCAAATGAATATGCCCAATAGGCCATCAAAAATACATGTCTGTACCTCAGAAAGAAGGTTCTGGCTGAAAATAAAAGTTGTGAGCAGTACACATAAAGGTAAAAGTAGAAGCATTTTCATTGAGTGTAAGTCTGAGAAACACATAAAATTATTTAGGAAGAGCATAGTAAGGTTAAGGACAAAACCTTAGTTTTTTGTATGGAATGTCTGTACTTAAAAGAAAAGAAAAATTGAGAATAATTACTACAGAACACTTTCAAAGAGATAGAAGGAAATGAGAGAGGGCTGTACAAGACGGTGAGAAAGAATAAAGTTTTAAGGAGATCGGGGGAAAACATGCTGCACAACAGCACTGGAGAAAGACTTGTTTTGTTTGTTTTTAAGAGTAGAAAACCTAAGCTTCTTTTTGATAGCAAGAGATGGAGCGAATGAAACAGGAGATTGATGATGCAAGCGAAGGGATACTGATGAAGTCACATTCTGGAAGAAGCTGGATAAGATTGTTTGAGAGCAGATTCACACTGAGCAGGATGTGGGCCATTACTGCCTTTGAAACGGAAGGCAGATCAGTGCAAAGATATTTGAGGTGAAGGGCAGAAAAGTTGATGGATCTTAAGTGGGATGGACTCAATCAACTTAATAAAATAGAAAAGCTAAGAGTAAAAGCAAACAGAAAAGAGGTAGCAGCTAGAGGAAGGGGAAGAAAAACTTAAAACAGCTACTGCATAATGAGAGAGGGTAAAAAAGTGATGACAAAAAAATTCACAAAAAGTTATCTTTTGGGGCCAAAAGAAGATAAAATAACTATGAAAGTACTGATCGGCACAATTTTGTGCTTTTTCTCCAACAGCATTCAATTAAAAAAGAAAGAACAAAAGCAGAAATTTAAGGTTATCTAAAGTTAATTTCTCAAAGAAGTAAAATGGAAAGGCACCAACTTAAAGGATTATTGGATGTTGAAACTATCATCAATTTAATTGACTAGTTTCAAGCTTAGTAAAGAGTTAAGTGAAGCTGCAAAATGTTAGGGGGATATAATAGGGAAAAGACTGAAAAAACAGAAGCTACAAAGATAATCAATCATAATATAATAAAAATGAAAGAATCAGAGAATTGGACAGAAAAAATGTTTTGTGTATAAAATCTTTTATTTGAGATGTATATAGAAAATATGGATCCACATATTGAAAATTATAACTGTGATGTCAGCTGTCTTGAATTTGCACATTCAGTGCAGCAAAGCATTTGGGAAACACACTAACGTGAGTGCTAACAATGCCACTGAGAAGTGAGTAACTTTGAAAGAAATATTTGAATTCAGTACCTGTTATGATATACTACGGCTGTATAGGCTTCCTTTGAAAATTCTGAACAGCTAGATTTACCAAAGATTACCTGTAACAAATAACAGCATGTTGAAACTTTGTTGTAATAAATGTTGGATGTTTCATATCTATGTAAGAATTTGTCTGATTTAATAACTATTTGAGAACAATGGGCAAAATCAGCCCAATGAAGAACAATGTGCCTACTGACGATCATTAATAAGTTCAATTGCTTAATTCTAAATTTCTTTTCAACTATAGACCCATCTGACATTCAAACATTCAAAAAATTTCTATCCATTATATTTATATATATTGGGCAATGAGGTACATTTCTTTCTTTTTTTGAAAGAAGATAATTCATCTTAAAATCTGGATACAGCACATCATTTGGAATTTATATAAGAAATATGGTCCTAAAATGGTGGCATATATCTACTATACAAATTGGTGGCTTCACCACTAAGACAGCAGTCATTCTGAAAGTCAAATATTTATTATTTATAAATGATATTTAAAAATCCTATTTTAGGTATCCTTTGCTCCTAGTACTACCTGCAAGCTACTCTACAATGGAGGGGAGCTCCATTTTATATTATTTTTAAAAATTTATCCTTATTGTTGAAAGTAATACAGATCCATTTTATATTCTAACATGTACTTTAAAAATCCAACATATCAAAAAAATACAATACTACTTTTGAAGAAGGTTTAGCAGTAAAATAATACAGTCTTATATATCTGCCTCTTGAATGCTAACAGCAAGTGGTGGTTAATTAGGGCAGCTGATTAGAACGTTGGCTTAATGATGTCATCATCACAGTTATGATTCCAGTGGGAGACAGGTAGGCTTGCAATGTTATCTAGCCACGGATTAAACTCTTACGTCTGGCCAGCCATCTCTACATATGCATGAATAGGAATGCAGTCCTGTCAGCACACTTTCATCAACACAACTGGTAAAACAACTCAAATGTATTCCTATACAAAGGGACTAATTGGCACCATCCCAAAATAAAAAGAACATATTAACAGGTATTTTGTCTCTTTCTGCAGTATCTCAAGCTGACCCTTTTATTTTAAGTGTATTTAAAATGTAATAATTATGACTCTCCTAGAAAACTCTAATTTAATCAATTTGCTAAGAATACTTCACTATATTTTTATAAAAGGTTGTTCCAGCCCTGGCCAATGTGGCTCAAATGGTTGGAGTGTCTTCCTGTACACCAAAAGGTGGTGGGTTTGATTCCTGGTCTGGGCACATACCCAGGTTGCAGGTTCAATCTCCAATTGGGGGCGTATGGGAGGCAACTGACTGATGTTTCTCTCTCACACTGTTTTTCTCTCTCTCTTCCTCTTTCTCTCAAATCAATAAAAACCTATTATCGGGTAAGGATTAAAAAACATTTTTTAAAGATTGTTCCAGTGCCAGAATTAGAGTTTATGGTTTTATCACACCGACATTATATGATCAAAAATTATCTTAGTCTTTATTATTTTTAAATAAGCAAACAAAAATGTGTCTGTTTATATACTTTCAAACCAACCACTCACATAAACATAAAAAACATTATATTTTCATATGACTAATAATATACAAATAAAGGAACGTGGTACCTTTTTTTTCCCCATTGAGAAGCTATCATTTTTCACAGAATAACTCATTTATTTTCATAACATGAATGATTTACAGTAGAATGTATTCCTTTTTTGATCATCGATATGTATGTTTAATCATTCATCAATATGAATGGAGCATCAATTATGTACCAAGCACTAAGATAGGCATCAGGATATAATCATGAGTAAGACATGGTCCTTGCCCTCAAGGAGCTCACAGTCTAGTGGACATGATGAAGAAATCAACATATAATCATAAACTTATAAGGCCCATAACGGAAGTAAGAAGATGCTTTGGTAGCACCAAAAGGGAGAGGGGTGTAACTGCAATGTGGCTGGATGCAGCTACGGTTCTGTAGAGGAGGCCATACAGATGGTAAGACAAGGAAGAGTTTGTTAGGCAAACAGTAAAACAGATTATTTTATATATATTGCATTTGTCATAAACTCAAATTTATATGGCAATTCACATAAAATACCAACACATCTATTTTTACAATCCAGTATCTTTTTATCAACTATGATAGCATGTTCATCTCTTCAGCAGAAATAAAGAGCTCATAAAGAACGTGAAATGCTAATTAGAATCTCAAAAATAAATTCTGCATATTCAACAAATATTTATTCAATATGTATTATATGCAAGGATCTGAAATAGCTGCCACAGAATACAAAGATGAATAATTTGTGCTTGCTGCTATCAAGTTCTAAAAATGCTGATGAAATTGAGGCAATAGGGAAGAAGAAAATATACAGCTTTCCTAGTTGGTAGAAAATCAGAACTTGATTCAAATGTCTGATACAGAAGGCTAAAATAAAATTGTTAACAATGCACCTATTCTTAGCTCATTTGCATTCCACTAGAGTTGCCAGAAGTTGAACATCTACAGTGACAGTTGTGCCCCTATTCTGTATGTTACTTAGAGTTGAGTAAAAAATCTTCTTGCACTTATTAGTGTTCCACAAATACTAAGTCATAATTTGGTCAGTTTCCCCAGTCTGGCTTCAATCTACTATTTCAACCTTCCACTGCTCTAGCTCACTGGCAATTCACCTCAGTTGAAGGATATTCTCCAACCTGAATTGCTTTCCTACCCCCACCATCTAGACCTATTGCCATTAACATTTTCACCACCTTTAAGGCATTCTCTCCTACCAGTGAGCACCTGTGCCTTTGAATCCCTATACCAATCCTATCTAATAAAGAGGGAATATGCAAATTGACCATCATGTCATCACAAAGATGGTGTCTCCCATAGCAGAGGGGTTTCCGTAACACAAGATAGCTGCACCAACAGCGGAGGCCGAGTTCCCATAACGAGCCTTAGCAAGCAATCAGCAGGGACCTGAGGCTCTAAAAATTGACCCCACACGAATATCTTTGGGAGGAGGGTGGCTGCCCACCCTGCATAGGGTGTAATGTCCTAGGCTGGATGTGGCACTCGATGCATTGCCTTTAGTTACTTACAGGTGGTTTCCAAGCCCAGGAGGGAGTCATTGGTTCAAAAGCCATGAGTAGGTGAAGGCACTTCCCTAATTCTGGGCTAGGGCAGGGGACCTGAGGCTGCGCCCCCTCACCCAGTGGGGCTTCACAGGGGACCTCAGGCCGTGCCTCCCGCCCCAGAGCCAGGCCAGGGGACCTCAGGTGGTGCCCCCCACCCGGCGGGGCTTGACTGGGGACCTCAGGCTGCACCCCCACCCTGGCGCCGGACCAGGGGACCTGAGGCCACGTCCCCCACCCAGCAGGGCTTGACGGGGTATCTCATACTGCGCCCCCCCACCTGGCGGGTCTTGACGGGGGATCTCAGGCTGCATCCCCCACAAGGCAGGGCTTGACGTGGGACCTCAGGTCACACCCCCCGCTATGGCACAAGGCCAGGGACCTCAGGCCATGCCCCCCACCCTGGTGCCAGGCTGGGGGACCTCAGGCCACGCCCCCTGCCCGGCGGGGGTTCATGGGGGACCTCAGGGCGTGCCGGGGGACCTGAGACTGTGAACCCCACCCTGCGGGGCTTGACAGGGGCCCTGAGGCTGCACCCTCCACCTGGCAGAGCTTGACAGGGGACCTGAGGCTGTGCCCCCCACCTCGTGGGGCTTGACAAGGGCAGGGCCGGCCGGGTCTGGATCTCACCCAATGGGTGTGGGGCTGGCTGGGCCTGGGTCTTGCGCTATTTTGAGGCGCCACAGGTAGGCGGGGACTTGACTCTGGGTCCCACGGCACACCCCAGACTCTCACAGAAGGAAGATTTTCATATACATTTTACTAATTTTCTTTCATCTATGACACTTCTATTATAGAGAAAGGGCAAATAGCAATATTAAAATATTTCCTCTAATTAATCCCCTTTTAATGTGCACAAATTTCATGCACCAGGCCACTAGTCTATAATTAGCACAGACCTTGGTTCTCAATACTGGCTATGAAATGTAATCCCTAGGGAAGATTTTAAAATACTGATATCTGCCCGGTTCCCACATGCAGAGATTCTAATCTAATTGGAATTAGATTCAGTCTGGGCACTGATGTTTTTTAAAGCTCCCCAGGTGGGTATAATATGCAGCCAAGGTTGAGATCTATAGCCAGAATTTCTCAAAAAAAAGATGGGAAGAACCATCATATTAAAATCAGCTGGAAAACATTTTTAAATTATACCACCCATTACTCTCCACCTCCGTTATCTGGCCTTTCATTCTAAAGGAGGAGAATAATCCAGATGCCAAGATAGAGGAAAGGTATCTGTGCTTTGTTAGAGTAGCCGAAGAAATTATGATCTGACCTTCTTTTGAAAGTAACTATTTTAGAATTTTATGTATTTGTCTTATATCCTCCAGATTATAAGTCTTTATTCATCTTTGTATTTCTGGGAGTGCCTTGCATATACCAAATCCTCAAAAAATAAGACTGCAAATAAATTTATAATAACCTGCCAACCCAGTGATACCCCAAAAGTGTCTATTTGAACTATATATGAAGAATAGGAAAAGTAAAGAACATTTATTACCGGCATGGCATTGCTTGGATCCTCCCCATACATAAATTGGACTTTCACTGTTATATTTCTGGCAGAACCTTGACGATTGGCAAAATTGAGGCTCTGAGGGTATACATAGAGAAGATTTCTGTGAAGGCAATAGTATACACGATAGTGAATACATAGCTAAAAACACTATCAAACATATCACAAAAGAGATATAATTATTAATATTTGTTAGCTATTATGCTAAGTATTTTCACATACAATGTTTTATTTGACCCTTAGAGCAATCATTCAAATAAATGTACCCCAATTTAGCAAATTGCGGCCCCAAAAAGTTAAGGAATTTTCATATACAACCAAATATGTGGCAAAGCTGAAATCAGAATACAGTTCAGACTTCCAAACACACGTTCTTTCCCCTACAAGAGGCTTTTGGGAAATAAAGGAGTATGGACTGAAACATTATTAAGAAATTAAGCCGAAACCAGTTTGGCTCAGTGGATAGAGCGTCGGCTTGCGGACTGAAAGGTCCCAGGTTCGATTCCGGTCAAGGGCATGTACCTGGGTTGCGGGCACATCCCCAGTAGGAGATGTGCAGGAGGCAGCTGATTGATGTTTCTCTCTCATCGATGTTTCTAGCTCTCTATCTCTCTCCCTTCCTCTCTGTAAAAAATCAATAAAATATATTTTAAAAAAAAGAATTAAGAAATTAAAAGACAGTTCTAATATTCTCTTAGGTTCTCCACGCAGATGTAAATAGGATGACATTTTTAAATGCGCCTTTTGTATAAATGTGATTAAGGATTTAAGAGGTATAATATTCAACATTATTGTTAAAAACATATATGACAATTATGGTAAGTATAACGAGCAGCAATAGGTAATTACTATGAGACAATCACGTATTACTATGCATTTGACTTCATGTCCAGTTTATGATCTTGTATCTTACACAATTTTAATAGTTCTTGCTACAAACACAGAGGAGAAATAATTCACCAAAAGAAAGAGCTAAAAAAAAAAAAAAGAATTAGAGATACTTTACCTGAAGACTAGTGATGACAGCTGATAAACAAAACTTCAATAATAATAAAACCCTGCTAATGGACTGCTAGGGCAACAAAAATAGGTCTAAATTTTCTGGAAGGAGGTAGGGTAATATAGAAATTTTAAGTGAATACACTCTTTGATCCAACAAACCCATCTCTAGTCTAAGGAGAAAAGTAAACACTTGTACAAATGGATATGCTCAAAGAAATTCACTACAACATTTCTTATAATAGGGCATAGTTACAAATAATTATAAAGAAACTAGAGGCCCAGTGCACAAATTCGTACACTGGTGAAGTCTGGCCGGCCCCAGCCCCGATCAGGATGGGGGGAATCAGGGGTGGGGCCAGCAAGTGGGAGGGACTGCGGGCAGTTGGCCGGCCCTGCCCCTGGTCAAACTCCCAGTCAAACTCCCATTCAAGGGGACAAGAGGACAATTTGCATATCAGCCTTCTATTATACAGGATATAATGCTCATCAGCCCTGGACTAAATTAATACAGCATGACAATGTACAGTAGTATTTATTCATGTAGAAGGAGATATCCACCATGTTGGATGAAAAAAATGCAGGTTCCAGAGCAGGATACTGCGGCGTTACCCTACTTGTAGAAATTTGGAGTGGGAGTTATAGAAATGAGTAAAAAGGATATTTCTGAAATATTCATAGTGGTTAATAGTGATGGCTCTAATTTCTTTTTTATAATTTCACTAGTAGCCCGGTGCACAAAATTCGTGCACATTAAAAGGGAATTAATTAGCGGAAATATTTTAATCTTGCTATTTGCCCTTTCTCTATAATAGAAGTGTGAGGGATGAAAGGAAATTAGTAAAATGTATATGAAAATAATATATAAATTTATTAATAAATAAACAGTAACAAAAGGATATAACAACAACAGAGGCATGATATAAAAATGACAAACACATGATAAGAAAACAAAAACATGATATAAAAACAACAGTGATGCAAACAATGACTGATAAAGTGATTAAACTTATTCTACTATCTCCCTGTACACCACATTAAGAGTGAAAACACTTTCAGAGTGCTTGACTAATTTCCCTTGTGCTGAAGTATTTAGAACTTTAACGTCACATGGTCTTCGAACGCTAGAGAAAGCAACATATACTGACCATGTGCAAAAACAGGTTCAGGTAGGAATATGCCTACTCTGTCTAGAGTTTGTCCTTGTGATTTATTAATAGTCATCAGAAATGCTGGCATCACCGGAAACTGTCGTTGAATCAATTTAAATGGGAGGCCAGTGTCAGATGGGGACAAATCAATTCTTGGAATCAGAACAACCTCTCCCTCTATAGATACTGTTAATACTTCAGCTTCAATAATGTTAGGTCGTAATCTTTTGATAATAAATCTGGTACCATTACAAAGACCCCATTTACTATTAAGATTTCTCAATAGCATGATAATTGCACCCATTTTTAATTTTAATTTATGACACAGCATTCCCGAAGGAGTAATACTATTAAGAAATTTGATGACAAAATTTCCTTTTCAGCATCATCTGTGGAATCAATGGGGTCATCACTCAAATATGTGTGAAAATCTCCACCGAGTATATCCAAAATTTCTTTATTTACTTTTTGAACGTGCTCATTTTTTGGACAAAGAATTGCACATTTAGATATATTTTTACTATTATCTATAGGTATAGTATTTCCAAAGGTAGCTTTAATAATAGATCCATTACAAATCATTTCACAGGGGATTTCAATAATATCCATTCCTAAATGAAAACTGCTATCAAGTTTGCCATCTCCAAGTTTTACTCACCATTCACTATAAGCAGAATCCTCTGATCTCATATTTGTTGTAAGAAAAAACTTTCTGAAACATCCCCAAACATTGCAGTACTTTAAACTCATTTGTACTACGGCCGATTGCATAGCATGCGGTACAATACTGAGACATTGTCAAAAATCCCCAACAAGAAGGAGAACTTTCCCACCAAATACAACATTCAAATTTCTCTTAGTAATCTGTCTATAGCGTTTATAGCATGACTGGATGCCATGGTGCATTCATCAATAATGAGAAGTTGGGCCTTTTTAATAGTTTTAGCAACTTCACTGTTTATATCGAGTCTAGAAATTGAAGTTTCATTTAGTGGAATGGGTAATTTATATTGGGAATGAAAGGTGCTTCCACCGAGAAGTAAATTTGCAGCAATTCCTGTAGACGCTGTGGGTAAAACAGTACTACCACGACCTCTAATATAATGTATTAAAACTTTATAAAGATAGGCCTCCACGCTCCGAGGGCTGGTTCCTGCCTCAAACCTCACCCTCCCCGGGAAACAGCTCAGGGAGGGCACAGCTGTGGCTCAGAGGACCCAGGACTCAGTGCGTCCATGCTCTGAGGGCGGGTTCCTGCCTGAAAACTCACTGCCCTCGCGGGAAATACCACAGGAGGGTGCAGCCGTTTCCAAGACAACCCCTGCAGGACTGACTTCCTTCCGGTTGGTCGAGCCTCAGTCGTGATGTTACACCCAGGGTTTTTATATAAATAGATGTGAAATTTTTTTACAGTGAGAATACATGATCTTTATAATTAGAAAAAGCAATAAAGTAGTTTCCATGGTGGGAATATGGGTATGTGTGACAACAAGCATGCAATCTAAAAATCCCTAAAGAAATGAAGAAGAGTCAGTTGTACTCAAAATTGTCAAAAGTGCCCTGGCGGTTAGTTGGAGCATCATCCCATACACCAAAATGTTAATAGAATTCAGGATTTTGTACTTTTCTATTGTTAATCCTCACTGGAGGATTTTTTCCATTGATTTTTAGAGAGAATGGAGGGAGGAAGAGAGAGAGAGAGAAAGAGAGAGACAGAGAGAGAAAGAGACAGAGAGAGAGACAGAGAGAGGGAAACATTGGTGTGAGAGAAATACATGGATTGGCTGCCTCCCACATGCATCTTGACAGGGCTAGGATGGCACCCTTGACCAGAATCAAACCTGGGACCCTTCAATCAGAGGGCTGATGCTCTACTTACTAAGCTAAACCAGCCAGGGCAGGAATTTTTACTTTTTACAGGTTTTTGAAATATCTGAGTTTCCACAGTAAGTATTTTCAACATAAAACATTTAACATTTATTAATAGTGAAAGCAAGTAAGATAAATAAAATTATTCCTGGAGAAAGTCACATCTTCTAGATCTGCACTGTCCAATAAAATAGGTTAGGAGACTATCAAGCACATGATGTGTGCCTGCTCTAATTGAGATATCCTGAGAGATAAAATATATACCAGACTCAGTGTCTATCTGGAGGACTTAGCATGAAAAAGAATATAAAATACCTAATTAGTATTGATCACTGGTTAAAGTAATTGATATATTGGATTAAATAAAATATACTATTAAAACTAATTTCACTTGCTTCTTTTTAGCTTTTTTTCATGTATAACTCACTATATTTGCACTGGACAATGCTGCTCTGAACAAAGAGAAGAAACGGGAGCTAATGAATTACTCTGGCATTATTCTTTAGTTAATATAAACATTTTTATTTATACGTGTTTTCCTCAGTTACTTTCAGATTCTTTCTACCAAATACATTAATTCAAAAACAAATTATCACATTTAAAAAGGGTGAAATTAACAGGATACCATATTCAAAAGATCCAAAATGCCTCGTATTTTATTCGGAAGTTGTATCTCCAAAAGATTACACAACCTGGGGGAGGATAAGAGACTTCGCTTTGCCTGGAGTTCAAACGAGGCTTCTAAACGTACTCTATTCCTAAGTTGCTAAAAAATTTATATTAGTTATTGGAAACTAGGAATCCTTATATTAGGGTCTAATTTTGCTTTGTTCCTCTTATTTTCTTTGGCATAAAATTTTTAATTTTTATAACATTACTGGTTATATTTAATCAGGGCTCTATTTAAACAGGCACGAGTTCAAAGTTTATATTCTGCCTTTAATAATGTGTACTCAGGCAGGATGCACTGAAAGGTAAATAAAAAAAACATTTATAAAATTACCACTTTCATCACATTTCCCACATTAACTTTCTTACACAGCTTGTAATTAGGCAAATTATTTAATTATATTCAGTAACATGTCAAACTACTATCAAAAAATATCCAAATATTTCTACCCTGAAACAATACATTCTAAAAACCAAGAATATGTGACCTTGATTCCAATCTACCTGTTAGTGATACACGGGAGGAAGTGTATGAATTGTGCAAAGGTTAATATTCTCGTACAATAACCCAAATGGAAGAAAATTCCTTCATACAGCCTCTCTTTGGTATTAATGCTGTTACTTTCATGCACTGGAAGGGGATATTTTTTAAATTCCTTTCTCTAAAAAGAACGGAAAATTCTCATGTTATGACTTTATCATTCTCTTATTAATTCAGTACATATTTATTGTTTCTCCAAAAAGTAAGGCTTTGTACTAACACGCTATAAGGGATATAAATTAAAAGCAGATATAGATCTTGCTAATAACAGCTTATGATACAATAGAGATGAGAAGTTGGCCCATCTCAATTTCCCCTCAACTAGAAAGTAGATAAAATATCAGGGTCAATAGTTAAGCCAGAAAAGTAGACAGTTTAGTTAAGAGAAGTTTCGAAATATGCTCTTCATGACCAATAATGACAACACTAACTTTTCCCTTTTAAAAAAAGAGGGAGAAAATTCAAACTTTTCACTACTTCAACATATGCTTTTATAATTCTATAATACGTACCACTGGTAAAGGTTAGGAAGAATATAAAGTATAAGGAAATTTTTTTTGTTTTTCTTCTTCATTACTGGAAGTATTTCTATATTTTACTTAGTTGCATTCTTCATTTCTCTTAACAGAAATATTTATATGATTCTGTATTGGATACTTAGAAAAATAATACACAGGCTAAACAAAAGACAATATAATTCCATGTACTACTAAAGTCCAAGAGAACAAAACTCCGAAAATCTAGACTCTGGCAAAATTTCCCAATTTATGTCTTAATATGAGATTAGATAATATTCAACAATAGAATAATACAGTATGTACATAAATGTATTGATTATTTCTGCCATAAAAAACTAATATATAATACTGTGTAATGTTTACTAAGCACCAGGTAGTGTTCTAAGTGCTTCAAAAACACTAATTTTTAATCTTTATACAATTCAATGAAGTAGGTATTAACTTCACTTGACAGATAAGAAAACAGAGATGCAGAAAACCTAAGTAATTTGACCAAGAGTCACATAGCTGCAGAATAGCAGGCCATTCCAATTTAGCCAGTCTCTCTCCACAATCATACTCAACCACTAGAGCATCTACCTCTACTGTAAATATTATGTATCCAAAGCCCTTAATTCTAAATCAAAAGAAAGGGTCTCTATTTTATACCAAAAAGAGAGGCATTTCTAAGAGTAGAAATTTAGAAATGGTTCATTTTGTAAAGTGTTACTTGATAATTTACAATTTAAATTGAAATTCATTATGTTAAAAGCTTTTTTCTCTTTGCAAAGGCCTTTATGCAAAATTTCTTTTACATAGGGCTGATTTTATAGACACACACAGATTAAAACCTGTTTCGTGAGATATAATGACTAATATTTTGAGTGCTTCCTATTTGCCAGACACTGTCCTAAGTGCTTTACACATTACTTCTTTAAATTCTCATAATCCTATAATTATGTAGTATATGGAACTACTCTAACGTACAGGTGAGGAGACTGAGGTATGAGAAGGTTAAATAACTTGTCTAAGGCCAGACAGCAAGAGCTGGCTTTTGGACCCAGACAACAGTCTGATTCCAGAACCCACATTCTTAACAATTTTACTATGTTAATTTGTCAAGATAAGAAATTTTTAAAGAATTATTACTTTCTCCAAAAGTTCTTAATATAAACACTCAAGAAAAATAATCACGCCGAAACCGGTTTGGCTCAGTGGATAGAGCGTCGGCCTGCGGACTGAGGGGCCCCAGGTTTGATTCCGGTCAAGGGCATGTACCTGGGTTGCGGGCACATCCCCAGTGGGAGATGTGCAGGAGGCGGCTGATCGATGTTTCTCTCCCATCGATGTTTCTAACTCTCTATCTCTCTCCCTTCCTCTCTGTAAAAAATCAATAAAATATATTTTAAAAAAAAAGAAAGAAAAATAATCACTTATAATTTAACCAAGGTATTAAGTGTTTTTCCTTTTAACCATAAGTGAGAAGCACAGTGGAACATTAATTTTTACACATACTACTGTTTTGTTTTTCTTAAATTTATATTATCAAAATTGTTACCAAGCTCACAAACTTCAGAGAAATGTATAATGAGCAAATCATTTCAAACACTGGAAGTATTTAATTCTGGTTTGACTCTAGAAGACCACAATCTATTGGTCTTTCAGTGGGTACATAGAAAACAGGCTAGAACATAGAGACAAAATATAAGGGAGAAAAGGGGTAAAATGCTATTTAACGTATGGGATTTTGTGATAATATACAAATACATATGGTTAAGACAGATCATCTGAAGCAAATATGTATATTAACAAATAATTATAACAAGAAATATATAATCATTTGTTAGCGTATCGGCATGGGAGTACAGCATCGAGAATCATAAAGATTACCCAAAAAAGTGGAGGAAGGCTTCACAGAGAAGGCATTTATTTTTTGTTAACAGGTAACTGTTTTCATAAAAACTGTTTTCATAAAAAAAAATATAATTTGGGAAATTCATACTTAATTCCTTAATGATGAATTTACCAGTCAAAAGAGTCTGGTGCTTACTTTTAAATCTCTAAAAATCATGACAAATTAAAATTAGCTTTTAAAAATAGGTAGATTGCCCTAACCGGTTTGGCTCAGTGGACAGAGCATTGGCCTGCAGACTGACAGGTCCCAGGTTTGATTCCAGTCAAGGGCATGTATCTTGGTTGCGGGCACATCCCCAGTGGGAGGTGTGCAGGAGGCAGCTGATCGATGTTTCTCTCTCAACGATGTTTCTAACTCTCTCTCCCTTCCTCTCTGTAAAAAATCAATAAAATATGTATTTTTTTTAAAATAGGTAGATCATGCCCTAGCCAGTTTGGCTCAATGGATAGAGCATCGACCTGCAGACGAAAGGGTCCCAGGTTCGATTCTGGTCAAGGGCACATGCCCGGGTTGAAGGCTTGATCTCCAGTGGGGAACGTGCAGAAGGCAGCTAATCAACGATTCTCTCTTATCATTGATGTTTCCATCTCTCTCTCCCTATTCCTTCCTCTCTGAAATTAATAAAAATATTTTTAAAAATAAAAATAAAAACAGGTAGATCACATAACAATGAAAATGTAACTTATAGCAAAATTAAATACAGTAACAATTTAGAATGACCTATTAAGTTGCTCATTTCTTTGATTTCATTTAGCATTGATCTGACTCACTGTGGAAGGTTACATTCGTACAAGTTTACACAGTTTAATGATTAACTATAGTCACCTGCCAACCTTATGTGGCAAACAGTGGTATATATAGAGTTCAGAAATCTAGGTCTGCTTGGAAGAGAAAACTTGTCCCAAATTGCTTGAAATTGACTAATTAAGATAAAATGTACACAATTAAGCTCTTTCTTTTTATTATTCCTCTAGTTATCTCTTCCAGAATTGACCAAGACTATTATTCACCATTTGATTCTATATCTCCACAGCCAAAATCAAGATTTGCTATGTTAGATGATGTAAAAATTTTAGCCAATGGCCTTCTTCAATTAGGGCATGGTCTTAAAGACTTTGTCCATAAGACTAAGGGCCAAATTAATGACATATTTGAAAAACTCAACATATTTGATCAGTCTTTCTACGATCTATCACTGCAAACTAACGAAATAAAAGAAGAAGAAAAGAAACTTAGAACAACTACATCCAAACTACAAGTCAAAAATGAAGAAGTGAAGAATATGTCACTTGAACTCAACTCAAAACTTGAAAACGTCCTAGAAGAAAAAATTCTACTTCAACAAAAAGTGAGGTATTTGGAAGAGCAATTAACCAATTTAATTAAAAATCAACCTGAAATTCAGGAACACCCAGAGGTAACATCACTTAAAGTAAGTAGAAACCAAAAACTGTTCATGATTATGTTTAAATGAGGATTGTTTAAAAAAATATTTAAGATAAGCTACTTTAAATACTTTGTTGCACAATTGAAATACTGTATTTTTTTTTTAAGAAAAAAAGCCTCCAGGAAATAAAATTTTCCATTATAATTTTCAGTTAGTTTTTGTTTCCCTAACATTAAATATGAAAATGAAAATTATAACTTTACAGTTAAATAATAAAATATGGAACACAATATTGCACATTATTGGAGTCAAGAAAAATGTTAAAGGAATCTAACTTGAAACTATTCTTCCATGTTTAAAATAAATACAAGTAATACAGTAAATGGTAAAGATTTATTTCTATTAAAATACAGGGTTTGGGGGGTTTGTTTTGTTTTTTATTTTTATTTAATTGAAGTAGTTTAAAGTTCAGGAAATCAGATTTTAGAGATGGTACATTTACAAAAAACATTTTAAAAAGTATGTACTATTTGAAAGAAGCACACAAGAGTAAAATAATTACCTATATTCATTTTTCTAATCTATTAGCTTTAAAAATTAGACTGTGATAGTGTTATAATAAATAAAAAAATTTAACAAAAATGAAAAAAGAAACTTCTAACCAACCTATAACCTATGTCCAGACTTTTGTAGAACAGCAAGATAACAGCATCAAAGACCTTCTCCAGACTGTGGAAGAGCAATATAGACAATTAAACCAACAGCATAGTCAAATAAAAGAAATAGAAAATCAGGTAAGTCGATATTTTAATGTCCAATCTTTTACATAAACTTTAGGTTTATGAAAACACTGAATCCTAAAATTACTTTAAATAATTATAGCTGAAGAGTGAGTAAAAGGATCACATCAGCATAATCGTTAAGCTTGCAGGCTCTGAAGCTGATAAACTTACCAGGGTTTGAATCTTGGGTCTAAAACTTTTGTGTGACCTTCAATAAATTACTTAACCCCTTTGTCTCTCACTTTCCTCACTCTATGGAGATAGTAATAAGAAAATATCTTATAGGATTGTTATGAGAAAAAAGGATTGATTCATGTAAAGTATGTCCTCAATATAACAGCCAAAGCGATTATTAAAATTTAAATTAGATCATGCCTCTCTGTTCAAAATCCTACAATGGCTTCTTGCCTCACTCACAGGCCTGTAAGACCCCAGATGAGCCTTTACTATGTCACTGACTTCACGTCTTCTACTCTACTCATATAAGCCTCTTCACTGTTACCGAAAGACTTCAAACATGCTGCCATCTCAGGGCCTCTGCCTTGCTGTTCCCCGCCTGGAGAGCTCTTCTCCCTGGTTCTGCAAGGCCCACTCTCATTTCCTTTGGGCCTTTTCAAATACAGAATTCTCAATGAAGTCTTCTCGGGTCACTTAAAAACTAGAATCCCCTACTCCCATCCTTGAAACCTGCTACCTCCTTCATGACTCTTTTTTTCCTTAGCACCTACCTCTATTTAACATAATATACTTTTTAGTTATTTATTTTGTCTGTCCCTGCACTAGTATGTAAGCTCCATGAGTACAGGAATCTTCTTCCATTTTTAAAACTGCTGTTGCCTCAGAATATAGCACACTGTCTGACACTTACTAGGCATTTAATAAACATATGTTGAATTAATAAAGGTAATGACATAGCACAAAAAAAGTCATTAAAAACTTACTCTTATTAGAAACTGTGTACTTGATAATTAAGTTTAATTCCCAACAATAAAATTAATCTACAATGTAGACAACTGGCTAGGTAAGAAAAATACCTATTTAGAATAAAGCTGTCAGAATCTAAGCATTCCAATATATAATACCACTAGAGGCCCAGTGCACGGATTCGTGCATTGGTGGGGTCCCTCGGCCTGGCCTGCAGGGATCGGGCCGAGACCGACTCTCCAACATTCCCAGAGGGGTCCCGGGTTGGGAGAGGGCACAAGCCAGGCCGAGGAACGCCACCGGTGCATGATCGGGGCTGGTAAGGGACCGCAGGAGGGCTCCAGGGCATGTCCGGACCGTCTCGCACAGTACCGATCAGACGGACCCCAGCAGCAAGCTAACCTACTGGTCAGAGCATCTGTCCCCTGGTGGTCAGTGCACATCATAACGACTGGTCGAACAGTCAGACACTTAGCATATTTGGCTTCTATTATATAGGATAGTTTGAAATATTAATTAATAAACACTATTAAACAGTCATTCAAGAGGGTTCAAAAAATAACAGACTTAGAGAAATGGATTAAAAAATAGTTGCCAAGAATTATAGAACAAATATTATTACCAATTTCCAGTAAACCAACATATCATTATATGTTTCAGTAATTATGTGACATTAATTTTAGTAGGTTATTTTTGCTAATTTATGAATCATAACTTGGTAGGTTATTTTTTGAAAATTTTCTTTGACAAGTAGTTTTGATTTCCATAATTTCATTCTTATTTTGTTATTTTTCTAAATTATTTTTCCTATATCTTTTATTATGATTAAATGAACCTCTTGACATAAAAAAAAACTAACACTAGTAAAAGAAAATATTATATACATACTCTGCTTTTCTCAGACAATCAATAAGAAGAGTTTTCAGCTCTTCTGCAAACCTAGCACACATTAAATAAGTTGTTATTGCTAAACTCACAGGACAATAAAATATTGAAAATATTGAAAGTAAATAAATAAGCCTGCCAATCTGTTACCTTTACAGATATGTTTACATGTCAAAAACTATCAGAAAGCAGCCTTGTTTGAATTATATGCTATGTCTTAAAGGCAGGGCTGAGAAACAATAAAATCTGCAACTGAGAATTAATAAATTTATAATCTGCCTTGCTATTGATTACAACATATATTCTATTCAGATAAATAAACAGAACATATTAAAATATTTATGCAAAGTCTCTGCCTTTGGTCTTGATGTCTCTTTGCCTTGCTCTTTCTGTATTTTTTAACTCCTTAAAAAATGTGCCTGATGAATGATTTTTAGAACAGATCTGTATAATCTGTATAGCATCGTTTATCCCTCTTAAAAATCAAAAGCAAAGCCTGACGGGTGTGGTTTAGTGGTTGAGTGTCAACCAATGAACCAGGAGATCACAGTTCAATGCCTGGTCAGAGCACATGCCGGGGTTGCAGGGTCCACCCCCAGTGGTGGGGAGAGGTACAGGAGGCAGCTGATTTAATGATTCTCATCATTGATGTTTATATCTCTTCTCCTTCTCCCTCTCTCTAAAATCAATAAAATATATTTTTAAAAAACCAAAAGCAATAACACATTATGAATTAAAAGATACATGCAAGCTGTACTTTTAATATCCTCACTCAGATTCCCCTAACTATATATTCAGTATCATTTTTTTAAAAGTACATTTATATTCTTTTATCAGTTAAGAAGAACTGGTATTCAAGAATCCACAGAAAATTCTCTTTCTTCAAAACCAAGAGCACCCAGAACTACTCCCTCTCTTCACTTAAATGAAACAAAAAATGTACAACATGATGGTAAGATAATTTGGTTTCCTTCCTGAAGCTATTATCAAATTCTTCTTCCATCACAAAATCTCTATTCTCAGGGCCTGTTCTAGACTAAAAGAGAGTAAAGAGACAAGGCTACCCAATACAATGTCAACCTAAATTGGATCCTGATGTTTTAGTCTTTTTAACCCTATAAAATACATTCTTAAAATAATCAGAGATATATGAATATAGACTTGATATTAGATAATATGGAATTATTAATTTTCTTAGATGTAATAGTGGTATTATAGTCATGTAAAAGAATAATCTCATGGTAACTATTTTGGCATTCTTTGCATAACATGCTATCTAATAAAAATGCTTAGCATAAAGTACTTCTTCAGTAATACATTAATTTCAGTAATACATTACTGAAGAAGGCTCAAGGCTACATTCACTATAAATCCATAAAATGTCAAGATCTCAAGCTCTAAAGATATTGTTCTTATTACTGTATCTTATGTAGTAACATTTTGTTGATTCTAGACATTCCTGCAGATTGTACCACCATTTATAACAAAGGTGAACATACAAGTGGCATCTATTCCATTAGACCCAGCGACTCTCAAGTTTTTAATGTCTACTGTGATGTTAAATCAGGTAAAACTAGCCTACAAAGAAAACAGACAGTAGTTAGTTCACGTTACTTACTACCTATTAGTAATACTGATCCTGTCATTTTTATTCTAAATATATATCAAATGAAATATATATAACCTGAGTAATAGTTATATAGATCTAATACTTATATCTGTTTTTTTAATACAGGTACTTATGCATATATTAAATATTTTCCAAAAAATAATCTAAAATGACTATTGTCAATAAGTTTAAGACAAACTCATTAGTTATCCTTTACTTAATATCTTTACCATAATAAATTAATAAAGTAATTGCAGTAATAATTATCTTACACAGCCACCAATCAAAACCAAACCAAGTAAAAGTCTTTTGTTAAATCTATCAGCATCAATCTACTAAAAATGCACTGTTGTTCACTGTATTCAGGTAGTTCCTGGACATTAATTCAACACCGAATAGATGGATCACAAAACTTCAATGAAACTTGGGAAAACTACAAATATGGTTTTGGGCGGCTTGATGGTAAGGTGACTTCATATTCATTCATTTACTTGTTAAAAATATTTATTTATTATAGGCTGGGCATTAGGAATGTAACAATGAATGAGAACAGTCCAAGCCTTCATAGGACTTAACAGTTACACATTCGTTAGTAATTACACTTATTATGTATTTATTTAAATTATACTACTCAAAACTAGATGTCTGCTCTTAAGTATACTTATCATGATTTAATTTGATGGCTTCTAATAATCATAATTACTAAAAAACAATTATAATTAAATGCTATATATTTTGATACATGGTAAATGCTATGAATGACGAAGAAAACCATCCTTATCACTAGTCACTCTACTTTCTTATTAACATCTTAGATATCAATTATTGGAGGATGTAAGAGGTGAAGCTGTCAGATGTACAGTATAAACCGTTTATATTTCAATTATTTAAATAATATAAATGTATACTATAAGATGTGTTTAAAATAAATTAGTTCTCCAAAAGTATTATACTTTGATCACAGAATAAAATTAGTAAATAAGATAAAAAATAAAATTAGTAAAATAAGAAGAGGTTTACATGTTATAGAATCCATGAATGATGTACAAACATTTATAAAATGGAAAATATTCATCATTTTATCAAATTTTTAAACACTCAATACTATTTGAGCATTAAAAACCTTTTTGCATTCAAACTACCAGTTAAATCCTTAACTAAAAGGTATATTCAGTAATGTTTTGTAGCTTCAAATCTTCTACTAGTATGAATGAATCAACCCCAAAATAAAAGGCTGACAGTTAATTTCAAAGTACTCATTTATTTTGGAAAGAAGATAAGCCACTTATAATGCATTCCAAAGTTTATACATGAATAAGTGCCCAATATATGGCTCTGTTCATATCTTTAAATTAGGTTTTCTTATATTAACTCACTGGAAGCACATAGGAAATCAGTTTTGGTACCAAATTTCTATTTCTCAAGTATGCCATTTTCCATCCATTGGTGGTAGTTGTTATTTGCTTGGTGTTGAAAAAGCCAACTTTTCCTTGCTTCCTGGTTTCTAGCTATAGCAAAATTGATTGAAC